GTAATTATCATAAATATGTGCTACTGTCATAAAAATTCCCTGTCTGAAGGACAAAGGGATTTACTATTCAGTTTTCATGCAACGCAGGTAACAACATTATTTAAAAGTTCACAGTCCAAATTTGAAGAGAAAAAAATCAGAAATAAAAAAAAAGCTTTTTCCGGTAAGTTATGTTAAAAAAAACTACTTCCTGTGAAAGTAACGACTTCTGGTTAAGGTAATGACCCACCTTATCATTTTTCTCTTAGATACGTAAACGTTTATATACACATCTAAGAGAAAAACGACACGACGTTATAGTTTTTCTCGTCAAATCCAAACTACTTCCTGCAAAGGTAATGACCCGATGTCTTGTTTTTCCGGTTACGTCATTTCTGGCGACGGCAAAGAAGACGCCATCTGATGTCTGCAGCCAGATTTTTTTTTAATCATTTAACAAAGTGCAAGTATACATCAAGAGAACACAAGAGGTATTCATACAGAAGAATACATTTAACAGAACATTCAGCCAGGGGGATTAATTATACAAATATATGTAAAAATCTACAAGTATCAATTGTTTTGAGAGCCTTTTTGTTAACAGATTGAGAAATTAGATTAATATATAGTTCTACATCTTTAAGAAAATATGGCATCTTATTAGCAAATTTACATTTATGAATATGGAATTTAGCCAAGAGAAGTAACAAGTTTATTACAAAAAAAGACTTATACTTTTTGGGGGGACTAAAAAAACAAAATAACACATTTTGCCATCCTAAAGAGAAATCCTTAAATATATGCTGAATAATAAACCTGCTGAATTCCTTCCAAAACCTTTGTGTGAAAGAGCAGTGCCAAAACATATGAGTAACAGTTTCTGGATGACCTCCACAAAAACTGCAGTTAACATTAATATCTCTTTTAAACTTCACCATGTAGTGTTTTGCAGGGTCAATTTTATGAAGGATTTTAAATGACATTTTTTTCACTTTATTTATTAACAAATATTTGTGGGGAATCATCCATACTGCCTTCCAGTTGATATCCGGAACATTGCGATTCCAGTACGATGTGACATATGGGTGCGAAACAATACCTTTTTGAAACAGACTGCGTATTTGTTTACTGCTGTTACCACGTCCTTGTAAAAAGCAAACTTTCCCCACTGCTGATTCAGTTGGACCTGGTAGTGTAAATTCAGTAGGTGGTAAATTATCACAATTTTTAAACAGCATTAAAGTTCCTGAGGGTATAGCATTCACCACCATTGAGAATTCCTGGGGACTGACAGGAAAGCTATAACTTGAGCAGAAATCGTAGCTGAGCAGCTGTCCGTCCTTATTAAGTAGTTGTGCCACCAGCAGGATCCCATTCTGCACCCAAGTCTCAAGGAAAAGTGATTTGTTTTTAATTAAGAGATCTCTATTGTTCCAGATAAGGTATTTATGTGGTGAGAAGATAAGTTTATAAATTAGGGTCCACGCTAAGAGAACTTGCTTATGGAAGGATGAGAGTTTTACAGGGAGTTTTTCAAAATTATAGTTACAATTTAGAATAAAGTTAATGCCACCAAAACGATAGAAAACATGAAATGGTATAAGGTTCCAGATAGAAGTAGGGTTCTTTAGAAAGTGTCTGGCCCAGTTGATTTTGAATGTATTATTTAGGGTAGAAAACTCCAGAAAGTTAAGTCCACCTGATTCATACTTATTCATCACAACAGATTTCCTAATATAGTGTGTACAGTTTTTCCATAGAAAGTTAAAAATTATACGGTCAATATCTTGTGACTCTTTGAATTTACATCCATGAAAGATCTTATTATCTAAATGCAAACTAGTAGCAGCACAAGTTAATCTGGATATCCCTTCAGCTTTGGTAATCAGCACTCTACCTTTCAGTGATAAATCCCTCTGTGTCATGGTCTGCGTCTGCGTCTGTGTCTTCCTTCATGTGTCTCCTGATGTTTCTCCATCCCTCTCTAGATGCCCTTTTGTGTCTCATAGCGCCCTCGTGTGTCCTTTGTCTGCGTCTCAGTTATGTGTCTTATGTTGTAGCCCTTTATAAAATCATTCCTCCCAGGTCATGTGTCATCCATTCCCCTGCTTAAGTCTCTCTGTGTGTGTGTGTGTGTGTGTGTGTGTGTGTGTGTGTGTGTGTGTGTGTGTGTGTGTGTGTGTGTGTGTGTGTGTGTGTGTGTGTGTGTGTGTCCATTGCCCAGTTCAGTGTATGTGTGTGTGAGTGCATTTGTGTGTGATGGTGTGTGTGTGTGTGAGTCCTTCCCGCAGTCTTTTTGTTTGGTTTTGTGTTTATAGTTTTAGGTTTATCTGTCCTCCTTTGGTTCTGTTTCCCCATTTAGATAATTATTGTCACCTGCTTTCCCTCCAGCCCTCACTCCACACACCTGCTTCCTGTTTCCTTAATTGTTCTCCCTGTGTATTTAAGCCCTGTCTTGTCTCTGTTTGGTGTTGGTCCACTATTGTAATTCTGTGTAGTCTTCTCGTGTTTCCGGTGTTTGGATCTAGTCGTCTCGTGCCGCTTGTGTTTTTGGATCTCCAGATCTTTATCTGGATAGTTGGACTTTAGGCTCCCAGCCTTTTGGATTTACTTTTGTTTTTGGTTACTCCTAAAATAAAAGGATTTTCTTATTCAAACCCTTGCCTCGTGTCATCCTGGGTTACTGCATTTTGGGTCCTACCGACCTCGAATCGTGACACTCTGAAGCCATTGGTTGAGTTTTGCTTTTGTTTTTTGCACAATTGAAGCAAAGTTTTAAGAGCATCTTAATTTCTGGTCTCTGTTAATTAATATACCCAAGGAGTTGACCTCTTGTTTGACAGGGATATTGCAGATAACATCAGTTGCACAGTCTTTAATTGCCAATGATTCACATTTCTTTGTATTTAAATTTAATCCCGAGGCCTGAGAGAAGTCATTAATTACATCTAAAATGAGGGAGACTGGCTTGCATTCCTTAAAAATAGTGTAGTGTCATCAGCCAGCTGGCTAATAAGGATCTCTTTATCAACTATAGTAATTTCTTGTTCAGAATTTGAGATGTGAGTTGTAAGAATTTGGGTACAAAGTAAAAATAAGTATGGCAAGATGGGGCATCTTTGGCGAATACCACGTTTTAGGTCAAACCTAGGTGTGGAGCCATTTCTCATTTTAATAGCTATTTCCATTTGAATATAAAGTTTTAAAAGCATCACAAAAAAATCTCCAAAGCCAAACAATGTTAAAGAATGAAAGATAAATTGGCATTCAATTGTGTCAAAGGCCTTATAAAAGTCCAGGAAAAGAATAAAACAGTCATTGGGTACTAATTTGGAGTAGTCAAGTAAATCTAACACTAATCTAATATTATTAGAGACATGTCTATTTCTCATAAAACCTGATTGTGTCTCATCAATAATTGTGCCCAACACCTTTTTAATTCTATTAGCAAGCAATAAATCCACAATTTTATAATCATTGTTAAGTAAACATATTGGTCTCCAGTTATCAATTAATAGGAGGTCTTTATTTGGTTTTGGAATAAGAGTTATTAAACCTTGAGTAAGTGTTGGAGGCAAATTGTTATTTTCTATACTTTCTAGGAAGACCTGCAGTAAATGGAGCCAGATGACCAGAGAATGTTTGATAAAGTTCTGCAGATAAACCAACTGTGCCAGGAGATTTACTGGCCTTGAGTGCAGAAATGGAATGAATAGTTTCTTCCAGTCAGAGGGCTGTCGCAATAACTCCTCTCTGCAACATCAATAATTTTTAAGTTTTGGATATTGTTGAGAAATAATGACGAGCTGCCCTCAGTATATCTTGAGCTGTATAAATTAGAATAAAATTTAGCACAAAATTCTGAGATTAGTCTAGGATTAAATCTAACATTTTACTGGGAATTCAGTGTTTGTCTGCTGATGTTTCTATAGCTGAATTAATATACCACACTTAGATAACACTATTCATTTTAAAAAGGTAATTAATTAGAGCCTTTGTGCTGGTTTGCTGCTCCAATAAACTTAAAATCAATATCCACAAAAACACAAGTTTGATGTAAGCTAATTACAAAATATGCTAATAACAGTGGGCGTGTTACACAAATGGTACAGTTTAGGAACGATGAATCATCTGGTGTTGATTTGTTGGGATGGGCCCATACCAACAAATCAACACCTTTTCCCCAAATGATATTCATGGAAGCAACAAGCAGATTATGAGATTAGAGCTGATTAAGGATGACAGAATCCACCTGGTAACATTCTGTTGCAACTCTGCCAGTTTAAAGCAAATCTCTGTTTCTCCCAACTGAGGCCATTTAGAGTTTTCCGCAACAGAGAATGGCATTTCCTCAGATCTTCACCTTAGATTTGAATCTGACTTATTCGTGTGAAGGTAGGGGTTGCATTAGGCTTAAATCCCGGAGAGAATCGGAGTTTTTCTGCTGCAGCTTTTGACGCTTTTTGCGGGTTTGAGCCCGTGACTGGAGTCGGAGGCTGTCGGTCGGCAGAGGAAGGGAGGAGGCAACCAGAGAGAGGAAGGAAACGAGGATAACGTCACGAAGACTCGGAGTAAAACGGGCTGAACCCATTTAATGGACGATCCTTGAAACGGGCCGGAGGAACAACCGGGGCCAATTGTGTCGGTTTTCACCGAATTAGAGAACCATGTTCTGGTTACAGTTCTGGCCGTGAAGAGGTGCAAACCCACCGGAGCGGAAACAGGAACACAGAGCAGCGGATTTCATCCTTCTGGTGGCTTTTTAGACATATTTTCTCTCCTGGAGCTCCACCACCAGAGAAATGGAAATGTGTGGAGCCTTCCTCCTCCTCCTCCTCCGTTTGCCTGTTTACTGAAAGGGAAACAGCCTGATCGTGACACTCGGAACTTTTCTTTCTGGATCGCTCCAGAACTGCATCTTTAATGCGCGACGAAGGTTCCGATCCTCCGCGGCATTTTGGCGACGTTGCTGTCAGATTGTGTTAAAAAGAAGCATCGGGGGATTTAACAGGTAGCCACCCTTCACGGAGAGCAGCCGTGGGTCAGCCCGTCTGCAAGATGGCTGGGCGGTGATTTTCCAGCATTTATACTCCAAACGATCTGAGCTAAGTGGATGTTTAAGAGCCTCACACGTGTGGGAAATAAAAAGAGAAGATGCGTTAGCGAGAGCTAGGGCAGGTTTGAATGTGCAGGGCCAGCCTCCTGATGTGGCTCCAAATGCAGTGAAATAAAACCCCCATGAAGCGAATCTGCGACCTTTTGCTGCTGACTTTGTAGCCGCTGCCTCCTTGCTGGGGCTTTTATTTCAGGCCTGTACGTATCGATCACACACGGAGGCTCTGAAGCCTCCTCCAGCTGCAGATGTGGCCGTGCTGTATCAGATCGGTGGGGCTGGGCCGGTTCTGTGCGGGAGCTTTGGGTTTCTGTCACCTTGTGTTATGAAACATGCTCTGAAAGGTTAGGAGGCTCAGGTCGGTGGTCTCTGATGCAGTCCAGACCAGTCCAGGTGGGAGGCTCCTTGCCTCTGTGCAGTATGGGGTGCTGATTGTGCAGGAAGGCGTGTTCAAATAGATATTTAAATCTGAATATTTGGAATAAATTTAAATATAAAAAGTTACATAAAAAAATGCAATTTTATGTCATTCAAATGCACTAAAATAGAAGTAGCCTATCAAAATAAAAGCAGGGTAAGATCTCCATCATAAGGTCTCAGATTTTCTTTGAATCTGATTGTTTTAAAGCAATAAAAGTCATTTCAGCATATCGATTCTGATTCTTTTAAATATTTAGGTTTAACTTGGACATTTTTTTCTAAATATGCATGTAAGTATTATATTTTTTTACATTTTTATAACCCTTTACAATTGGCACCCCATATTTCTTTGTCTGTCCAGTTTTGTAGTTGTTGCTCTAAAGCAGCTTTAACATGCTTATGAGCATCTGGCTGGAATCAGCCTCATCCTCCTCTTCCTCCTCACTCAGCCTTTCTTCTAGCCTAGTGAACTAGACCAAATTCTTGCTTTGCAAAGTTTGTAAATTATACATTTATTTAGTCCGGCTTGCCAGGCTACCTTTCTTCTCCTCATCGGCTAAATGAGCAACTGTGACAGGAGACTGAGACCCACGAAGCACCTCCTTTGGCTTCCATTAGTGTCGTGTGATCCATCTGGTCGCCGACCCCTCAAGGGAAAAGTCGTCTACTGTAGCTAAACGCTCTTCCACGCAGTGCATGTATGCAGGGTCCTGAGAATTTGAATAGCTGCATGTATGCAAATGCCGGCTGAATGTCTGAATGTATAACTGGGCTCTTGTACAGCAACAGGAAACCCGGCTTCCTGCTGAATGTGATAAACATCAGGTCTGACTGCAGGTAAACAGCTCAGAACGCATTCACATCCTGTGATGCTCTGACAGGAGATCTGTGTGTTTCTGCTTTAGAGGGAACGCTCCACCGTGGCTTAGTCACTACAGATTATTCTCCCTACTCATAAACAGATTACAAGTGTTTTTCTCACCATAGCTTTAGAAAATATAATCTGGGCTTATATTTATATATTTATACCTCCAAATCCAGGGCTAAACGTGTTTAAAGTCAATTATTTTACTTACTTAAATGTTTTTACAGTTGACTGGATTACTGAAAGTATAATAATCCCAAATGGGAATTGGATGGATGGATGGATGGATAGATAAGTTTCTACAGGAGCGGTTCATAACAAATCCGCTGCAGGAAACGTGCTGGAAGCAGACTGCAGCACTAAGCATGTCAGCTCCATTTTCACTTAAGTTCAACAGGTGGCGGTCTGCCACTCTGAAGTTGCAAGTGCAACATTCTGGCCACAGAGGGTGGTAGGGGGCTGGGTGGCCTTTCATTAAAGGATCATTTTAGCACACACTGACTCAAGAAAATAACAGAAAATTTAGCATAGTATGGCTTTAACCAAGTTCTGTCCAGTTCCTCTAAACCTGTTTGGTTAGATGGAGACTATTGAACTTAGTTGTACGTTGTTATGTTAAAGGTAAATGTATATTGCTGATTGCATTTAAGCAACTAGGTTTAATGGAACCAGTTGACATAACTTGGTTAAGCAAATTCAACCTGTCAATTCTTAGAGTACTGCTGTTTCCTGTCCTGAGCTCTGAATCTGGACACCAGCTGTCATAAGGCGAGGGGTGGGGTATGTCCTGGACAAAACCTGCTCCTTCAGCTCATCTCCAGGCCTTCGCTTTGGTCAGATTCAGGCAGATGTTGTGGTTCTGATGTGATAGCCAACGTTATGCTCCAATCAACAGGTGAAAGCTCTGACGAATTCAAAGATGAGTGAGCTGGAGCAGCTTCGCCAGGAGGCCGAGCAGCTTCGGAACCAGATCAAAGTGAGTCAAGAGTTCAACGGTTGTCCTTTCAAATTAAAATACAGACATGCTGACATGTTGTTCTTTCATTTTGGACTGATTAGGATGCCAGGAAAGCATGTGGAGATTCAACACTCACACAGGTAAATGACACTGTGACAAATACTCAGATAAATAAAAGTCATCATCATTTTAGGCGATCAGATTATGATGCAAGTAGAAACAAGATCTCCCCCTCCCGACTCTAACATGTCCTAAACCTGAAGTTACACAGAAAACAGTCGTGCCGTTTTGGTTTTTAGAGAAATACTGGTTTACACACGTATAATCAGAATAATGAGCTTACTGTTTATGCTTTTACTTTTACTTCAACCATATTTATAGTATTATCTCAAGTTTTTTTAATTTTAAAAGAAGTCAGATATAGGTGGATATGTTTAAGGACACTTTGGGATTTGAAAGCTGCTGCATTAAAACCCTGAAGTGGTTATCACTCTGAAATGTCTGGTCAGACTGTTTCCCTTCAAAATAAAACCCATAAACCACTGGGTTACTTCTCTTTTTTCCATCAGATAATTAGGTTTCCCATTTTTTATGCATCCCTTCTCTGTAGAATCTCACATCACATCATTAAATTCATCAAGTTCAACCAAATTTCATCCGTTTCCTCACTTAGATCGCTGCTTCTATGGATCCCGTTGGTCGGATTCAGATGCGAACAAGACGCACCCTCCGTGGCCACCTGGCTAAGATCTACGCCATGCACTGGGGTACAGACTCAAGGTGAGAGTCCGTGTGATGGTAAAATACAGCAGCTGCATCTAAAAACTCAAGAGCAAGACCAGTTTCTCCCAAATTTGAGTCAGGACGAACAGAAGAACATACACAGATTCACTAAGAAGCTGGTGAACTGGTGAAGATGCGGGGACTTCTGCATGATCTATGAGGACATTTGGTCATGTTTGCTGAGTGGGACATTTACACAGGTGTATTGTGTAAGGTAATAGTACAGTGTTCCCACCTGAATGATGCCTGGAGGACTGAAAAGCTGCAGAACTTGTACAAAATAAAATGTATTTTTTTGTCTCTTGCCCCTACAGAAATCTGGTTAGCGCCTCTCAGGATGGGAAACTGATCATTTGGGATAGCTACACCACTAACAAGGTGAAGGCTGCAATACTTTTCTTATGAAGTCAGTGCGGTGACCTGTCTGAACTAGAACAGACAGAGGAGTTAACTTTTCTCAGACTGTAAAAGTTGCTGTGAATGGTGTCAAACAGAACAGGGAGTGTTCTAGTAACTTTTTATCAGAACATTTCTTTCTGGCTTCTTTGCATTTAGACAGTCTGCAAGTTAAAAACCTCTGAGTCAACACAAAAAGGCAGTGTTCTTTCTACGGCAAGCCTAAAGTACAAAAAAATACCTATTTGTGAAACCTGCCTTTGCACACCTGGACTAAACTTTAATTCTATAACTTAAAACCAATTTCGGGCTCCTGGGAGAGTTAAAGAAACCCGCCTCTCCTTTCCTAGATCCACGCCATTCCCCTGCGCTCCTCTTGGGTGATGACCTGTGCTTACTCCCCCTCTGGATACTACGTAGCCTGTGGAGGTTTGGACAACATCTGCTCCATCTACAGCTTAAAGACACGTGATGGCAACATCAAGGTCACCAGGGAACTAGCTGGTCACACAGGTGAGCGAGCACTTTGGCCCTTATTTAGTGTTTAGTCCATTACTTAAACATTTAAAATGTTTGTGACTTCCTTGATTTCAGGTTACCTGTCATGTTGCCGTTTCCTAGATGACAATCAAATCATCACGACTTCAGGAGACACCACCTGGTGAGTCCTGCATGTCAAAAACATCAACCTGTAGGGTAACCGTGTTCTCCTGAGCCGGTAATTGTTTTTGACCAACTCTTTGCTTCTTGCCCCAGTGCATTGTGGGACATTGAGACGAGTCAGCAGACCACAGTCTTCTCTGGCCACACCGGTGATGTCATGAGCTTGGCGCTGTCACCCGACTACCGCTCCTTTGTGTCAGGAGCCTGTGACGCCTCTGCGAAGCTGTGGGACATCAGGGACAGCATGTGTCGGCAGACCTTCACAGGACACGAGTCAGACATCAACGCCATCTGTGTGAGTGAGCCGGCAGTTCCAGGTTACCTGTGAGCAAACCACACAAGGTGGAGTTTGGCCCTTCTCTAGTTTAAAGGTGCATTAAGTAAGAGCTTTATAGCGAAATAATCACAAACAGTCTAGTGTCTCAATCAAATTGGAAGGAAGGTTACACTGAAACAGATTTCTTCCTCGTGACAGTTGTTCTCCTTTTAAAAAAAGCCAAAGAGGGATATAGTTTTTGCTTACAATCTGTCCTGCCTCTGTACTTCCTGGTTCCAGAGTCGATTATAGTTGAGCCTGCAGTTAAATCTCTTGTACCCCAAAGAAGCCACGGCTTTTGTTTTTGTTTTACTCTAATAAAAGGTAGAGGCTAATGCTGAGCTAACAATGCTAACGATTAATTTAAAACTAATATATCTACTGTAAAAAACAATCTCAAGCTACTTTTTCAGTTACCAACAACTCGATAATACAGTGAAATGTATTTATCAGCTTACTGTGTGTGACTCGTCTTAACTCATCTACAATCTACTGGTGCTGATCCGTAAATGGCTTGTTTGTTTTGATACGTTGACTGCAGTACCGAGATTTGACCACAAGGTGTCCTTCTTACCTCACGCTCCTTTAAATGGATACTAAGCAAATTTACTTGCTTTTAGCACCCCCTAGTGTCCGTTATTACTTATCTGTGGTCAAAGAGAAACATATCTCCTCGCTGTGCGTTTGTCTTTTTAACACCTTGATCTAACTGCTGAAAGCCTTCACCAGTTTATAGAGGAGCGATTCATAACTAAGTCAGACAAATCAGCTGTGTTCACGATCATGCAAGTAACGAGCTGGAAGCGGACAGCAGTGCCAGGCATGTAAGCTAAAATGGATCTTAGTCAACAGGTGGCAGCCCGGCACGCTGAAGTTGCAAGTGTACCCTGTAAAGGGTCGTTTTAGCACATACTGGCTCAAGGAAATGATTTGGTAAAGTTACATAGTATAGCTTTAAGCTCCAACAATCAGGCTGACTTTATTATATGTGGTGCAAATTTCTGACTGCTCTCAGACACTTTCTGATTCGTCTGCAGCTTTCCAAAATAACCAAGTTATTTTGCATATGTTCTGTCTAAAATGTATCCAAACCACTTTAATCATTCTTCCAAATGTGCTGCTTCTTCCTCAGTTCTTTCCCAATGGCAACGCCTTCGCCACCGGCTCCGACGATGCCACCTGCAGGCTGTTTGACCTGCGCGCCGACCAGGAGCTGAGCATCTACTGTCACGACAACATCATCTGTGGTATCACCTCTGTGGATTTCTCACGCTCAGGCCGTCTGCTGCTGGCCGGCTATGACGACTTTAACTGCAACATCTGGGATGCCATGAAGGGAGACAGAGCAGGTGGGCAGAGCAGGTGTCTGTAATCAGGTCTAATGGTTTTAAATGGCAAAGAACGAAGTGATGCAACTGTAAATAAAAGCATTTTAAGGTAAACAGCAATGCAGACTAAACAGTAAGCCTTGCACAAACAACTGCTGTGTGAAAACTAAACACCCCCTCCTCAAAAAAATACCCTAAACTTTTTTTTTCTCTTACTTTTTTGACAAAATCCCAGATTTGAAATTTCCCAGTCGTTTGCTAGTTTTGTCTACTTCATACATGTGCAGCTACAGAAGGTCAGGGCACACTATTCCAGACTGAATTGCACATTGATGCATCATTGAAATCATTTTTTCATAACTGGTGGAAACACAAAACTTGTGGCTGAAATGTGTACAGAATAGTGGTCAGGGTGCTTCCGAACTTTTAAATATCTGAAGTTTTTAAACCGTTTAAACACAATTCAGGTTTTTGAACTCAAAGTTAAATTATGAAACTGCAAGTCCAGAAGGAAACACAGCTCAGCCATTATTAGACAATAACAGAACCGGATGTGGACAGCGATCACTTTGGTTTCGTGGCAAGACATTTAGACTCTGCATTTGTCGATCCTTCAGGAGTCCTGGCTGGCCATGACAATCGTGTGAGCTGTCTGGGTGTGACGTGTGACGGCATGGCGGTAAGCACCGGGTCCTGGGACAGCTTCCTTAAGATCTGGAACTGAGCTGTGCACGCCAGCGGGAAGCCCGTCCACGTCCGGCAGCCTCGGGACACAATTCATCCCCGTATTCACACTGTATTTAAGATTTAACAGCAACATTTTACTGTACATAATATAAATGACTTGCATATGAGTTTACACACACACACACACACACACACACACACACACACACACACACACACACACACACACACACACACACACACACACACACACACACACACACACACACACACACACACACACACACACACACACAATGCCTGAAGATGGAACAAATCCTGAGCACATGCTTACACCACCCACTGCTGACAAAAGTGCACGGCAACATATTTGCGTACGTACACACACACACACACACACACACACACACACACACACACACACTTAATCTGTAAAATATCTGAGACCAAATACAGTTGAATCTTCAGCTGCACCAACAAAATAGAAACACAAGAACCACTGTTACCTGAAGCCTTTTAACACATCTCGACATGCCCATTATTTCTCTCTCTCGCTCTCTCTCTCACACACACACACACACACACACACACACACACACACACACACACACACACACACACACACACACACACACACACACACACACACACACACACACACACACACACACACACACACACACACACACACACACGTTTCTACGGAGACGACTCCGTCTTTGTTTACAATCACCTTCACTTTTTTCATTTTCTGTACTGTTTCTTTAGTCTCTGTATCATGATCTCATTAACGCTAAGGTGAAGAGTCACACACATTAACACGTCACTGTTATTGACAGCGTATCATGTTGATATCGTTACATACCATCACGTTCTAATGTTTTCATTTGCTTATTTACTTTTTCACATTTATTTGATCGATGCTTTCCCTGTGTGCCTCAGATACACTGATGATTAGAGATAATCGATACAATAAAATCAAACTGATAATGAAAACATAACCTGACCCATCTAACAAGGGCAGGAGCCAGTATTTGTACTCTGACTTTGTCACTGTATTATCTGGACGTTAATATGAGTTAACTGTACATAATATTAATAAATATAAGCCTCTCCTGTCAGCTGTTGTGCTTTGTGTTCTGTGAAAGCAGTGATTCTGACATGGCGGCTCGTTTTTATATTTTGTTTGGCTGATTAATTTATCTCGTGGAGTATTAGTGTTTAGCCACCAGGGGGCGCTGGTGTTCATTCTGGATCTCAACAGCAGGGGTCTCAGCCTTAGCTTTAAGTTGGCCAGAATTAAAGTCTCAAGCACTTTTTTTTTTTTTTACAAACAGGAATACCGGTACATGAGTTTCTTTTTTCAGATGTCAAAACTTCATACAGAACTTTGCCTCCCTGCACAAATCATTTTAAAGAGCAAGTCAACCCCTACCAGATTCTAACTCCACTCCCACTTCATGTTTGAAAAATGCAACAAATGCTGTTGCCTGGCAGACCGAGGGGGCGGAGCTGCTAACAAATACACACACACAGAGGCATTGTGACATCATAATCTACCAGTTTACATCATAGCATACCTCTTAGCCAATAGCGGTGGCAGATTTAAATTAGAATACAGAGCAGTTTTTACCTGACAACGGCACAACACTGCCAGTTTTAGGCAGAATATTTAAATTTTAATTAAGATGCACTGAAGTGCCAAATTATTGACGGCACGTGTCTACAGCACGATTAGACACTCGTTTCTTTAGTTTATCAGCAAAAAAAAGGTTATTTGGGGTGACTTGCTCTTTAAATATAAGACACAATTTTACTTCAATTAACAAATTAATTTGTCCCTTCCCTGCATTTTTACAGATTTCTCTCAGCCCATTGAAACTTAAAAAAACTCTTTCTGAAAATCCTAATCAGCACATTTAAATATTCCTTCTAAAATAAGAAAGTAGATGAACAATCTCAGCTCAGGTTCATTCATATTAGGCATCTGGGATGCAGAGACACGTCTGCGTCAAAATTATTTAACGAAGAGATTTTCTCTGCTTCAAAGCAAAGCTGCTTTAAAATGACTCCAGGTTGTTTGAAAACTAAATGCATATTCTCACTCTTTTTGGACGTTCTTCCATATGGGTGCCCCGGTGCATTCTGGGACCTGTAGTATTTGTACAGTACACCCCTGGGTCAGTTACAATGAATAATTTAAATAGTCATTTCACCACTTCAGAATAACTTCTCATTTTATGTTGGTAACATCTGAACTTAGTTTGATTATTCAAGTTTATTAAAACCTGGGATTCGTTTACATTTTCAGAGTACTACAAGGCTAATTTGGGTGTTTATGGTTGGCCGTTACATCATAAAGTGGCACGAGTAGGAAAGATTTAATGTTCCAAGCTTTATTCAAATCTGTGTCACATGCAGTGTTGGGCAAGTTACTTCAAAACTGTAATGCATTATTTATTACTTGTTACCCTCATTTTAAAGTAATTCATTACATTACAATATTACTGATTTTAAAATGTAAGGCATTACACTACTTTTGCATTACTCTAAGTTACTTTCAACAAAACAACTTCAGTATGAGTTTGGTAATCTGATGCCTGGTGAACTCATGACACATCCGGTGGAAGGTGATGTGGTGTCTGAGCTAGGACTGCTGTTAAAAACAGTTCTTTAGAATGATTGTTTATGTAATAAATGCAACAACAAACTGTACTCTCAGCACGCTGCCATCTTAGATTAACTGAGCGACGAGTGAGGTGGTGGGGGCTCCAAGCCTATTTGCCTTGGTCCCCAAATGCCTTGATACGGCCCTGGATGTGGGACTGACTTCTGGGGCGATCTGATTCTATCACATGTATAAATATTAAATGCTTATATATTATTGCTTTTCACTGGTAAAATTGAGTATTGGGAATAAATCTACCTACATTTTTTCTTTTCAAGCACTTTGTTTTGTTTTCTTGATTTTATTTGAATAATTTCCTGCCCTTTCTCTCTCTAACCGTCCTGCACGTTGCATGTTCTCTCCGTCTTCCAGAAAACCCGTTTCCTAGATCTCCTACTTTCTAACTAAATCAGCCAAAGGGATCTTCACATGCGCTGCGCTCCAGCAGCAAAGCAGCAATGAGTTGAAATCACCGGAGCCCAGATTAACTCAGCTGAGGCAAAGCACGTCAGAAAAGTACAGAATACCAGAGAACATGTGCTGATATGAACGATCGCAGGTGAATTATTTTGTTTTAGTGGAGCGATTTTGTGAATATAGCAGCGGCCGCGCACAGGATGCAGCTGGATTTGAGCCGTTACCGCTGCGTCCTCCCTTGTCTGCAAAGCTGAGTCCATAAATGACGTAATATATGCAGATACTGGAACTTTTTTCGGGTTTCCTGCAATTTGAATTTTTAAGAAACGCATCTTGATTCTGGGTTTAAAAATGCATTGTAATTACCGCGTTACTGACAATTGTACCGAGTAAATATTACCATTTTCTTTCCCTGTAATGCCTTACATTACCACATTACAGCAAAAAGCAATGCATTACAGTAATTAATTACTTTTGTACCGCATTACTCCCAACACTGGTCACATGTAGCAGTCTCAGGCATCCATCCCGACTCTGTCCTACTTCTATCCTATACTGCCCTCTAGTGGTAGACACTACAGTGTTGGTTACAAATTTTGCAGCCAATGAAAACAGGGAATTTCAAAATTTCCTACTGAAGAGTGGAAAGAAAACCACCCTCTCCTTCACCCAATTCAGACTTGTGTATGTTACGCAGTTTAAATAGGAATAAATGTGTAGAGGTCAAGCTAGGCAGCTCATTGACAGGCATTCACAAACATTAGTCTCAAGTAAAAGAAAACCTTTGAAAAAATAAAAAAAGAAAAACTCTTGGACAAAACTGAGATCAAGGAATTTTATTTTTCAAACAATCTGTATTAAGACATGAAGTCATTCAGCACAATCTTGAAAGATTAAAGTTTATGAAATACAATCTAAGAGTAACCCTCTTACAAGTAACACAGATGTGGGCACATTCAAACACTGCAATAATGAAAAAAATAAGTATCAAGGAATCGTCTATCCTGATGATTTAGAGCTCTCCCACTTTTCCTCTCTGCAGCTACATCTGTCCATTCATGTGACCAGAAATATGAGCTTTGTGGGAGTATCTCCTCTAAAACCACTTCTAACCTGGTGATGAAGGCAGTTTGTGACTTGTCGTCATCCCGACAGGTGATTGTGTCAAACTGACTAAGAGAAGTCATTTCCAGAGTTTCCAAACAGAAGAGAATGATTTTAAACACAAAACCAGCCTACATCAATTCTGCCAAAGGCCACTGAAGATCACCTTCACACCACACAGAGATGGGCATTCAGGGTTTAGATTTGATTAAACGCCCGTATTGCTTATAAAACAGAGGCATCAGGACATTTCTGTAAACTCAACAGTGCCTCCTCCATCCAGCTCTGATGGATGCAGTTTTTTTCCAAAGGGGTTCAGATCTTTTTTTTGGAGACAAGGTGCTTCTACGAAATTCAACAACCTAAATGTGCTTCAAACCAAAGCTTCAAGTAGAAACGTCTGCATGCTGATATTAGCCAGTAGGATGAAAGCAGCATCTCACCGAGCTGCTGTGACTGCTGGTAAAAAACAAAAAAGGTCAATAATGTTCTCCAGGGTTCCTTTTTCTTGTTGGTTGAATTAATGTTTGAAAAGGTTTCAGTCGAAGCTTTCTCCCATTGTCAATGATTTGCTGCAAGGATCTGAAACCCTTCTCCATCTTGGTTTTCATGAGTCTAAGTCAAAGAATTGTGGGTCACCCATGAGATGAAACCATGACTGATCAGAGACAAAAATTAAAAACTAAACCGGGCATCCCTAGAGGAAAATAGCTAATAAAACAAGGATAACTTTCCACCAATTACAAACCACATTAATGGCAGCTCAGTGAAATACTAGGTTCAGTATTTTAAGGCAACTTTACCTTTTGACTGATTTAGTTTGATTTTCAGTCTATAGAGTCTTATTTTCCATTAGTAAGGTCTTCCTGTATTTCATTTTGAAGTCGTGTGTTTTGGGTGTTTGCAACGCTTTCACGTCAAACTCACGTTTTATATGTTTTCTATTGGACTTAATTAGCTAAATAAACTTTTTAAAACACACACACACACGTGTGTGTGTATATATATACATATTATACACACACACACACAAATCAAGCACCAAATTTGCAAACCAAATCATGTACAGCATTTCTGCAGCAGTTTTAGCACATTTGCTAAAATGAGCTAACACTCTGCTCTATAACAGAATCACAACTAAACCATCAAAGTCAGAATATAAACACCTTTTCCGCGTGTTAAACGAGTGTAAGTCACTGCTTTGGTTGATTTTCATCTGGGATGTTGTTTAACAGCCTGTAAAACTTCAGGGTTTTGTGTAAAATTTGATTATTTTGACATTTTAAAACAGACATCTCCTAAACCAGCCTTTTCATTTTATTAGCACTTTTCCATAGTTAATATTTTGAAGTCCCTGCTGCACTTGCTTATGACCACCTGAGAATATCATCAGCGAGTGTCCGTGCGGACTCTTCTGCTCACTAGAACCTCCCTGAACCCTGCGACGTGCACACAGCCGACTCACCTGCTGGTCTAGCACAACCACCACTAGTCCATGATTTAGTCAGACTCAAACACCGACGGGATGAAGGGCAAAGTAAAAACCCATCTTGGTAATGCTCAGATATATTTGACTGCTCTGCTTTAAAATACATTGTGCTTCGATTAACTGTATATAAATACAAACCTGTTTTATTGATGTACATTCACTTTCAGCTCTCATTCACATCTTATAAAATAGGCTAGTCTCTCCACTACCATGTCACAAACATCACTACAGAATAAACACTTATTTTATCTGTGCAGCATGAACCATTGTCTGAGCTGACGACACACACACACACTTCTACAAATATGTCTCATTAATGGCTTTTCTCTATGCTGGCTTTCTCTGAGTAGATCCCATCAGATCTAATAAACGTTTCATAAATTTTCTTTTATTGCCACTTTTTGATTTTCGGTTTGGGCCATCCATCTGTGGTGCCCAAAAATAAAATAAAAATAAAAAAGCATCTAAACTTTGTCTAAGGGGTAGTCTGGATTTCATTTAATCGCACTTCACTGGCACCGAATATTAATCGTGGTTAGGGAGCAAAGAGTTGTGCCTCTTTATTAGATTACAAGCAAGAGACAAACTGGGTTCTTGACGCTTCTTACAAATTCTCATCTTCCCAACTCCAAGGCACTGCTTAAGCTGTAAACATGATCACAGATTGATTAGTAAAGTAAAATAAGAAGCCCCAGGTGGGTTAATGAGAGGATCTGTAGCTCATGGCACAAAAAAGTATTAAAACAAAAAAACGGAAGGAAAAAACATCTGACACAGTACTAAAGAATCTATTTCAATGGCTTCCATGCACACATAACTATCTATAATATATACGGATATGTGTAAACGTATGTTTACTGAAGTGAAAGTGCTTTCCATTTACAATTCTATACTCTCACTTTGAAACTAACCATTTACATCACATTTGATTTTACGCTCTTTAACCTGAAGTCCTTCGGTTTTCCTTACAGCTGTGTGGAATCTCTCTCCCCGTGTTTCTGCCCTTCCCCATAGCCGTCAACCAAGATGAATGGATTATAGATATTTGCTTCAGATTAATAATAAAATGTTATTTTCAGTCCAACCCTGAAATGACTGAAACCTTCAGGAACATCACGATCCTGTTGTGGGTTCACACCACACGGAAAGCCTCGGTCAGTGATCTGTGGGGAAAACCTCCACTGATGCTCTCCTTTCTTTGGCCTTAATTCAACCCATGACGCAAAGCAATGTGAACTTTGGCAGAATGTAAATATATAAAATCTACATGAAGTCTCGTGATTGCAGCCGTGTTCATCAAAGTGCTCGTCTTGATCGTCCTACGGGCCCACAGCGGGTCAAAAAGAGAGCGACTCCAGGGACCAAACAGCTCTCACACTAACGAACCAAAGAACTGAAATATAGTACAGCAGAGGAGAGCTCGCTCTTCGTTACTTCCTCAGACAGCTGATCCTCTCTAAAGCTGTCTCCATATTGCCAAGCTCTTTGATGACTCATGAGAATATATTGCAATAGTATGGCAATATTACAGTAAAATTAAGAAAACCAGTATGCTAACACTAACACTGAATCACTACATATAAATATTCCATCTGTATTTCATAAACCTGTGGAAATGGACACGAGTCTGATGAGACTAAAGTCTAAACTATAGGAAGAAAAGCAGGAAGTTTCTCCAAACTGATTTTAATTGTGACAAACTCATCAGACTTTGGATCGGGTTGATCATTTATTTATATTAAACTGTACTTTGTTATAACTACATAAAGCCTAATTTCTGCAGTGGCAACATCATTTGACATTCAGGCCAGAAAACAGAAAGCAGGTGTTGGTGGTCATCTACAGCCGTTTGACCCTGGCGGACGAGGCCCACAGCAGATGAAGGTTCCAGCGTTATTTACCTCTCAGAACGGCGGCTCTGCAAGAAGCTGGAGGATGAATCTGAGCCAAGTGTCAGGTGAAAGATATTTACAGTTTCCTCTGAAAATAATGCCTGCCTAAAATGTAGGGCGGAGCCACAAGGAATGCTAACGTATTTAACAATTAGGAACTAAAATAGTTAAAACTAGACAAGTTCAAATAAATCAAGGTAGGTTATGTATAAACTTCAAATCATAGGACATCAGCAATGATTCAGGATGATTCCAGGCAGCCTGTCATCAGACAGCCTCTGCTGAAACTGCATCATAGGGAGTGTAGGCTGGAATGGATTCAGGCAGTGTGTGTGTGTGTGTGTGTGTGTGTGTGTGTGTGTGTGTGTGTGTGTGTGTGTGTGTGTGTGTGTGTGTGTGTGTGTGTGTTCTGTGAGACTTTGTCTTAGCAGTGGGAACTCTAAGTATGTGGGAACTGTAGAGGGAGTGTTGTTCACGAGGGTGTGCATGCGTTAGAGAGGATGTCAGATGCACTCGGTTCTGACCCTGTCGGTTTCACACGCCGACCCGGGTAGCAGCTCCTTCACCAGTTCATGATGCAGTTTCTGTTCAGAGTCATGAAGTACACCTGGCTGCTGCCTCCAGAACGCACTGAAGCAAAGAAGACCTGAGGAGCAGCACAGACACAAAGGAGGTGATTACAGAACTGATGTTGTGGTCTGATTCCCGCCTAAAAGACGAGCTGCATCCAGCAGCTGAAAGAAGTCGAGGCTGGGAACTTTTCTGGATGAAAAGCAGCAACATCTTGGGACTTCTGACAGCTCAGAACCTGTCAAAAATCTCACAGCTTTCAACCAGGAAAAGCCATTCCCTCCATGTCGCACGTTTTCCTTTGCTGATTAAAACAGCTTGTTTAGACAGTTATAGTTACAGTAAAGAGCTCGACTTGCTGCTTTTACATTTTCAGGGCTTAACTGAACCTTTTATAGGCGTTTGTGTCTCTTACTTTGTCGTTCCTCTCACAAAGGAACTTCAGCCTCTGAGCTCTTTTGTGCATGAAGACACCGTCCAAATGACCGGTCTCCACTGAGCGGATCTCGATGGCCTTCTCCCCCCAGCCCATGATCTGGTTTGAGCAGATGTGAGCTAGAGAACAGAGTAACATTAGCATTAGCATCACACAACAAGAGCCAACTCTGAGCATGTGGCCGGATCGAGCCATACCAACAGAGGTGGGCATCTCGCCCCACTGCAGGACCACATCCTTTATGATGCGCCCGTAGGTGTTGACATAAACGCCTTCGTCCTCGTAGCACAGCAGCATCTCCATGCCGTCCGAGTTGGGCAGGAAGACGATGGCGTGTGGGGTCACTTGGCTTTGAATCTGTTCCAGATGAAATCAGAAAGCATAAACTCCAGGTTCCACTCCTGCTCAAATGCTGCAAACCAACAGCTTCACAACTCACATGAACAGGGATGTAGATGTCGTAATTGTTTCCAGAGTCCACGTCAATAGCATGGAAGCCAGCGCAGGACCCGTAAATCACCTTCAACCTCTGGCCTTCTTCCACCGTCAGGTCCACCAGCACAGGCCTGTGTGGCAGGTCTGCAAACGACTGTTTACCAGGTGAATGGAAGACAATCATCTGAAATGCTTCTCTGATTGACCAACCTCACTAATGGTGCTCATATGAAAGAAGAAACTTACCTTGAAGGCCATAAATTTGTGATAAGGTTTGGGCGCCCAAGCATAAACTTCCACTGCATTCTTTAAAGCGATCACCAGGAACTTTATCCTCTCATATTTCACTGAACAGAACAACATCTGAGACTTAGAATCAATAATTCACTCATTCACATCTATTCACTAGAACTTCTCTGGAGTGGAGCAGAACAACAGCCATCTGCTACCTACCCACTTTGTAGTGCACACAGCCCTCCATCTCCCCCACAGTGGTCCAACCCTGCTTCTTCTCCACCTCAGGATCGTTGTGGAGGATCTTATTCCTCAGCCATGCCAGGTAGTACACACGCACCTTGTTTTTCTTGCCTTAATGTTCACAGCAGAAATATTATTTAGAGTTGCTAAATGCTGGGGGTTTGATGCTGATGGATGAAGGAAGAATTAGAGAAAAAACTACTTACATTTGTTATAGTTCATTATTGATTTTTGTAAAAATCTCATCAGAAATGAAAACATGTTTTTGTGACTCTAAACTATCAGATTTCCAGCCTTTGGAATGACCAGGTGAACATCTTTGAGTTGATGAAGTAAGCAGCAGTTTATACCTGATATGGTGATGAGCAAGTTGAGACCCTCCAGGACATCCATCTGCTGGAACCTGCGGGAGTTGATGAGGGGGTACACCTTCCCCTGACCGCTGCGGTCCAGCAGCTTTAAGCCGTTCTCTGTGCCCACCAGCAGGTTCACACCTGGACACACAAATGAGCTTCAGCCATCACATCTCCTGTCGTGTGCATTCATTTTCCAACTTCGTTTCCAAATCATAACCTTTAAAAACTTCTGCATTTGTCCACATTGGTAATACAAACCCAATTTATTTATGAAGCGGATTCACTTTGTAATGTGGGTTTATAAAGTGAACTCAACAACCCCCCAAAACGCCTCAATCTGGATTATATACTTGAATGTACGAGCGAGTCGGTCCTCACCCCACAGTGCAGCACACAGGATCTCAGAGTTGAACCTCTTCTTGTACTTGCGGATCTCGGGCGTGTCGTTGGGAGGCCGTGTGTTGGTAGGATTAACGTTCACCATGGATCCTTTTCTCACTTCCATCTTCAGCTGCTCAAACCTAGAGCCTAGACACAGATGTTACAGATAGGAGGACAATTAGCCAAACTTGTCCAAAATGTCAAAACATAGTTTGATTTGTTTTTAAATGTAGTTTAATGTGCATCAACAACTTCATCCAAAACGCCACAATAGCATCAAAACAATCATGTTGTTTTCTTTATGTTTGACTGCAAAAGACAAATAAACAAGAAGACGAAAGTTCTCTAATAATCAACTCTAAGCACATTTAAAAATGTTCCGACTCACTGCTGATTGACATGTTATCTCCTGTTCCTCCCGGAGTCTGGTACATGCCTAGATCTACAAAAGTAGTGAAGGAAGACTTGCCAGATGCCTTCACCAAACCTCTGGACTGATACTGGTGAAACAGAAAGGGTGGGTGAGATAAACAAGTCTACATAAACTCTGTGGAAACTTTCACCTTTTCACATCAGAGAATCATAACAACATGTGCTACTGATGCCAGTATCATACTGAAATGATGGCGTCTAGCAGAAATGATGGCATACATAGAAGAAATAAAAATAAACCCTAAAACCAGGGCTGACAAACTTAGCATCAGGACAACTTACATCATAAACAGAGTCTTTCCCAGGAGAGGAGTGAGTGGCTGATTCAGTGGGAGAGTGGGAAGGCTGCACCACATCTGGCAAGTTAGTGTATCCATTATGGCTCCTCTTCTCTGGGGTCTTTCAGGTCAAATAGACAGATACTTGTATTATGTGATGACAGTAAAGAAGCAGTAATCCCTTTAAACGTAGCTTGTGCCTTTTCTATAACAGGTCAGCTGCTTTATCGTCTCTGCAGGCTGGAAACATGAATGAGTTGAAGTCTTTACTGAGTGACTTCTAGCTGTCAACTCAATCAAATGTCAGTAAGTTCTTCAGACATCCTTGTTTTTATTTTGTGAAAACTGAAGAAAAGCGAGTCGACAAACTAACTTTTCCAAATTGCCGTAATTTTAATAAAACAAATTTTCCAGAGGGCATGAAGTCCTGTGAGGATGATGGCTGACCAATCCAGATGGTGACATAAATATAGGACAGCTACTGCTCCTGTGCTGCAGCTGAGCCTCAGAGCTGTCAGAGACGGCTGTGAAGACCTACTACTGTTAGCATGAACCTGCAGTGTGTGTCATTGTATCAATTAGGATACCAAAACTGTAATTTCACTATTTAAACCCCCACCCCCCCACCCCCCCACCCCCCCCCCCCCCCCCCCACACACACACACACACAAAACCCCTCAGTCAAGGAGACACTGTTCCTATTCAACTCATTAGGAGCCATCCAGAAATGCATGCTGTCATGGTCGTCTCCCCAAATATCTCAGAGATGCTTTATCTGACAAACTAACAGCATTTAGCTGGAGGGGAGCTTCAGGCAACTTTCATTAAAAACCTTTACAAATATTTAAGGGTCTAATAATAAGAAACCAGCAGATCACAGAATGAAGTGAATAATTTAAACAGTTGCATTGTGTCAACATTTAAATATATTGTTTATTCCTGTTTGATCTTTTATATAAACTAAATAACTGAATAAAAACAAATCCACAAAATAAAGTAAGGGACCTTTTTGTTTTAGTGTTGTTCTAAATTCTGTGTATTTCTGCACAAGTAAGGCCTGACGACTTTATGGAGGCAGATTAATGAGGCTTTAGAAATAAAAAGCGTTTATGCCCTTTATTAATTCTGTTAAACTGGAATCAAAAAAAGAGTTGCTATAAAAATGATTTTAAATCATTTTTGGAATTAGATCTGTTTGTTGAGAAGTTTGCAAAAACAGTAAAAATGATGTTATACTTCCTAAATAAATGTCTAACATGATGAGTTGAATGAATTCATCTCCCTGCTCTACAATATTTGCCACCATGCAGATTCCTCTGCAGAAATCAAAAAGCATCTTAAACATGATCTGAAGTTGGCGTGACTCACCCGCTGCACCAGCATGGTCTGGTCCCCATAAACTCCTGCTTGCTCCCCCTCTGCCTCGCCTTCGTCTTCATGAACCACCATGGTGTTGACCGAATCGGTGTCTGCATCCCTGTGACTGAACATTTAGGCCTACTCAGTTTTCCGTTACCTCATTTGTAAAAGTTTATTTGTGCAAGCATTACCGATCCGTTGGGCTTTCCTCCTCCTCTGCTGCCTCGCCACTCTCACTTTCTTCGCTACTTTCGTTGCTCTCTGAAGAGGAGGAGTAATCATTGGCCTTGACAGGAGGCCTCGGTGGCTCCTCGGCACGCTCCTTGGCATAGAGGCCATGATCCTGCACCCGCATACAGCTTTGTTTACTTTGAGAATGCATTCAAAACATTCTAAACAATTAAAGATGTAAAGAATGAGCACAACATTAACAAATGCATAATTACTATTTAGATTATCAAAAACATGAGTGAGGTCCCATCCAGAGAAAGTACTCAACTGGGAATCAAATGGTTTACAATTCAGGGCATCCTTATATTGGGAAAAATAACTAAAATAGTCAAATGGCACAAATTATAAACAGAATATTATTTAATTCAAAAGAAAAACAACGCATCAAATGAATGAAGGCTTTACAGCATGCATGTGATTCTCCATAAACACGTAGAAGTCCAGGAACACCAATACAAATCCATGCAGGATCACACAAGACGACAGAGATACTAACCTCCCCTATTGCTCTCTTGTAACTCTGCACATTTGAGGTAAAGTCAAAAAACAAAACATGAGGAGTGATGTCATGGAGTCTGAAGTGTAAACAGAAAGTCCTTTTCTGCCTGGCAGCATGTAACTACTGATAACAGACATGAATAATAGATTCACTTATCAATTGCCTTACTGCGTGCAGTGATGTGTACGTCTATAGGAAAATAAACATTTATTCTACATAAGTTTACTTCCTCTGCCACTGCCTTTGTGATGATCAGTGCGAGTTAAACCCCAACTTTGTTTTTCTGCTCGTTAAAGGCAGAGTTTACTCATTTTTGTCAACCCATCTGCAGTGGTCTCTATATGAATGAGTGTGATCTCTGTGGGGGAAAAAAAGCTCTGGTGCTCCTGTTTCAGGAACTAGACATTAACCAGATGAGAGGTGAGCAGAAGATGGCAGAATTTGGTCTCATTTCCTGATATTCAGACATCTGGCCTCTGATTGGCTAACAGCAATGTGACTCTACCACTGACTGCTTGCTCTGCAACTTTGATGTTTTATCTCCACAAATAACTCAAGCCTGAAGGAGTTCTGCTGCGTGGTGGAGTTGCTGATGCTAACGGTAAGTTTCTACTAGTTGAGATGGGCTCTAGTCTTTCCTGGACACTAAACCAACCAACCAACCAACCAACCAACCACAGCCTTCCCCGTTACAAGCCAACATGGGTGAGTCCATGAATGCACATTTTATATGTGATGTGGAATTGGCTGGCTGGCTTTTCTAATTCAAGCTTTTACTTGTTTATTTACTAAATGACGAGTAAATGCAGGAAATAGAGGTAGAAGACTATTTTCACGTTCATCCTGCATGTGGCCAATCATAGCTCAAAGTTAACGATTAAAAAATAGTTTCTCAGCAACGTTGGTCTTTAAGCACAAGAGGAACGTGATGCAGAAAGGGCTGTAATTAAAGAAACCCTGCTGTTAAATATATATTCATTACTGCGGCTTTAGACTGAATGCTTGATTAAGACGCACTAATGTGCTTGTCTAAGTAAAAGTGAGCATCATCTGCTGGTCCAGCCCTTATGCAGAGCAAGGAGTCCAGAGCTGAAGTCGACCTAATGTAAGGAAAACCCTTGTAGTCGTTCTATGTGTTTGAGTCACTTCACACCAAAAATGTTTGAAAACAAACTGAAGGAACAGGAATTTTATCTGCAGCATGTATCATTTTAATTATGTTAAAAAAAACATTTCTGAAAGTTTAGATGAAGAACTTACAGCAGGGCGCCCAGGACGGGAGGAGGTTCGCGACTCTCCCGGTTTATGGCGACTTTCACGAGAGAGGATGGGCGATTCCATTTTGGAGGAGCCTGGGAGGAAACACAAACCAAAAAAGCCCACATGAAATAGTGACTGAGTGTTGCTGTACTTCTGAACTAAAACTTCCTGCGAAGACCATCTGTTCCAAGGCAGGGACTCACTGAGGATACGATGCCTCTCCAGGGAGCCAGTCTGGGGCAGATTGGAAATTATGCTCATGCTGTCTCCTCTCTCCCAGCGATCGTTGCGGCTCAGATCTGGATTGCTGCAATGAGAACACAATCAGGTAAATATGTTATTACTACAAATCACTGCTTAGAATGAAACACTGAGTCTAAACGCTTGGCCTTCTTCAGTACCTGGCTCTTACTGGGTGCCTGATGCCAGAGGTAAGGTTGGTGTTAAGAGCTGTGGCAATAGATGCGGTCCTCTGGGGAATCTGTGGACAGAAACAGTACAAGATTTAAATTTTATAGTAGCTAAAACACACACATACATTACTAAAATGTTTTGTTTTGATTTGAAAGCTGTGTTGGAAATTAGTTCATAATTTGCTGTGTACACTGCTCCTTTAAAAATCAACCTTTGGATCGTACCTTGGGTGGGAGTTCAACATCTGGGAGGCGGATCCAGGGGCCACGATCCTCCCTGATCTGATGTGCCTGTGGTCCAGGGGTTTCAGAGGTGGGGTCCGAATTCTGGCGTACAAGCTCCCTGGAGTGGGTGGGGCGAGGAGTGGGGGTGAGGGAGGGATCCTGGGTGGGGAAGGCGGACATGTTCTTAGTGGGCTGGTCACAGAGGGACTGAGAGCGAGGGACAGGGGCAGCGTAAGGCTTCAGCGGAACCAAGTGAGCCATCTGGAACTGCAGCGGTGCAGGAGAACACCAGGAGGGAGAAGGAGCCGAGCAGAAGGGAGCGTGCACAAGACAGTCGGAGAAGTATGCCAAAGTCCAGAAGAAGGTTTATCAAGGGGATATTTTTATATGTAGAACCAACGTAAAACAGAACGGTGACAAAAAGGAAAGTAGAGAAAAAGAAATTAAGATTGCATAAATAACAGCAATAAAATCAAGAGTAAAGCAGCTAGAGTTAGAAAAGAACATCAGCAGCAGTTGCATGGTCTGGTTTTCAATAAGATTTGAAAGAACTACACATGAAACCCTAAGAGACACCCACCTTCCCCTGACCACCCTGGGGTTCAACTGGCCTCTGCATGGGTGGGGTCTGAGCAGACTGGACCATTCCTGACTGGCTGATTGAGTCAGAACGAGACTGGATGGCCGTGTCGGAGACTGTGGTGCAGATTTTGGGTGAGCCCTGTCTGTTCAGCTTACTTCGCTCCTCCACCTGGGAAAAGACCAATGATGGAGTGGTTTACTGTAGCTGTGAAGGCTCTCTGCAGCTCACTAGGCTTCAAAAGCAGATTGTGCCATTACCTCACGGGCCCAGGTCGGCTTGTTGTTGGGCTCCAGGTTCTTGTTGTAGTGATAAAGCTGTGGCTTCTTTTCTTGTTGTTGCTGCAGAGACACCAGGTAGGCATGCTCCTGCTGCAGCTGCCTCTGCAGCCGCTCCGACTGACGCTGCTCTTCAAGCTGTTTGCGCTTATACTCCTCATAAAGAAAACGTACCGAACAGTGAGCGTGGACGAAACCCGCAACATTAAAGTTTCACTTATCCTAGAGATCCTTCTTTCATACGCTCTTGACGAAAAGATTATTTAGCCTATTTGTTCATCACTTTAGCCACAAAGGTAAGTCAAGTGACTTTTCCTTTTCCCCTTGTGAGTTGTAGAAACAGGTTTCTGCAGTGCGGCTAAAAAACGCAGGAAAAATAAAAGCCTCAAAGTTTCATAGATCGAACTACTAAAGTTATTTTAACATAACAGGAAGTTAATTTGCTACAGGTACATGTATTCTTTATGAATACTGATAGACAATAAGTAGTTTATGTAGGAGATGTCCTCTTCGTGCTTCATTTATCGTTTGTTTCAAATCGGTGATGTGGATTTGGCAGAATCATCATCAGATTAATGTGCTGTGCATGTAATCTATAGCAACAGCCTCATGCAGACAGTTGACTGGTTTAGGTTAGAGCTGGTCTTAATGGAAGCCACTCCAAGGCACCACAGGATGTCAGAACTGGAGCAGTTTTATCTTTTAGATGAAGACATATCTACTTCAGTGCTGAAAATGGCTGAATCCTCTGAAAATCTAGGTCATTGAATATCTGTTTAAGATATGCATTTACGGGAGCTGTAATTATGTTTTAGATCATCCTTGAGCATATCAACATGCTGACTGTGCTGATCTAAAATCTACTTATCCATGCTTATAGAACCGTCTTTCACAGCCTTTATCTCAGTTTGCTTAGAAGATCATTTGTTTTGACAAAAACAGAGCAGCCACACTGACGAGAGGACCCATCTATTTACAAAATCATATAAATCAGACAAGACAATAGAAGCTCTGTGAGCAAATCCTGAAATGATTAGGGCCTAGTTACCATTAGCAGTGCCTGCTCCTGAAGCAGCTGCTGCTGAAGGATTTCTAACTGCCGCTGTTCTTCTTCTAACTTGTGTCTTATGAACTCCTGCAGCGAGGTAAAGAGGCAGGGAGGAGAAGGGTTTAGGTGGTGATGAGACGACATGGGAGCGGGGTGGAAGGAAGACACAGATGAGAGGTAAATAACACCCTTCTTGTAAGAACAGAACAAGTGCTGTAATAATTCTAATGTGTAGGTGAACAGGTATTAAGTCTGTTTGGAATAACGGTAATGGGGACAACTTCAGCTGAAAAAACGTTCACAACTGCATTAACTTTGTACTATAAAGATGCAAGTTAAATATGTGAATGTTTAAAGCATCAGACTCCTAAACCTGGTCTGTAAGTCAATCTGATGCCAGACTGCTGCTGCTGAGGACAGACTGGGAACAGAGCATGAGAAGCAGAGCGCTCACCCACAGAAAACTCATCTCTGGGTAAATACACTAATTTAGACCCTTGCTGCTATGGCAACCTACTCGTGGAATTTCACCACCAGCAACTTGCACTATGCTGCTTGTAGACACGCCCCCACTTTGCTCTGATTGGCTGAGTGCAGCTCTGCTTGTCCTGTGGTTGGTTACCTGCTCCCTCTCTGCCATCCTTCTATCTTCCTCCCGTCTCATATCGTCAAGTCTCCGGTGGGGACCTTTTTCTTGCTGCCTCACCATCTCTCGCTCTTTTCTCTGTTGCTGGGAGAGAGGGGTGACAGGAAATGGAGAAATGAGGATGCCTGCGCAGAAGATTTATCCTGCTTAAGAGCAAATTCTCTCCTGAAAAGAGCTGCAAGAAACGTAAAAATTTCCCTCTGGGATTAATAAAGTATCTTTGATTTGAAAAAGGAAGCCGGGGGAAAGGGCAAAGTACTGAAACAAATCCTTAAGATCCTAGTGTTAATATGCGTGTGTTGCAAACGTAGTGACAGTTTCACACGTTTGACAAAAACAGCCTTTATTTACTTGTATTTGGGTCATTGAAACAACAAGTTATGTTCTTTGAAGTGAGATGAGACATAAAATACCTCAGTTACTCAGCTTTAATGTTGGATAAAAGGGGTAAACCAAGATGGAATAAGAGGCCAGGGTGGATAAACACTGTGCCACATTACTGCAGTACAATAAATACTGTATAAATACTGCATAATGTTCAGAGCAACTGCAGCTACAGAAGTGTTATGCATGTCACTTTTCAAACCCCACTTACTTCCTTAAAGATTTCAAAGCAGCTGACAGTTTGCTGGCAGCCCAACAATTAACAGAGTTACGAAGGAATGTCTTTCTAACTCTTCATACAGTTTTTTATCAGTAATGTCTGATGTAACAGCCTGCCAGCTCAATAACTACATGTCACCCTGAAATCAGGTTTAAGCGTGATGTAGGGAGCTCTGAATATATATTCAGGTCATGTATATATCAACACTTTGTCAGCTGCTATAATATTTAACCAGTGCGTGTACTTCGTACACACTGTACACATTAAACCAGAAATTAAAGATTAAAATTGTTCCTGCTTGACCTTTTTAACCTAGACATGTCAAATCACTACAGGTGCTGGCCAGTAAATTAGAATATCATCAAAAGGTTGAAAATATTTCAGTAATTCCATTCAAAACGTGAAACTTGTACATTATATTCATGCAATGCACACAGACCAATGTATTTCCAATGTTCATTACATTTAAATTTGATATTCATAAGTGACAACTAATGAAAACTCCAAATTTGGTATCTCAAAAAATTAGAATATTCTGAAAAGGCTGAATATAGAAGACACCTGCTGCCACTCTAATCAGCTGATTTACTCAAAACACCTGCAAAGGCCTTTAAAAGGTCCCTCAGTCTTGTTTTGAAGGCACCACAATCATGGGGAAGACTTCTGACTTAACAGCTGTCCAAAAGACAATCATTGACACCTTGCACAAGGAGGGCAAGACACAAAAGGTGATTGCTAAAGAAGCTGGCTGTTCGCAGAGCTCTGTGTCCAAGCACATTAACAGACAGGCGAAGGGACGGAAAAAATGTGGTAGAAAAAAGTGTACAAGCTCTAGGGATAACCGCACCCTGCAGAGAATTGTGACGACAAACCCATTCAAAAATGTGGGGGAGATCCACAAAGAGTGGACTGCAGCTGGAGTCAGCGCTTCAAGAACCACCACGAGGAGACTCATGAAAGACATGGGATTCAGGTGTCGCATTCCGTGTGTCAAGCCACTCTTGAACAAGAAACAGCGCAAGAAGCGTCTCGCCTGGGCCCAGGACAAAAAGGACTGGACTGATGCTGAGTGGTCCAAAGTTATGTTTTCTGATGAAAGCAAGTTCTGCATTTCCTTTGGAAATCAAGGACCCAGAGTCTGGAGGAAGAGCGGAGAAGCACAGAATCCACGTTGCATGAGGTCCAGTGTAAAGTTTCCACCGTCAGTGATGGTGTGGGGTGCCATGTCATCTGCCGGTGTTGGCCCACTCTGTTTCCTGAGGTCCAGGGTCAATGCAGCCGTCTACCAGGAAGTTTTAGAGCACTTCATGCTTCCTGCTGCTGACCAACTTTATGGGGATGCAGACTTCACCTTTCAACAGGACTTGGCACCTGCACACAGTGCCAAAACCACCAGCACCTGGTTCAAGGACCATGGTATCCCTGTCCTTGATTGGCCAGCAAACTCGCCTGACCTTAACCCCATAGAAAATCTATGGGGTATTGTGAAGCGGAGGATGCAATACGCTAGACCCAACAATGCAGAGGAGCTGAAGACGACTATCAGAGCAACCTGGGCTCTCATAACACCTGAGCAGTGCCACAGACTGATCGAGTCCATGCCACGCCGCATTACTGCAGTTATTGAGGCAAAAGGAGCCCCGACTAAGTATTGAGTGCTATACATGCACATTCTTTTCATGTTCATTCTTTTCAGTTGGCCAACATTAGAGAAACAAACATTTTTTCATTGGCCTTTAGAATATTCTAATTTTCTGAGATACCAGATTTGATGTTTTCATTGGTTGTCACCTATAAATATCAAAATTAAACGTAATAAACATCGGAAATACATTGGTCTGTGTGCATTGCATGAATATAATGTACAAGTTTCACGTTTTGAATGGAATTACTGAAATATTTTCAACCTTTTGATGATATTCTAATTTACTGGCCAGCACCTGTATATGTCATTTCTTAATTATCTACTTACAGCAGATTGAGTGAAATTGTTTACATAACAGCAGCTATCTATGAACTGCATTAGTTAGACTACAGCAAATGGCCTGCAGTGCTGGTTTAAACTTTTGCAGAGAGGCAGGTTAGTGTTAGGGGAGAGAAAGCAGAAAGACTTGATGCAATCCAATAGACTTGGATGTCTGATAGGGAAATATTAATGCTAAATCTACAATGCATTTACCAAATCAAATCAAGTACCATGTGCAATTTAACTGATTCCATGTTTCTAATAACCAGAATGTCTTTTACTTTGAATAAAAACATTTTCAGCCTCTATTATTCTATTAGCACCACCTTTGTTGGTTAAAATGATTCAAATGTTACTTATAAAATAATTTAAAAGTCAGAGAATTTCTATTGGTGCCACGTAGAATGTAGTTAAGCATTTTACACAATCTACAAGTCCAGTTTCCCATCTGTTTAAATCGAGCCAATTTTGCAAGCGATTATTTTTTGAAAGGTATATTTATTACTTAGAAATGTATTTTGTGACAGAACAAAAGGTTAGTACTATTGATCCATAAAAAAAAAACTAATCGTGACTGAACTACGTACAATTAACTTGAGCTATTTAATAATAAATGTGAACTTAGTAGCCTGTTAGCCTAGCTTAAACAGATTTACACAGATGGTATATATTGTTTTTTAAGCTGTCGGTAAGTCCCTTTTGACTAACATCTCTGTAAAAATCTTTAAGTTTGAAAACTAAAGAAGTTGACCATTACCTCTTCAAGTCGACGACGTTGTTCCTTCTGCTCCTCAATGCGTTTCTGTCGATCGTGCAAAAGTTGCCTTTTATGCTCTTCAGGGTCGCGGCGCTGAGCTGCCAGTTGGGCTTGCTGCCTCTTGTGAGCCTCCGAGCGCTCCTTGTTTTCCTGCTGCAGCCGTTGGAAGTCTCGCCTTAAGGTGGACTCACCAGGCACGTTCAGGATCGAACTGACCATGAAAATAAAAATGACAAAATGGAGATATTTTCATAAGCTTAAAGGTTAAAGACCAAGTTCTTACTTATTTTGGAGAATGATCAGTCACTTTGAGTTTAACATGCAGGCTGAATGTGAAAATAGATTTCTACCCCTATTTCCTGCATTTACTTCCAACAGGAAATAGACAAGAAAAGCTTGGTTCAGATGAGCCTTACAGATCTACATCCCACCATCAGCATTTCACATTTATGGACTCACGATGGGGAAGGCTGTTTTTTTTATTTAGCGTGGTAGAAGCTAACTGTTCTAATTAGCAGCTCCACAACATGGCCAAGCTCCTTCAGGTTTGTTATTTGCAGAGATAAAACATCAACACTGCAAATGCAATCAGTGGTAGAGTCGTGCTGCTGTTGCCGAAGCAATTTCCCCAGAGAATGATTTACAAGGCATTCATTACTACTAGAGACCACTGAAAATGTATTAAAAATATGCGTGAACTTGATCTAAAAAGAATCAACCTTTGTGTAATTCTCACTGAGACTCGATCTGTTTGATTCAAATTTTTCCAGGATTTTAGTTCAGTTCAACTTTGCAGAAGGTAAATTTGTTTCACAGGCAGCAGTTAAACACACAACAACCTCACAAACAACGATCTAACAGCAAACATACCAGAGTTCAACAGTCTGACTGCAGTGACCATGAGCGATTTTACAGGAAGCTGTTCTACATGGACAAGCACCATCATACATTGGTGATCTTCTTAGTCCCTACACCCCCAGCAGGTCCCTGAGGTCCAGTGACCAAAGCCTACTGGTTGTGCAACGCACCAGGCTAAAGACCAAAGGTGACAGATCATCTGCTGCTGTGGCCCCCAGACTCTGGAACTCTCTCCCCCTGAGCCTGAGATCAGTGGACTCAGTGGTCTCCTTTAAAAAGCAGCTGAAGACTCACCTGTTCAGACTGGCTTTGGTGTGACCTTCTTCACCACCCTCCTTATTCTGCTCTCTCTACGTATTTCGCTTTTCCCGGGATCCACGGATTTCCCTCTTTTGTATTCATTTTCTCTCTCCCTTTCCTCACATTTTTTAATCAAATCTTTTTGTCATTTTAAACAAAATTTGTAATCTTTTTAAAAAATTCTTTATACTTTAAATTTTTTGCTTTGTGAAGTGCTTCATGATTTATCTTGAGAGGCGCTATATAAAAGATAGTTTCTTTTTTTTTTTTTGTCTTTCTTACATCACCATCCTGACCTTAAGAGTTGAAACTCGGCCCCTAATGGGTGGCCAGGATCGGATATAACAATTTTAGCTTTTTTTAGTGACCTCATCTTGTAAACCTCTTCTTCCCACAGGAAGCATCAGTGGCGCGAAACTTCATTGCTTCCAGCAGAATCCATTATAGTCTATGGGGGGAATTCAAACAGACTGCGATGCGATAATTCAGAAGCAGCGTGCCACTAAAGACAGGATTGGGTTCTATTTTTGCTACGAGTTGCTTCTGGGACACGTCGATTTCTGCAGTAAACATAGGGCTAGACAGGAAATTACACACGGTTTCAGTGTAAAACCTCCAGTAATTTTCAAAATAAGATTATTGCAACAATGCAATTTCATATCTATGTCGATTACGTCAATACAAGTGACCTAATGGCTTATTAACTCCCAGCATCCTTGGAGGAGTGCAACGGTGTGTGTGGCTTTAACCCTGGCAGTGGAGAGGAACAACATCAAACAGCGATAAACGTGATTTCCTTGTTTTTGGTTTAATGGCGGATGGCATTAAAAATATGACGTTTGAAGATTAAAGGAATCTTGTGATCTTGTGAGTCAAGCGAGGAGGAAGGCAAAAGTCTCTAGGGAGTCTCTCGAGAGGTGACGGTGGCACAGGAGTTAAGTGCTCGCCCCATAATCGGGAGGTTGCAGGTTTGATCCCCGCTCAGTCTGTCGCTGTCGTTGTGTCCTTGGGCAAGACACTTAACCCAGCTTGCCTGCTGGTGGTGTTCGGAGGCACCGGTGGTGCCTGTATACGGCAGACTTGCCTCAGTGTGCCCCAGGGCAGCTGTAGCTACAATGTAGCTCATCACCACCAGGGTGTGAATGACTGTGATGTAAAGCACCTTGGGGGGGGGGGGGGGGGGGTTCCAGCACTCTAGAAGGCGCTATATCAAATAAAGGGGGGAAAAAAGAAGGCTTTGCACCAGGCCATGTTTTGCGTTTACTACTTACTAAAAAATGACGAATCATCTGCAGACTTAATGTGGTGCCCAGTGAAATAGCTCTGGCAGTCTTTTGTGTATAAAACAAATAAATAAGATTTTATAGAACTTAGAAAGAAACCATCCGTTGTAATGACCTTGACTCTCTGTCATCGCCACGATTTTCTTCATCCTCATCGCTACCGCTGTACTCATACTCGGTCTCCTCTAGAACACAGAACCATAAAGAAAAGTTAAAAACTCCAATAACATTTATAGTGTATAAAGATACGGTCAGTTTGCGGTTTACCATCTCGTTAGCTTACCCTTTTCCCCTCTCTTCTTGCGTGTACGGTCGATGTGGTCCTTGAGCTGAATTCGGACCTGCCGCTCAGTGGGCTGATCTCTGATAAAGGAATGCTTGAGCAGCTGCTCTGTGGATGGACGGCTGTGATACGTCTTGACCAGACAGCCCTCTATAAAGTCTATGAATTTCTTGGACCTGGGAGGAAGGGGAAGGTTAGAGGATGATAAATTTGATGGGTGGGAGGAGAAAATGGGGAGGCATGATTCTGCTGACAAGAATCCTGTTTTAGTAATTATCAGAAACCTAATTAAAACATACGACTTTTAAATGTGCCGGTTTTCTACATTAGTGAAATAAGTAATATCACCAATTCATTCAGCTTAGCAAGAGAACTCAATTGATATTGACTCAAGTGGCTGCATTTAACTAGTCCGGGGGTCGGCAACCCGCGGCTCTTCCATCCATCTGATGCGGCTCTCTGTGCTTGTAAAATAATGAATGGATATTTAAATAAAATGCTTTATATTTTACTGCATTAATTTTACATCTGTATGCCAATTCTAAATGTAAAGATTGTCTGCGTAAACCTGAACAGGTCCAACCAGGTCTTACTGTGAGACCGGGTTGATGGGTCACGCTTGTGTGTAATCATAGGGGCTTTCTGAGCTGAAGAGGATGTGAGATTCTGGGCTTCTCCTCAGACGGCTCCTGGAGGTGTCGCCACATTGGAGACAGGAACAAGCGCTATTCAGCCAATGTTTCATAATCAGGGAACATTTTCTAAGTGACAAGTCTCTCTGAGAGACCGGGTTTGGAAAACGCTCGCTTCAGTCGGAGGAATCTTCCTGCATGCGCTCTGGTTCTGCGACGCACTCCAAGCCCCTCTCCACATCTTCAGCTCGCTGTGCACCGTACGTATGCGCTGACAGTGAGCTGCGCTTAGCAGTGTCCAGCTCAGATGTTCAGATGGGAATCTTTTCTTGAGTGATTTAGCTACATCTGCGATGTGCGAAACTAATAAAATGTCAGTTCGTCTGCATGCGTCGGGGTAATTCTTTCTATTCTTTCTCCGTCAAAATAAACGGTCAAATACGGGAACTATCCGGTCAACACAAGCCCTGCTTTTAACTGTTCTGTTTTCTTGTGAAAATTGTTGCAAATTTAACTTGATTAACACCAGAGCCAGGCGCACTGCGCCGTTATCTCCGTCGCTGTAAATGAGGGAAAAACAAAATGATCTGATCCTTTTCTGACCTTCCCCACCTACAAAGTTTAATTACAACAATCAAACGTGACAGAGCCTGGATTTGTATTCTGAACAGTCTAAACATGTTTTAAAAAGAAACGTATGACAAAAGGGGCACCTGCTCAGTAAAACCACCAACAGGGTGAAAAATATCAAAATATTGTAGGCAGAGACGGGCTACAACTTCTGGATCCATTTTATATCAATCGTTTTATTGATTATCGTCTTATGAAAGATAACTTTGACGTACACGAGCGACCGGTACTGGCTGCTGTCACCTGTTGTGATTGGTTAGAGCAGCTCTCTGCTGTCTGAGGGTAGGCCCCGCCCACAACGCCGCGGCTGCTGTGGCTCCCAGTGTTTTCTTTACTGTGGGAAATAGGTAATAATGGCTCTTTGATGGGAACAGGTTGCCGACCCCTGAACTAGTCAGTGGAGTGAAGACTGCATTAACTCATTCACTGCCAAAATTGTGCTTTTTACTGGGGTGGGCCTGGGAACGATCTCCTGGATCTTGAGAGCAAACATCACGGCTTTATAGCTGACTTCCATCCGTGTGTGTCACATGCCACGTGATCAAGAAGTGGACAATCCATGAATTAGGAGATGGTTTTGGGAGGTTAAGATCTGAGAAACTACTAATGAAGTCACTTTTTCTAAAACTTGTGTTTTTGGTGCAATATTATTGTTGAATATATTCATTATTTTCTTTTGTTTTATTCTTTACTTATTCCTTTATTACCATATAAAGCATTAATGTGATGATTTAAAACGAGAGTCACTAACAAATGTTTTCTTTCAGCATGAAGGAGACGAGATGAGCACGGCAGTGGACAGCAAGGCCAAAGTCTAGATAACGAAAATATGAGTGGAGTGAGTGGCAGAACAGCAACCATAAGTAGATGAGAAACGGAAGTTCTGTTATGAGAAAGTGTCTTAAGATGTTGTGGGGCAAAACAAAGTTTGTGAGGTCACACCAAGAAGCGCCCTTGGGTGAGAAGGAGAGATTGATTGGTGTCTGTATCTACTGACTGGAACTGCTCCAGTCTGCTTCTAACGATTATAAGGGTTAGGGTTATAACCCTAACCCTTATAATTATAATTAAATATAATTGAATGCTACTAAGGCCTGATTCATGCTTCTCAGTCAGCTCGGGGCTCTCCAGCAGGCCTGCAAGGATGGATAATGGCTTTGCGTGTCTCCACACTGATGCAGACGCAGAAGCATGAATCAGGCTTAATGCGAGGAATGTTTAAAAGTAGGGATGCACAATATATCTGCATCAATATCGGTGCTGGGCCGATATTAACAACTGATATTTTTACCATCTTGTTTCCATTTGTTTATCAGTTTCAGAGGGTGGGGTGGGGTGTGTGTGTGTTTGTTTAGTAATGTGACAGTAAGTGTAAATGGGTGTGCCCATAATAATGTAAATTTAGCTTTAATAATTTTCATTCTATACAAAATCTGATTTTAGATGCATTCATATCAGTGTATTGGTATCAGCAAATATCGGTTATCGGCCATAACAGTGATATTAATATCGGATATCGTTATCGGCCCAAAAATTTCATATTGGTGCATCACCATTTAAAAGAAATGACCAGCAATTTATTTTAGAATTTTTTCATTAAATCAACTAATTGTATGGTTGCTGTTTTCAGAGCTGTTCACAGACCATTTAGTTTTGATCAAACATCAAGGGGAAAAGAAACAATGTCTGAAAGCTGTCAATAACAGATGTGGGAAAGGCAATAGGAGCAAAAACAGGGTTGGACAAAGTGTGCAACAAATTAATTTCATAAATCCCAGCTCTTTGTTTCAATCTTAAAAAGACACTGAGCTAAATATCCTGCAATTTCTTACAATAATCATGATCTCCAGTCAGTGCTGCGCTCGTCACATGTTCACTTTTTCCTTGCAGTTAAGAGTCTATTGTTGACTGAATGAAGACTGCACTGCCAAATATTTCACCCGCCTGCTAGAATTAACCCCCCCCCCCCCAAGCCATCATTGTAGATTACGTTAATTTGTTGGAATAATTTCAATTCAAAGCAAATAGATAATTAAAATCTGTAGAGAGGGAGTCTCTAAATGCTCCATCTGATCCTATGTCTCACTACATGGAAATTCACTCCAAGTATCATTATGCATCTCAGACAAAATTCATGTACTGCACAATTCAAGAGTATTTGTGATGCACAAAAAAAAAAAAAAAAGAAAAGAAAGTCTTCCAGACTTCCTGAGAAAGGCTGCAGGATGGTTGCTCACTTACCATTTTTTGGATTTAAGTTTTGGAGGGGGGTTCCTGGGAATCAGAAACAGGGCTCTCATCGGGTGCATGTCGCACAAGGCTACAGAAATAAAGAAGATTATATGAGTTAAATCCCACTGCCAGTGCTGAGAACAAAGGGACAGGCAGAATAGCTGTGTTAGACTGTTTCCACTCTGTGTAGTTTGGAAAATAATCCTAAACACTCATCATTTTCTTTCTATGCTGAAACAAGGTTACAGCTGTTGTTATCCAATCTTCCCTGGTGCCTCAGGCTTATCGCTAGACTCAGTGTAAGAGCGAGGACTGTGAGTCACCGTGTTCCCAGTGTAGGTAGGTAGCTAAACCGGACTGGTTAGCTCTGAGTTTCACAGTAAATAGGCTTTCATAAACAAGGGCTTTGGACAGCGTGACTCAGACTGCCAAAGGCAGGTGGATTTTTTCTCCCCATCTTTTAAATGGCCGAGTGAAAGAAAGACAGTCAACCTGACAACATGCACTTCAACACAACATGCATCCATTTTTAAGAATGGATGGGCTATTGACAATATGCCGGCATCTCTGATCATTTCCTGTCAGTGTCTCCCATTTATATCATATTTATAGATGCCTCGAGCAGAAGGTTAATGTTTGGTTACTTTTAGAAAACTGAAAATCAGGTCAAAAATTTTACGTCTGACGAAGCAAACCACACTTTCACATATGATTAGTGCCTTTATGCATGCTGAATAAAAACAGACAAATTTGTTCAATACCTTTAAAACAGAGTCTAGTCATTTATGTAACCTAACCCAGCAGGTTAAAACTCAGGGCACAGAAAAGCCCACAAACCCCTAGCCCAGCAGGACCAAGTCTGCAACATCAGAGCCGAGCTTCAAACAGGAGGATTTGGAGACTTATTTCTTGGAATTTAGATATCTTGCCTCGGATTGGATAAAAGCAGCTTAACTGTGCCACTAACTCTGTTTGCTCGGAGACATGGATGGTTTATCTCCACAAACAACAAGCCTGGACGAGCTCTACCATGTGTTTGAGTTGCTAATGCTAGCAGTTGTCTTCTGTTGAAAGAGACGTTTTCTGCCGATTCTGGACGATAAAAAACAGCCTTCCCCATCGTAAGTCCAATTCACAGTGTGACGTAGATCTGTCAGGATTTTCAAATCCTAGATTTTCACCTTCTATTTTCTATCAGAAACTAATGCAGGAGATGGGTGTAGGAGACAATTTTCATGTTCAGCATGCATTAAAAACTCAAGAGTAACTGATTATAATTATAAATAATAATTACAAAATGTTCTCAGTCCAGGGTTCTTACAGGTTTCATCAAGTTAAATTCAAGATTTTTAAGACCTTTTTAAGACCTATTATTTTAAAAATTTACTTTCACAGCCCTACCAGCAAAAAATAAATCCTTGAACTTGTGTTCATTTACTTATTTCTTTTTTATTATATTTTTCAAAACCACTAGGTAGAGAACAGCAGCAGCGTGGTTTGAGCGTTCACAGAAAGGGTAGCTAGGAAATGTAAAACAAATGTTTTACAGCATCAGTGGGGCTGGGTACCAGTAGATATTTCCTGATACTACTACTTTAAAGTATCTTTCTGGAGCTTTCCCTTTTCATAATTTATATATGATTTTCACTAATCCATAAAAGTGATCGTCTCATCATGTACTGTGATATAATTTAAGCAATACATTTTTTTGTGTTAAGCACACCCCCTGCCCCGCAGAGCTCCATGCAATTGGAAACTGAGCGACGACCAGAACTAACCAATAGCGTTGGACTACTGCTTACATGCTCCAAATGTAAGGAATACCTTGGCTGATGCAGAGTTGATGAACTTTTCATGGACAAGTCTTAAAAATATAAATATATGAAAACACAACATGGCATGAGAATAATACTTGTTAAACGTGTTTAGCTGCTTTTTTGGCTACAGAAGCACATTAATAAAAAAGAAACATGAAGTCTCCATCTTAAAAAAAAAAAAAACGAATCAAGATACTATTTGTGTGATATGCTTGTCAGCCACTAGATGGTGCCATTGGATAAGAGCTCTTGAAAGAGACCAACGATACCTGGTTTTTGATAGCCGTACTTTGATACTTTTGTTGAAATCTACATTTTTTTTATTTTGAGGACAACAAACTACTTAAATGTTTTGTTTTCATTGTTTACATTATTTAAATAAATCAAATTTCTGATATTTCTGATTTCTGCGGCACAAATCATCTTGCTGGTGTTGCACAAAGTGCACCCAAACGTTTTTTTTTTTTTTTTTTTTGTTTGTATGTTTTTTTTTAGCATTTGCATCTGCGAACTGCTGAAAGTGTTGTTGAAAGAAGACATCTCCTCCACTCATAACGTGACTCGGGATCAGTGACGTAACCCACGGTGGCACATTGGGACATTCTAATACTTTTTTCCTGATATCGGTACCTACCAAATGTTTTCACTCAGTCCCACAGAGGTCTAGAGTTCTGGCACCCAGTCCTAGGCGTCAGTAGACGTTTCTCATGGTCTGCTGACATTTTCTGCGTTACTCCTCAGCTGGACGTCTGTGTGGTCTGTGTTGTGTTTACCGTTTTGCATCACTGCTGTAGTGCAGGAGCTGAATACATCATGTGTTCAGAGTATTTTGGCCTGAGGCTGCGCTGTGTTCTTAATTATTGGTCCCGCCACTCTTTATTTATGCTACGTTATTTAATAAAAATGATTGTGGTTGACAAATGAAACTTTAGAGGACAAATACAGTATGGATAATTTACAAACAGCACACATTTGAACACCCAGAGGCCAAAATTCAAGACTTGAGGTATTATTCACAAACTACTAAATTCAAACGTTTTAAGACTTTTTAAGACCCCGCGGAAACCCTGTCAGTCAACCACACCTTTAATTACACCTAAACGAAAGAGTAGCAACAAAATTCTGCCATTTTTGTCACTTCCTGGTTGACTTCACCTTTGGCTGGCCCAGTCTGCCCCTTGTTAAACCAGCTATTCTCAGAATGAACCATTTCTCTGCGGACATTATAACATTACTGATTTAGATAGGAAAGCCGGTCAGAGACTTAAAGAGCATTATGCAGGTTAGAGACTCCCATGAACCAATGTTTACAGAAACAGAATAGAAACTCAGTTTAAACATTTTTTTACACAAACATAAATTATTTAGGCTTTTAGAGTCATTTTTGTGAGAAAGTTTATTTTTTTGGCCAAACCAAGTGACGTCATCTGAGGGAGTCCTGTTAGCTTAATCCAGTGAAAAATATAGATTATAATGCCGGCTCTGACACAGAGGAAAATTTAAATGTTTACAGTTATACTCATGATGGACCAAAACCATAAAGTTATGAGTTTGCTGCACGCCCCAGAGAGCAGAGACAAACCAGAGGGAGAAACGATCGGCCAAAGCAGAGAGATTAAGCAGGAGCATGTTAGCTTAAACTCGTGCGCTAACATCACAATATTGTACAGATGACTATCTTGTACCAGACAATTAAAATAGTATCGGTCAGTTAATATTAATACTAATGAGCGTCTGTCAGCGGTCTCATACTCGTTAATATCCGTTCACGTATCGTAGTTTAGCTTAGAGAGAGGGAGAGAAACGCCCGTCATCCAGTTCTGGAGCTCATGCGGGCTTCTGTGAGCTGGATCCCACCCAGACACCAGCGAGATAGTTGAGCTGATATTTTTAAAAGCTGCACATGATCCTTCCCTAGAGGTTCACGGTGGTTCTGATCTGGTTCCAACCCAGAAAGCTTGCTCGGCTGGTCCACTGAGCTGAGAGAGATGCCTGTGATCCGGTTCTGGAGCTCATGCGAGCTGGATTTGACCTAAACACGAGCGAGACAGTCGAGCTGGTATTTTTAAAAGCCGCGCATCCACTCCTGGTGGTCCAGGCGGCGGTTCTGATCCGGTTCCAACCCGGAAACCAGCTGGCCCGCTGAGCCGCATATCTCTTCTGGCGGTCGGTTCTGACCTGGTTCTGACGGTGATCGGAGCTCCAGAAATCTGCATTTAATTTTTTAAACCCCGCCTCGGATCTCCAGAGCCCAGGGCAGACCTCCCTGTCCCGGTACCGACCGATGTGGGCTTCAGAAGTCCGTCTTTACAGCTGCACAAAACGCCCTCAGGCACGGAGATAGAGGCATTGTTTCTCTTATCTGGAAACCCGTGGACTCGATGTCCAGACAGGCTGGAGCTGGTACAGCCTTCACACACTATAATTTATCTAAATGAACACAATCCAAAACTAGTAAACACACACTGACTGGATAACATGACCTCTCTACCCTAAAACCAGCCACTCTCCACACTGAGCTGAGGCAGCGCCTTGCTTCTAACTCATTTAGAAACAAGCTTTACTGAGAAAGGCCACGTTCTACTAGAAAAAACTGCTGTTATGTATTTTAAAACCAAATATCCACAATAAGCTTTCTAAATAGTATTTTTGGACAGCATTTTATATGAATTAGAAAAAATGTTTAACCTGCAACTTGCTCTTTAACAGACTTTTTGGTTTGCTACGTTAGACACCCCAATCTGCCTGTATTGAACAAAAACAAGGTAAATTGAGTTTTAAAATCTATGACCACTTTAAGGTGGAGTAAAGAATATCAGCTTTTCTTTAGTAAAGAGACAGGATTTAGGAATCATACGCTCTTCTGCTGTGCATCAAAAATAATTGGACAATTCCTTCAGAGGAGTTCATGGAATGGTGTGTGGACTACATTACTTTCTCATTAATAAATGCAGATTAGAGTTCTGATTCAGGTCCAAGCATGGCACTTGAAAAATATGCTAAAAATAAACAAAATGCTGTCAAGTGAGGAAAAAAGTAATTAAATGTTCTGTTCCTCATCCAACTAAGAGAAAAACCCTCGGCAGAAAATAGATCATTATTTTTTATGTAATAACATCTTATTATAGCAAATCCAGGCAGTTTGCCACAAAGTGCAAACTAGTGACAGCTGTCAATAAAAAAAGTTTCAGCTAAACCAAAAAACGTGATAACATACTAAAAAAAACAAAGCACATAGATCAACTTCCTTTAGATCAAATGTCAACAACTCCAGCAGTCAAGGACTAGCCTGTTCTAGTTTTAGACACCAGGGTTAAATGAATGAATAATTAACAGGATTGTGCAGAGGTCAGCACGGTAACAAGGTAATTAAATCATTTGATTCAGTGGTAGTGTTCGAGAAGGTAACAGAAAAACTTGTGGGACTGGAGATGGTGACTCTGGCTTTAGTTGAAGTCAAGATCATCTTGTAGTGACATCATCATAGTGTGGGTCTGCATGGTTTGAACTAGGTCAGAACTTTGGGAGATTGGGATTAAACTTCATCTCAGAATTACCCAAAAACAGCTAAGCCAACTAGATGAATGGAGCTTTGCCAAACTGGAAACCAAGACAATGAATTAACAGTTCACCAACCAAAATTCAAAACACAAAGGAAGCAATATTTGCAAAAAAAGTCAAGAAACTTCTAAAAGAGATTAATTTACTGGTTACTACTCATAACATCTTAGCCCCTGAGAAAAGGGAAATATGTATAAAGTTGTCTAAATAATTATAGCTGTGTTATGCTTCTTAAATTAATGTGAATAAGTACATTTTAATTCTACTTCAATATATTTACTTCATATTTACTGTTACTGTACGAAGGTCTAAGAAGATATAAAATGAACTGAGAAACCAGCAAGTGGAGTAAACAGATACACTGCTTGAAATAAACGTTTGTGTTGACAGGTGTTTTCCATATCCCAGTTTCTTAATCTCATTAAAAAAGTACCAGTTCTATTTTTAATGCGTGAACACTGACAGATTCAGGATTTCATAGCAGTCTTCCAGAAAATGTGTTTGACTTCCAACGTAGCTGTGATGTTCTAAAACACAAGTAAATCCCTAAATGAGATTTCATGTGAACAACTTTCAAACTGTGCCGATATAAAACATTAGCTGACCAACACAGACATCCCATAACAAACGTTTACAAAAAGCTCATCAGATTTTCAATGATTCTTAGGAATTGCAACAGATCGAGGCAGATAGATCTCCCCACAAACCAAAGAGAAATCTGTGCAATCGGCCTCCACCAGCTCACTACTCCACTATATTAATTACAGTGACTCAGCTGTCCATCTGAAGACAGACAACAAAACTGAACTAACTTATTCGTTGGGTCTTCTGAGATGACAGGATGTGAACCATTTCTGAATGGACAAGAGGTACAGCTCAACAGCACACAGGTGGAAAGAACAGGCAGACAAAGGGACGTATGTACTTACGAGGAGCTCCTTCTGCCATCTCAATGGCTGTTATTCCTAAAGACCAAATATCGCTCTGGAAAAAAAACAATTCAGCAACAGATTTTATATTTCATCCTTGCAACAGAATGCACCCACAAAAAAACTATTACAAGCTGCAGTTACCCTGAAATCATAGGTAGAGTCAGGGTTCTCATCACAGGCAATAACCTCAGGTGCCATCCAGTAAGGGGTGCCAATGAAGGTGTTCCTGCGTCCAACAGTTCTGTCCAACTGGGCACTCACCCCAAAGTCCACTGTGGAAAATTAAAAATGACATAAATGAGGGGATTGCAGAAAACACAGATTTTAGGAAAACAAACATTCAGCATATTTATTTAACATACCAAGTTTGACCTCTGCATTCTCCGTTAGCAGCACGTTCTGCCCTTTGATGTCTCGATGGATAACTTTATGGGCGTGAAGGTGAGAAAGGCCCTGTTCACAGACACACAAGTCAACTCTGAACAAGGAGCAGTGAATGCAGCTGCATAATTGATTTGACACATGCAACTAGGATTTCTCACCCTTAAGATCTCCCTGCAGATGTAAGCAATCCAGTCTTCCTTCAGAGAGCTGCCTTTAGTGTTTTTCACCAGGTCGGTCACTGATCCTGCTCCACAGAACTCCATCACCAGCTGTGCACAGACAATACAGAAGCTCTGAGGTTAATGAGGAAGACTTCCGTAATGCTGCTAAATCAGATGCAAACATGGACAGACCCAGAGCTGGTCATCGTGTCCTGGTGGGCTCTTCTTCACAAAGGCACCATAGTACGTGGCTATGTTGCGGTGGTGGCTGTATTTTTTCAGCATGTTGATCTCTGCTTTGATCTCCTCTTCTTCCTCCTCTGTAACATCCATCACTTTGATGGCAGCCAGTTGGCCTGTCTTCACGTGACGGCCCTGATAAAATAAATAAAACTACTTGTAACATGCTAACGGTATTCACTATGAAGTCGGGCTGGACAATAATTCAATATCGATATGAATCCATCGATAGACGTGTGGTTCAACAGGAAAAAAAGAAGTCAATAAAAACTTTAATGAAGTTTCCTTTCTTTTTTCATCATACAGCCGATCGGACAGCTTAATACCAGAGTCATGGCTTATTCCCAACCAATCTAAAGCACACGCTCCATCACCAAGCCCTCCTCTCCTCCTCTCTGAAGCCAAAACGGAGATGTCACAGCAAGGAGAGGCGGAGGAAATTTTCCCATAAAGAAGGTACAGTAGATCACCAGGAGTGTGAGTCTGGTAACACAAACAACTAGTTTTATTATTAAGTAATGACATAAAAGGGCCAGGGCTGCACTTAAGATATATTTCATACCTGTTCTATACTTACCAATAATTATTGATATTGTTCAATATATCATTTTTGTTTTATATGTTTTTCTCTATATCATCCAGCTTTTTTGTTGTAGCTTGTTTCACAGAATCAAGTATGGCTAATTGCTAAATCACATCCTTTTTTTGCTGTTTAACATTTTATTCTGAGGTGTTTTGAACCATTTAGTTGTCACCATTTTAACTCTCCTCATTCAGATAGCTTAAAAATCTACTGACACAGCAACAGGCTGCAGCTTATATAATCAGGGGATTTAATACATCACAAAAGAACCGGTGTTCTGACTATCCGTGCTTCATCGTCGAATTTTCCTACCAACGCGCATTTCAACAGCTGATTCAGTCTGTCCAGGTTTACTGAAAATCGGTAGCTACTGTTATTATGAAAAAAAAGTGGATAGTGTAAGAAGCTGTTTAGTCATTTCATTAAAATTAACCCCTTAGTTGCTAAAAACATTTGAATATTCCATGAACAATGACAATTTACCAACTACTTTCACCCATGTCGAGAGAGTGATTCATAAAAATGGAGATTTGTAAGACGTTAGCTCTTACCATTCTATTTCTCTACCTAATCCTTTATTAGACAAATTAATCCACATAGAACAAATATGCTTTCCGTCAATACTTATAGTTATTTGTTTGAATGTATAATTTGAGATTATTATACAACTATGATAAATTTATTATATGTATAATAGAAAACTTTTGGATATTAATTTGGGACTCTTTCAGAATGACTGTACACAATGGGAGAAATTTCTTGTTTACAGTATAATACCGATATTTTAGAAGCCATTTACAAGCCAACTGTCAGGTAAACATACAGCAAGCAGTAATTTAATAAAACAACTTAAAGAAATACTTTCAACTTGAAGGTCACAGTAAGTAACTACACTCAAAATATAAACGCAACGGCAGTATAAGGTACACCTGTGCACTACTCATGATGTCAGATCAGCATCATGATGTGGCACACCTGTGAGGTGGGATGGATTATCTCAGCAAAGCACAGGTGCTCACTGTCACATTTAGACTGATTTGTGAAAAATGTTTGAGAGAAATGGTGATATTGTGCATCTGGAATGAATTTTAGATCTTTAAGTCCATCTCATGAAAAATCGGAGCAGAAACAAAAGTGTTGCGTTTATATTTTTGTTGAGTGTAGATAAGTGACGAGATTAAACGTAAACTTCCACAGGTAGCGCGTCTCGACTTGTAAACAGCCGGTGACGCAATAATCGGCATGCGCTGCGCATGCACATTTCCCCAAAGTAGCACATTTCGACGAGGAGCACGGATAGTCGGAACACCGGCACTAAAGAAGGTTATGTTGACAAGTTTCAGCTTCTTAAGGAGAGATGGCTAATTACATTAAGACAAAGATTAGACTTTATATGGATCACGGAGGATTAACGGCTCACCTTGTACACCTGCCCATATGTGCCATTACCAACAACCTCAACCAGCTCGAAGATTCCTGCTGGATCCTAAGAAAGAAAGAGATTCAATTATTTTACACCAAATATAGCCCAAAGCACACACCATTTGTATTTTCTACACAAGTTAATTTAAAATGGAACAAACACTAAACACAAAGCGCGCCATTTATTTTACAGTTTATTTGCTTTGTTTTTCCAAATCCTCCACGTGTACCCTTCAATGACAAGGCTGTGCGTCGAGTTGTTAAGCTCACATTTCTTCAGCCGACAGTCTCCATCAGATAATAAAATGCTACTGAACTGCACCTGTTCTTATCTGTTCTGCAACCTGGCTTCAGTTGTTTCGCCAGGTAATTCAAACAGATCTAAAATCACTAATTGTTAGACTGATAAAAATAACGTGAGGGCTACACCAGATTTGAAGAAGCCCTTAAACTCCTCCCACAATGTCAAAACATTTTTGAGCCAAACATCTCGCAAAGCAAGAAATAACCCCAATGATTCCACATTGTACATCATTAAAGCAATCAAACTCAATACTCATTTTCATTTATTAACCATCTGAACTTCATCTTCCTACCCACCCACTTAATCTGACATTAAACAGCACAAAACATTGATTCTCAGATTCACAAGTATGGATTCCAACTAGAACTTCAGCCTTCCTCTTAATTTGTTCAGATTATCTTTCAATGCGCTGAACACACATTTCACTGACACTAATAACAAGTAGGTTGCTCTGACTAAATATGCAACCCCCCTCTCCCTCTACAGAAGCAGTTCCACTTTCATGTAATTTCAATATGGCTTTAAGAAGGTGTGTGGGTGGTGAGACTGCTGCCTTGGGTTTAGAATGTACACCATGACCTATCCCGCTTTCATCTATTTCCAGTCATCTATGTTCAGCCTTCAAAATAAAGATTTTCTTTCAGGACAAGGAATGCAGGAAATGATACGATAGTAGACGAAAAAGCAGACAGTTGATGACAAACATAACGGACAGATTTATAGGCAGGTTATGCATAAGGACACAAAGGAGGAGCAACAGTGATGTGAAACAGGATGCAAGAGAATGATGGTATGGAAGGGAATAATGTAATGATTGAGTGGGTGGAGAAGCAGAGGCGGTAGCTTCACCCACATCCAGCACAGAGAGTGGGAAGAGAAGAATGAGCTGAAACAAGGGGAAGGGTACAGTTACAGTCAAAGAGAAACATCCACAACATACAGCCAAACAAGGTCCAATTATCACAAAAAAGGCAGGAAAATTATTCTGTTAGAGGAGAAGAAATCTGCAGTTAGCCAGCTCAAACATAAACCAATGCACATGTAAGATATGTCAAAGTGTCATCTAATAAAGACTACAACAAATGCTAATAAACAATAGTTTACCCACACAAATATTAAGCTTTGATGTTCAAAAAGCAACATGAGCTGAAAGACACTTGTTAAGGTCCAAGGGGAAGTTGATACCACATTTCCTGCAAGGGTGCTAACTCTGCTGACACGGGAAGTCTTTCAGGAAAAGGAACAAAAAAAATAAAATAAAATGACATGGCTGTGGTTAAAAAGCTGCAGCTATCAACCAAAAACACAGCCCAAAACTTATGAATATAAAAAAGAAATGTCTCCATTTTGGAAATAAATTTTTTGAAATTTGAGTGTCTTTGAAAATGATGACACAAATTTAGCATCCACTGGTTTAAGCCTATAGAGGCCAGTTTGAGTTTTTCCACTTTGACATGATTTTACAACTACCCGCATTTTAAAACAGCAGCACTCTTGAGTTCATCAAAACAAAAATCACAAGAATACATTTCTCATGGGTTTCATTTCTAGAGGGCTGGTTATATCTGCTGATCATCATCCAACGTTATTTTTATACTCAAAGGTGTTCGCCTAAATAGGAAGACATAAAATCTCCAATTCCAGACACTAGCACAAGCATGCTATTATTTGGATTTTTTCTCCGTTCTAATAGTATTATCTACAATTCCAGCAGAAATAAATGCCAATCTGCAGAAGACATGCTTTTGTAGTGCTACTGGCATTTGAATCAAGTGTTTTGGTCCAAATAATTTGTTGATATCTGTGTGCAGTAGTTTGTTATGCAACGCTGGAGCCCTTCAGCATTTTGCTGCAATATTTTCTCAAAGATGCAATAATTAAGCCACTGAGACGATCTCGTCTCCTCCCAGAAGAACTTTAAAATGTCTCTTTTGAGCGTCAAAGGCATTTTATTGTTGCAGACAAGAAAGGAATAGACAGGCAGGCATGCACGCAGGTGGGTGCGCACACGCACGCATACACACACACACACACACACACAAATTATTTCACATGTCATGGCAATAGCCTACATGATGGGAAGTGCCAACAAAATACTACATGACAAGCATGGTTTTTGACTGTGAAATGGTAAGATCTGCTTCTGATCATGTTGCACAAAGACTTACTTTTAAACATTTTTGCAAGACTTTAAAAACACAAACACGACTTCGTTTGAGAATTAAAGAGAAAACCAAACTTTTATTTTTGATCAAACACAAGGCCTCTACAAGGCACATTTAAGTGGTCAGTTTCCAAAATCACAAGAACACTTTCACACTTGTATTTTGTGGGTGCTAGCCAAGAAGATCTAGATAAAATAAAAAAAGAAACCTCACAATAAAATACAAGCAAATGGGACTGATGGTGTTCAAAATGAAACTGCAGGAACACCAGCGGTGGGCTGATTTGGTCAGACATCAAAATGACTGACAAAATATACATAGTCATCTTATTCATAAACAAAACAAACAGAAATAGAAATAAAAGGACTACATGATGACATATCTCCTAGGCAACCGGGGTGGGACAAATGCATCAAGATGAGGTTCCTTGACATTGAGAAACACCCCAGATTTTTAGGCTTTATATTCACCTACTGATTAAAACCAGGTGTGTTGGAACAGGAAAACAACAACAATGGATAGAGGCACTCAAGGACCAGGATTGCCTACCCCAACAGTACCATTTCCACTGCATAAAGACTTGTTGACACAGTATTACAGAGTTTAGTATTACAAGAAGCTAAAATGATACAAAATGTTCTGATTGGAGACAAAAAATATCCATTTGCATTCAATCAAATGCACATTTTTAGTCTTAATTTGATTATGTTAGTGAATTTGTAATTTCCTAAAATGTTTCTAGTGATGCATATTGTTTCACAAAACATATAATATTTATTAATAGGATAGGTTAACCCTAACCCATAAACAATTGAATTACAACCTTAATACTAAATAATCTTAATTTCTACTCCAGATCCTTTAAAAACCAATCATCTTTTTAACAGAGTTTGCATCAAGTGTTTACACTTTTCTAGGTTTTGTATTCACATTGTTCATTTCCTGCCTGCAGCAGAAAAACTAGTTTGAAAATCCAGGCAGCATTTTCCAAATTAACACCAGGCGAATAATAATTTGCTAATTTCAATTTTTGACTGAAAATCTCAGATTAATAATAATTTAAAAAACAACTAGATTTAAGAGCCATCAAACCTGTAATATTTAAAGAAGTAACACGTGGAAGAATGATTGCAAATTGTAGTTCAACCTGACCCATTAAATACCATAACATTTACTGTTGATGTGATTCAAAAGAGATTACCTCACAGCAATCACACTGACATGATAGAGCATTTTAGACCGGAAAGACCAAGACTGTCATGAGAAAAATGTGCCAGGGATGTTTGTTTCTCCAGATACAGAAATCAGATGACATTTTCTGCAAATATCTGTGATTTTAAACCGCACAACTGCCTACAACACAGGGGCCGGGGGGTGTTTATTTCACCTCAACTTCGTTGCGTGGGCTGTACTAGGTAGTGCTTGTGTCAGAGGAAAACTCAGATGACATAACACCTAAAAGAGTCTGTCTGCGGTGATTTTACAAATTGCTGCACACTTATCTCGCAGTAATAATGATAATACTCACCCTCAGAGCTGCGAGGTCGATGTCGTCCAGGCTTCGTGTGGGGGCGTTTTCAGACATAGCTTAGAAAACTTATGACGTTAACCAACAAGTAAGCCACTCTTATTCAACAAGGAGAACTTTGGGGAGAAAATCCGTGGCTAATCACGAGGTTATAGCGGCCGAATCTACAGAGACCAATTAGTGAACCGGATCTTTAAACGAACTGAAGCTGCTGCGGAACAATTACATCCATCACAAGGAAAGACCGTCACAGACGCACCCAGCTGGCTAGCTCACATCAACTCTGGCCGACAGCTGTGGTGTTATCCGCAGGAGTTTTACAGAATAATCTGCAGATAAAAATAAACAAAATAAGCTCAGTTTAAATGTTTTTTGTTTGTTTGTTTGTTTGTATTTGTTAGCGTGCCAGCTGGTTGGTCATAAACGCTAATCTAACAACTGGCAGAATGCACCTCCGCTGTTGTTGAACACCTTACTGCGTTCATTTTGACAAGACGCTGCGTCTCTGCTGCTGAAAAACATCCCAGCTAATGTTACATTTAATACACAAACACACGCAGAGAGAGAAACAATACCAGATAATGTCCCGCTGGAACATTAACTGTGCTGACAGAGTATGAGACATTTACGCCATTGAAACGCAATGGTTGCTTTTAAGAAGAACACAACGTCTGATATGATGGCGTCCGGGTCCGTCCGCACCAGAACCGATCGTCAGGCTGTCATTATTAGCCTTACATGGATGTGCCGCCACAGTTACTTAAGAGCGGATATTTTACAATAAATGCCTCGTTGGAAATACAGTTCCCTTTTGCTCAAAGTTGTTATTTGCCAGTTTTTTTACCCGAGCCCAAAGTAATCGGAACAACCCGACTCAGGTGTGCACATACGATCCTCGCGCTAACGCTGCTAAGCTAGCAAGCTAAACTGTATTTTTTCCCAAAAAATAAAAAAATAAATAAAAAAAACTTTCCCTCTTAATCCATTTGCGGTGTTGACAGTCGCGCCTAGCTCTGCCAACCTTCCGGGGGAAACACAGCAAATGTTCACGACAGCCACCATTAACTCATAGGCTAGATAAATCAGCTCGTTTAAAGTTGACCGTTGCTGTCCTTCTCCGGTGTCCAAATTGGTTAAAAAAACGTAGTCCAATGGTGAAATATGTGGTGCAGTTTCTACCTGCCGATAAGAGCAAAACTTGTTATTTCGCCATGTTTTGCCTCCTGTCCTCCCTCCCACTCCAGCCTTCATGTAGTCCTGTGGGTTTGTACTGACTGCACACAAACACTCCTCAAGTGTTTTCTGCTCTTCAAGGGATACGGCGCCTCAGCAGGGACAAATCACCTCAGAACAGATTTACTGTGGGCCCCAGCAGCTCTGCAGCTCTGTCAGTTCTGTCTAAAAACATATACTCTTCTGCTGAAGTTTTATTACTCCAAATGCTGCCAAAAACTTCAGCAGCACATCTAAGTATCCTCGGTTCACCATTTCTTTCAATCTCGAATTTGCTCAACAGCTCATAAATGCTGTGGCTATTTTTCCCATTACAGCATACTTTGTTTTCAGCAGATCATAAGGCTTTTATAATAAATAATGCATGGATCATTTCTAAAGCTGTCCACCAAGATTCCAAAATAATAATTTGATGGAGGATAATAACTGTGGTTGCATTGCAAAACCTCAGATAAATATATTCTTTGTGAAATAAAGCTGAAGGGAGGGTTTGGATTTCTTTAATGGTTTCTGTGGAAAGGTTGTTAACAGTTAATATCTGTTTTAGATCGCTCTAGGAGTTTGGAGAAATCAAAATGAGTTCTGACCAGGTTGATGAGCCACTGACTAATCACAGCAGAGCCAGTAGTAACTAATTTTTCAGTTTGTCATCCTGACGTTAATTGTGGTTTATGTGAACACCAATTAGAAAAACTTCCATAAATTACATTTTTTATCTAGATATGATTGAGCAAGGAAATTTGCACTTGTGATGCTGCAGATAGAAGGCATGGTGTTTGCATGAACTAACTTTTTACCTAGCCTTAAGCTTGGGGCACACTGGAGACAGACGCACCACACCGCTGTTTTGGGAAGTTGGTCACACAGGAGGCGCAGCTGAGCGTTTCTTCCCTCACCATCTTGATCAGAAACACCTACAGGAAACTGAAAAGATTTTACTAAATTTTGTAAGGAAAAATAAGTCACACCAGTTACGTAAGACAATACTCATGAATTCCTATGAAAATGGAGGGTTCAATTTCCTAAACTTTGAAACGCTGCATAACACTTTTAAGATAAACTGGTTCAAACACTTGATCAAAAATCCAGCCTCAATTTGGAATGCTATCCCTCAACATGTTTTTTTCTAAAGTAGGCGGTATTCATTTTTTTATGGTCTGTAACTTTAATATTGATAAAATTCCCTTAACCCTTTGATGCATGAATTATGAAATCTTCAACCATGATTTTTAAACAATTTTTTTCATTTGTCTTTAGGTGTGAATGAAACAAATTTCAACAAACATTTTTTGTAAAATTTTATAATTTACAAATAATTTATTACACGTCCACCTCAGTGGACAGCGTGCATTCTGACATGAAATATGTTGGCTTGACTTACTGAAGTCCAAATGGAGGGGCTCAAATGCAATAAAGTCTTCAACAGCTGTGCTTAATAGCAAAAACAAATAAATAACAATTTTGAGTACCTGTCCACTGTAGTGACCACTATGCACCAAAGGGTTAAAATTAAATGCTTTTCACCGCCAGGCATTCTTGGCATGAAGTCAGATTTACAAGCACAACTTCAGCCCTCATAAATACTTCATCTGGAGTAACAGGGACATTCTGTACAAAAAAAGAACATCTTTTTAGAAAACTTGTTTAACAGTGGTATTGTTTTGGTAGATCAATTGCTTGGTAATGAAGGCCTTCTTTATACATATGAAGAGTTTTTGAATAAATATGGTGTTCCTGTTTCTCCAGATGAATATGCAAATGTGGTTATGGCAATCCCAGCTGGAATATGCATGTTATTTAAATCCATCTCTAGATGTAGCTTACAACCAGCTGTGATGTCTCCATTACACACCTATGTTGGCAAGAGGTGTTTCTCAACTCCATCCACAAATAATAATAAAATAATTAGAGCATTATTCCAACAAAATATTTGCACATAGGCATGCCCATTCATATTGGAATAAATTTGTACCTGAGTTATTATCGAAAAATGTCTGGCTCTTACCTGACCAGTTTCTTATTACAAATAAAGTCAAAGAAGTTTCCTTTAAAATTACACATAGAATTTACCCTGTTAACCCCTTCATAAAATTCAGGTTTAAGAAAGACATTGAAGTGAATTGCTGTTTTTGTAATAACTTTCCAGAAATTATTGTACATCTGTTTTGGAATTGTCAGGTTATCAAACAATTTTGGCTGAAGATCAATGATTTTATATGTATCAAGATTGATCCAGACTTAAAATTATATTGGAGAGATGTATTGTTTGGGCATTTTGTAAATAAAAAAAAATTGAGAATTCTAAAAATATATATTATTAATCTTATAATATTGCTGGCTAAATTCCATTTTCACAAGTGTAAGGTTACAAGTAGAAAGCCAATTTTTATTAGCTTTCAAGACAAGCTGAGACAATATGTTTCCTCCATCAGAGATTCTTCTAATTAAAAAGCCTTAAAAATGTTAGTTGAATGGTCTACATTTAATTTATGAATCATTCATGGTAAAATATTATCTAAAGCAATGTAGAGGTATGGGTTTTCTGTTTAAACTGTTTGGTTTATTGGTCTGTTAACTTTCCCCCTAGTGTGTGTGTTCATGTTATATTTTGTTCTTTTTTATTTTGTTCGCTTATTGTTCACTCGATGTGTTTCATTGACCATTTCATTTTGAACTATGCTTTAAATGTCCCTCACTGTTTTATACAATTTTGTTGATGGTACAATTTTATCAATAAAGATGAGTGAAAAAAAAAAGCTGAGCACTTCTTGGAAAGTCACACGATAGTCATAACATCACACGGGATTTGTGAACAGGAAGCAGGAAGTGACTCTATAGGGAGTCACATCCGCATCACAGGTCCCCGGAAGAACGAAAACCATGAATGCAAGTCAACAGGGCTAAAAACGCTATTTTCTAATCCGCTTTGCCTTACGCCCTGCATCACACATATGTTGTTCTGCAATTTAAATGAAAACTAATGATGGGTGTTTTGACCACGCCTGTCACACACTTTGAGATTTATTAGCTTGTAAAACTTTGTGATTTGCATGACTACAAACTAAAAATCAGCACGTCGCATATGTGACATCACCACATAATCTCCTGTCCACAAAGTAGCTGCTACTTACCACATGACCAGATTTATGGTGGTTCGTTTCTCCTGTGGGAAGTTTGCTGAACTTACAGCCATTTTCCCCTCAGTTTTCTCCGTGTCTGGTTCGATGACATCACTTTCTTGAAGCGCATTTGTAATTCTGGACTTCTTTTCACACAAAACCTAAAATAGCGTTTCCCCCTGTTCGAAAATAAGCGCGTTCTTGGTATCCAAATGAGTCTTTAAAATTCACGGACATCATATGTGAAATCCATGGCACAAAACAAGTGGAATTAGAAAATAGTGTTTTTAGCCACATTGACTTGCATTCGTTTTTTCGTTCTTCCGTGGACCATGATGAGGTAGACTCCCTATTGTTTACACATGATCAGAAATTGGCATCGTGTTTTGTGAGACACCAATTCATTAAAATGGGTAAGCATGCTTTTTATTAGAATATTTTAAGATCACTAGTACTCTAAAGTTATCAATACTGCGGCTGGGTTTGTGCCTTAAAGTCTCTCCGCGTTATGTCTCTTTTAAAGTACTCCACAATGTTGTAAATGACAGCGACGCTTGAAATAGAACCGGTGCCTATCTTCAGCGCCTGGGCACTGCGCTTCTAGGATGCAATGCGGCGCTCCCCGTGTAGCCCCTCTCATCAACTATAATGGCTCTTATTTAAAATGACAGCGCAGATGCAGCGCGACTGTCACCGGTGTGCCCTAGGCTTTAGTGTGACCAGCTGCCAGTTCGTTAATCCTATTAGAACAAATCTATTTCTCCAAACTGAGGCCACTCAGAGCTATCAACATCGGGTAAGATATAACTTTTCCACATAGAACACTCAATGCCAAGTTATTTTAATGTTTCTGATAATTAAAGGCATTTTATTAAATGTTAATTTTAACAGTGCTGGACACAAACAATACAATATAAATGTGCTTAATGTTAAAAACAGATGTTTTTATTGTAATTTAATTTATTTTTTTATAAACAAAATAGTTACATTTTTAGATCATATATAAAATACAGTTTTGGTTAAAATGATGAGGCTACAATAAATGATTTCAAATTAATATAAGAGCTGATTTAAAGTTTAGTTCCACAGAAAATAATAAAATGGAATAAGAAAAACAAAAATTTATGCATAGGTTACACATACAAATATGTGAATGATTAAAAACTACTTCTAAGTTAGTGGTCCAAACAGTGTTAAATAATTAAACCACAGATCTGCAAACAAAATATTTTTACATGACTGTTAAAACTAATACACAGCAGAGGTTATCAATCTGGTAGAACATGTAAAAAATGCAGTAGTGGTGCTGACTATTAGTCCAAAAATAAGAATGTTCATAATAAAGGCAGAAAATAAATAAGGAATTTCTGCAAATCTAGCATTTAAAAGACATTTTTCAAACATGAATTTTTTGCTATGTAAAAAATGGTAGAAAATATCCTGCTTCTATGAGTGTGTGACTGATTATATAGTGAAGAGTGAATATTAAAAAAAAAAAAAAATTAAAAAAAAAACATGTCCAACCAGATGGTTTTACTGGCTCGTCTGTAAAAGGTGCTTTAAGTAGAATCAGTGCTCATGTGCAACTCATCTCACAAACCATGGAGGAGGTGTTGTTGACATGCAGAGATCTATCAAAATATTACATAATAGTCTGTGCAATTTCACTTGCTTCTGATGGTTCAACTAGTTCACTCATTATTGGATATAAACTTATTTAGGACAACATTATGAACCTCAATGAGTCATTCTGGGAGTCAAAACATTTGTATACTTGTAAAAAAAAAATGGTTCAGCTTTTCGTTGGAGTGTAAAATCTGAGAATTACCGAAGCATCCTCACCTACATGAACCATTCTGAGTCCCAGTCGTCCTCAGAAAGCAGCAACTCTGTTATGACCTGCTACATGATGTCACTTATGCGTAAACAACATTTCAGAAGGGGGAAGACTGCCTTCGTAATACATCATGTAAACAAAAGTAGTTTGCTAACATGTCAAAAGTGTAATGTACACAAAAATATAAAAAGTGCCTTCGATTATGAAAATATAACCCGATTGTGTCCAAAGTTGGCAGTCTCAGCAGTCAGCGGGAGCTCCGTCAGACACATTCGATCACTTCTCAGTTGGGCCTCAACAAATGCCTCGTGCCAGTGAGCAAATATAACATAAGGTAGACACACAACGCACTTCCACGGCACCTAGACAGGACATGGAAATAGCTGCGCAACACAAGTCAGTGCGAACGTTCTGCACTTGACTGCTGACAACGTGGTAAAATTATCATCCACTTGGTTGTCATGGTGACAGAAGGAAAAGCAAAAATCAACAGTAAATCAACCCAGCACCCTTTAATCTTCTTGTCTTCGCTTTTCTTTTCCCACTCACATTTCTTCTTCACATAAAAAAACAACTAAATATGCTAATTCCTTGTATTCGAGTACTTTCTAGATCCTGGAGGAGCCATTCAGATTTCGTAAGCCATCCCTCAAATCAGCGCTCTCCCTTTCTGCCCTACCGAGTCTTTATTTCAGCTACAATCCAGTCACCTCTTTATAACCGTCACCATAACAACCACAAATGTTCTGACAGGTTTTCAGGCGCTGCAGTGAGAGGTGAAGCCTCAGAGGGAGACAGAGAGAGCGTGAGCGAGAAATAGACAGAGCCACCCACCAACCAAAAATCCTGCACCAATAAATGCACACGGTGTTCCCAGACCATGGGAGATGCTTCATTTCCTCTCCTGATTCATACATACATTTAGAAAGGCCTTGTATGAGGATTAGCCCTGCAGAAGTTGGGATGCAATAAACTCACCAGCATCTTTAGCTATTGTCTAAACAGATTATTGGTCAACCTTTACTTATTTTATCAGGATTTAGGCTAATCTGTCCAGATTAAATGTATGCTAGTTTTAAGGCCTTGTGCAATGCTGGGTGTTAGGTTGACTCGTAGAGGTTAAATCTGGGCACAAATGTGATCAAGTCCACAGCTCTGAGGGAGCCAGGCCTTCTTTGGTGTTCTTTGGAGGCTGGAGGTTTTCCTCGCACAAGAACTTCAGAGGGAAGTGAACCAGCAACCCTCGAATCCCCTTCAGCTCTTCTACTGCCTGCTCTGGGTCTGTGTTGCAGAGGCGTTCCTGGCAGGAGTAGTCCTTCAGGTGCAGCATGCTGTGGACACTGTTGCAGGGAAGGCATCTGAAGACCTGCAGCATGAGCAAAACCACAAAACAGTAGAGGCAAAAGAAGGAAATGCACGTGAGAGGAACAATGATGATGATGACTGAGAAGTTTGACTTCATTTCTACCTTGTCATAAATAGTCGTGTTCATTTTAGCAGTTTCATTCCAGACCAAGAAGAAGAAATCGTCACTGATTGGATCATCTATGTTGATGCTGGGGTCTGAAGATGCTCCAACAAGAACACTGCAGCAGCAGAGGAAAAACAAACAAACAAACAAATACAGGTAAAGAACACTGCACTCAAACAACAGAATGCTTCGATCAACACATATTTTCATATTCTGCATTTATTCATCCATCAAGAAAATAAACTGTCATAATTGTCTGTGATCTTCATCAGACTGTTATTTGAGGAGTACGGTGTTAAACCTGACCTGAAGCACTCTTTACGTAGAGCGAGTGTGAGCGGTCCTGCTTCGTACTCCTGTCCTCCCATGACCGACGGAACTCTCTCTTCATCCTCCACGAGCACGGCCAGCTCACTATCTCTGTCGCCCAGCATGCTACGATCATTGATGTTGGCTGATCCTGGAGCACCGCAGGAAAGTGCATCAAGGACATTTTAAAAGTCATTACATTTTTTTTTTTACTTTTTGTTCATCTGGAATTTGTTAGGAGGGTGTTTTTTTTTAAAGTTACACACTCTTCTGACGAAAAAAGTGACTTTTGATAATGTTTAACAAACCCAGTAAAGACAAAATCATGTTACATCTTGACTGATACGCTTCTATATTGCCAACAAATGCAGTTTCCACAGTAACTTTTTGTTTTATTTACTCATAGAGTGCTACAAAACTTTAAGTAGATTATATGGCATGCTATCTGCCTCAACGCTTTCAGTATCTGTGGAATGAAAAGTCTGGCCTGCTTTATCTTGGATGTCAGTGACAACTCCTTAAATGAGCTTGTAGTCAGTGACTCACCGATGAGGTAGCAGCGATCATCAGCTATCAGCGTCTTGCTGTGAACGTAGATCAGCTCTGTGACGAGCGACTCGCAGAGCTGGGAGTGTTTTCTGAGTCCACAGAAAGAGATGTACTCCGTCCACCGGTCCTCGACTGAGGGGCAGATAAGAATGAAAATATTCTCAGTGGATGGTAGATTTGTGGGAAAACACGAACAGAGAAGTTAAAAAGGGAGCCTAAGTCTCCTCCCTCTCTGATTGGCTCATGGGTCCCTGAAAGAACGAAAATAATGAATGCAAGTGAAAAGCACAACAAAAACTATTTTCTAATCCGCTTTGCCTTACGCCCTGGATCACACATATGTTGTATTTAAATTTAAATGAACCATGCCCGACACTTTGAGATTTATCAGCTTGTAAAAGTTCGTAATTAGCACGACTGCAAAGCAGACATCGGTACATCGCATATATGACATCACCACAGAATCTCTTCTCCACTAGCAAAGCTGCTACTTACCACATGGCCAGATTTATGGTGGTTCTTCTCTCCTGAAGGAAGGATTTAAAGTTTGCTTAACTTACAGCCATTTTCTCTCAGTTTTCTGTGTCTGGTTTGATGATGTCACTTATTTTCACACAAATCCTTAAGTAACATTTCCCTCCGTTTGAAAATAAACGCATTCTTGGCATCAAAATGCGTTTTTAAAATTCATGCACATCATATGTGAAATTCATGGCACGTAACAAGTGGAATTAGAAAATAGCGTTTTTAGCCCCATTGACTTGCACTCATTTTTTCATTCTTCCAGGAACCCGCAGTCCTGAAGTAGGTGGGTGTTACTTAGGCTCCCTATAAAGGCACACTTGAAGCAGTAACTCCATCTATGACCAATATAAAAACAAAGTCTGAACAGTGATGTGGATTTCTGAATTAAAACAAAGCCAAAAACTCACCCTCGCTGAGCTTAGACAAGATGGAGTTCTGTCCGCGGCACATCGTACTTGTACAAAAAAATATTACAGTTAGGCAATTTACACTAGCCGGGGCAACAACATAACAATAAATCTCAACTTCAGAAATGATTACAAAACTGGTGACTAAATCATTTCAAGTATCTTTCCGGAGTTTTCCCTTTTCAAAATTTATATATAATTTTTCACTAATCCGTAAAAGTGATTGTCTCATCATGTACTGTGATATAATGTAAGCAATTCATCCTATTAAAATGTTTTTTTTTTTTTTGCTAAGCACACCCCCTGCCCCGCAGAGCTCCATACAATCAGAAACTGAAGGCCGACCAGAACTAACCAATAGCGTTAGACTACCGCTTACAGGCTTCAAATTTAAGGAGTATCTCGGCTGATGCAGAGTTGATGAACTTTTCACGAACAATAAATAAATTTATTTAAATATAAATATATGAGAACGCAACATGACATGAGAATAATACTTGTAAAACAACATGTTTTAGCTGTTTGTCGGCTACAGAAGGACATAAACAACAATTATGAAGTCGCCATCTTAAAAACACGGAAAAGAAACATTATTTGTGTGATATGCTTGTCAGCCACTAGATGGTGCCATCGGATAAGAGAAATACTCCGAAAAGAGACTGATATAGAACATATGTGCATGAGAATTTGTTAGCTACCCCCCAGATAATCAGTTCATTTGTCACATATCTCAAAAATGTATTTATGAAACTTATGGTCAACATTTTAACACAACCAGTCACTTTTATCTGGTGGTATTTCTGTTCTGTGGGCTGAATGACAGTTGGGAGGGGGGGCTTACCTGTAGGTGTAGTGCAGAATAGCTTGGATGGCGTTTCCACCTCCTGAGCTAATGTCTCCCTCGAAACCAGGAAGCAAAGGGATCACCACAAACACTCTGAATTTCTTCTGCTCTCTGAATAAACACAATCCTCATGTGTGAGTTAAACATGAATCAGTGTTCAATATCTTAAAAATTCAAATATACCAGTTGATCAAAGATGTAAATGTGCTACAGAGCTAATCAACATTTCTATGAAGATCCCTCCATCCTTTGTTCAGAATTGCACGCTGCTACCAAACGTTCAAATGTGCAAACAGCTAATGAATAAGATGACATCTCCTACAAACCAACCCCACCTGTGGGCTCGCAGGATTCGATCCACAACTGCTTTTCCGATCCCGTTTTTGACGGTTGTCCCCTCGGTACAGCTGATGAAGAACTGGTTCTGAGGACAGAGAGAAGGCAGAAGGTGGCTCAGTGTGTTTTACACAACAAGGGAAACATTCAGTCATGAAACCTAATAATTAGGTCCAATAATCCTTTAGCAACACGAACATATAAATTACACATCATAATTAAATATTACAGAAGGTAACCACAGGATTGTGTCATTAGGATGTCCAGGATAGATGAGATCACTGAGAAGGTCTTCTGCATTACCTCGATGTAGATGTAATGCTCGCTGTTCTTGATGATGTGTATGTAAGTGTTCAAGATAGAGCTTTCACATGTTCCTGCTGACCACGTATGTGCAGAGCGCAGCACCTGAGGAAACAAGCAGCAAATGTTTCTTAACTAGTCTTCGCTGAATGCACGGCAGCTTCCAGGTGTTTCTGAGCACTACAATCAGCAGCATAGCATTTTAATAATATATAATAATTTAATCTGACTGAGATTATCCAAGATAAACCTCACCTTTACACATATTTGCTCCAGCTCTAACACAGTCTGTGACATCACCTGAAACCTGGACGAGGCAGCCATGATTCCAAATAAGGCTTCCAGTTACAGGCCGCCGCCCAAGAAGCCTGTCATCATTCATACCCAACTCTGGCATTACAGTAACGTAAACTAGGAGTGGCTAAGCCGGTTGTTGTCACAATCTGGACCACAGATCCCATGAAGCCTGAAACAAACTCTATACATTTCACTTGTACTTTGTGTTCCTTAGTAGTGTTTCTACTGGCTTTGTTGAATAAGTAGCATGCTGTTTTGTTTTACAGGCGTTACCTTTGTTCCACCATCTGCCAAGTGGCTTGTCTACACAAATGTCACACAACTTCTATGATAAAAGAAAAGAGAATACATCTTGTTTCATAATGATCCTTTCTGGGTTCTGTAATATAGTCATGAAGCGACGCCTCTGGTAGTTTTATGTGTCGTCCCAGAGGCGCGACTGATCTGCTGTGAAGGACGCTCCTGGTTTACGTCAGAATTTATCTGGTGTAAAACCCATTTCTGCTGCTTTCTTCGTTCACTGATCACTGATGAAGCAGTGATGCCATCCTCAGTGAAATGCAGACTTCAAGCAGAGCAGGCTTTATTTGAAAACGTGTGCCCTGCTGAAAAAAACAACAACAACATGTTTCTAGTCCAGCTTGGTGGTCCAGGATGGGATGCTGGTCTAGCATGCTGGTCCAGAATCCCATTAACAGCATCCCATGCTGGACTAGCATTGCATGCTGGATCAGCATACCTGCATCCAAAACACAACATATGCTGTTCTTTTTTTTCAGCAGGGAAAGCTAAAATAAAACAGAATGAAGCAAAATGTTGAGTTGAAAATGCTAAAATAATTATTAAATGCACTGTGAAAAAAACCCACAGGCTTTTATATAAAGCACTAATGTGAAACATGCATCTGTTTGTTAAACAGTCGTTTAAAAACCTGCAAAAGAACCCAACTTAATTAAGGATTTCAAATCTTTTACATTAAACTCCAAACACCTTTCCCCGGATCCACTCTTTCTTATTCATTTTCTCTTTCACTTTCCTTACACTTTTTAATCTTTATTTTTATACGTTTCTCTTTCTTTCTTGCTTTCTTGCTTTCAGGTCAAACCATTTAACTTTGTAAATAAAATATTGGGAGACCTCTATTTGATTTTATGTTCTGCTTAAAGCAACAATCCAGGGTTTCCTCCTTTCAAGAATAATGTATGATTTTTAATAAATATCGACCCTGTACTGATATGTCAGCAATATGCCTTTTTTTAATGCTAAGCCTGCCCCTCAACCCATAGAGCCCTATGTAATTTAAACTGACAGCTGTTCAACATTAGCCAATAGCGCTAGACATTCACTCACATAGACGTGTTAATCACAGAGCGTGCACGCGTTAGCGGAAGTACCTAAACTGATGACGTTGGCGACGTTTCTCATGGACAAGTAAGTCGTTAAAAGACTTTGTGTGTGTGTGTGAATAATTATATATCACGCACTGAAATATACTGTTAGTATGAATTAGTAGTACAATATGAGAGTAATAATTGTAAAACAATTTTAGATCTGTTTCCCAGCTAGAGGTGCTCGCTCACGAACAAGAGGGGTTGCTTCCAGCCATAACCCCAGAGGTCAGAGGGGCTTAAGCTCAAATACACTTCAGCACCTCTAGATGGTGCCCTGTGAGAAAAAGCTCAAGATTTCTGCTTTAAGAATTATGCAAAACTAAATCTGTAAAAACTGTAGCGCATGAAAGCTAAATTCACAAGGAATGAAGCAAGATTTTAAGAATTGTATCTTTATTTTTAACTACCTCATAATATTCATTTAAACACCAATAATAACACTAGGGGTTTAAAGGCTTTTTAAGGCCAGAGGTGAAGGTTTATGCTTTAAACAAGAAATGGCATAAATGATTATCAGGGCTGATGTGAAATCTAATCCAGATCAGTCCAGGTCAGAATTATCATCTCATCTGTCTGGATCAGCTGGATGTTCATGGCCACAAAATTCCAAGTGAAGCACGCTCATTTTATGTCTTGTGTTTGCTCACGATCCATATTTCCGTTTAGAAACCGTTTCTCCTCCATGGATGTACCTGCCTGTCAGAGCGTTCAACCGCTGGTTGGTCAGCTGATGCTGCTGTCAGTCACTGCAGGAATGTGTACGGTGTGGGGAACCGGTTTTAATTTCTCTCCTCTGCCTGAGCTGATGGTGACGCGCGGCGCGCCTCGCGGCAGTGATGCGCCTTTTGTGCAAAATGCGGCCCTTCATGGAGCTCGTGCCAGACTGTGGATGACTGATGTTTGAGGACACACAGGTATCTTTTCAAAAATCTCTGAGATTTCGACTAATGAATACCTGGAAAATTCACCGGTATGCACTGTACCCTAGAAAAAGTGTTGGCATGCTGAAAGGTTATATTTAGAAGTGGCGGCGGTGCTGGTACCGGTCCAATGCACTGCTCTCTGTCCCTAAAGGATGAGTCTGATGATCTGATCATCAGAACCTGATCATCATGATCTGTTGCTGACAGCCGCTGTTTCTCCCTCCCCAACCCACCCCACGTGCCCAGCATTGCATGCTGCACGATAATTAAACTGGCCCAAAAACTCCACCTTAAACCGGTTCTCCCAACATGACCACATACAGGCCAGCCTGGACATGCATCTGTGGCCAGAGCTTTCTTCTTTTTCAATCTCTCCTTTTCTGCTCCACCTTTGCTGGTCCGTCTAGGTCCATTTTGCCTCTGGGGCCAAAGGTGCGGTGGTGCTGTAGCGCTCTCTGGGGTGGTGGGTGTCTGCAGCGCTTTGCCGCCCCCCCGTGCGTGTTCCGGCATCTGTTTTGCCTTTAGTGAACTTTGTTTTGACGTCAGTATTTGCGTTCCGGTAACGTTTGATTTACAAATTAAGCACTGTACATCGCTAACATTACATATAAGTTACATGTACTCAAAAATTTGCACAAATAATAAAATCATTAAAGTTTCATTGCTAATTGTAGAGTTTACATTTATTGTGTTTGTTATTAATATTCCTGGCGTTGCAATGCTTATTCTGAGAGCAAAATGAAGCTACAGAAGCCACTATCTAAATTTAGCACCAGGCGTGTGATTAAATACCTGAACTCTGGCTTTCTTGGAGCCAGGCACAGTGAACGGCAGTGAGTCGGCTGTAGAATGAGACTTGGGAAGGAGGTAAGGGTAGAAGTCATCTTTGTACTTGATTTTTTTAACCTACAGAAGAAAACAGCATATGTTTATTCAAGTTAGCACAACACAAACATTTTATTGACTTTTGATTTTTGTTCTATTTAGTAACCTTCATTAAATGTTTTATTAAGGGTGCCAGTGCATATGGAGCACCCTTATTGTTACTGAGCAGTTAATTTTCTGTTTCTGCCAGTATAAAAAAACTAAGATGGGATTAAGATACTTTTATTATTTTTCACTCCTTTTATTCTATTAGCTGACTTTTTACTTCTACTTCTCGGCTTCTAATGCAATTATCTATTCTTTCTACTCCTTAAATAAAAGAAAAAGCCTATTACTCTTATTTTTATTTTCAGCTTGTCATTTAAAAAAATTAAACAAAGACAAAAAACATCCAGATAAATGTGAGAGTCATGCTGGGAAAAGGTAGGATTGGGGGTCTTTACATTATTATTTATGATTTGCGAACAATATAATTTATCAACACAACCCTCTGCAGTCAGAGCCAAGGTGGATGAGTCCATGAATGATCTGTGCAGTGTTGGGAATGGTTACTTTTTAGAAGTAATTAGTCATAGTTAATAATTACTTCATCAAAATTACCAAGAAAAATAACTATTTTGTTATTTGTTCAGAAAAATATGCAAGAAAAATTAAATCCAATTAACTATAAACTAGATAAATTGCATTTCTTGCAGAAATGCTGTTTGAATGCTGGATAGCTTAAACTGTTAGCTGAATCAGCTTAATAGCTGAACTGAAGCTGAAAGTAAGCAAAACTGTCAAAATGAGCTGAACGTGTTGAAAGATGTAGAAGCAAAAATCACTAACAAGCAAATAAAGCACAAAAAGTAAGTGAAGAATGGAGAAAAATAATCATGAATAGCAAAAAAACTGAAATCTGTGAACATTGTATAAAAATCTGGACAGCTAAAATGTCTAAACACCTGTTATTTCAGTTGGACAAGTTTAACAGTTTAGTCTTTACATTTAGCTGAACTGTGAAATTAGCAGCATATGCTAAATTTGGTAGCTGATTGCTGAAGCTGCTGAATAGCTGAAGTGAAGCTGAAACTAAGCTAAACTGTCAAAATGAGTGGAATGTATTTAAAGATTTAGAAGCAAAAATCACCAACAAGTGTAATAAAGCTCAGAATATAGGTGGAGAATGGGCAAAAAATGCTAAACAGCAGAAAACTTTAATCTTTGAACATTGATTAAAACTCGAAATTTGAAATGTTTCAACAGCTGGCATTTGAATGAGAATAGTTTAATAGGTACATTTTCAAACTCAAGAGTGACCAATTATTTAAAAAATAATAAGAATTAAAGGTGTGGAACACTTGTTTAATCAATACATTTACAGTGGTCTCTACTAGGAATGAATGCCTTTTAAGTTGTACCCTGGGGAAACAAAGCTCTAGTGCACCATTTTCATGAATGAACCACATAAGAGCTGAGCTTTAGACGACATCTTGCCTTGGACTAGATAATAGCAGCATGATTCCACCACTGCAACACTGATGTTTTATTATCTCCACAAATAACACAAGTGTGGAGGAGTTCTGCGGTGTGGTGGAGTGCTAATGCTAACAGCTAGCTTCCACTAGCTGACATGATCTTTGCTGATTTCTGGACGCACAACTGCACTGAAAATGCCTTTGGAAGTCGGAAAAGGGTGGAATGCCTTCTCAGGAATAAGGTCCTGCCCCAAGTGGAGCAGTTTAAGTGTCTTGTGATTGTGTTCACGAGTAAGGGAAAGATGGAGGTGAATTTGTGCAGCATCTGCAGTGATGCGGGCATTGTACCGGTCTGAACTGAGCCAGAAGGCAACGCTCTTGATTTACTGGTCATCTACGTTCCTACCCTCATCTATGGCCACAAGCTTTGGGTAGTGACCAAAAGAACAAGATCATGGATACAAGCAGTGGAAAAAGTTTTTTCTACAGGGCTGTGCTCTCCCTTAGAGATAGGGTGAGAGGCTCGGTCATCCGGGAGAAGCTCTGAGTAGACCCGCTGCTCCTCCAAGTTGAGAGAAGCCAGTTGAGGTGGTTCAGGCAGGAGGAGGAGAAAAACAAATGGAGGAATGGTGTCACTGCAACTGAAACAGGTAGTCCTGTATAAACTAAAATGTTCTACATTAACCTGAAGGTTTTGATGTTTTCGTATATTTTAAGACAAAATACGAAAACTTTTTTAAATCTAAAATTTTCTGTAACTCTATAAGTGTAGTTATTTACAGATGCACGTGAAGTGTATTGTCTGTATTGTGACAAATAATCTGAGGGATTTAGATTACAAGTCATAGTTGTTTTCATTAACAGCACAGAGGAAACTGGAATCGTGTTGATTTTTAAAAGAGATGCACAGTTTAGAAGAGTTTTATCTATTGCTAAGTTTAAAACTGCAGCATCCAAACTAGGACCTTTTTATAAATAATAACAAATAAAGGGTGTTCTGATAAAAATGAGCTACATCCACTGAATTGCTGTTCTGCGTGTGAAACAGGAAAACCCAAATATTAACATGGTTCCACGAACTAAAGATGGCTTTTTTGTTTGGTTTGACCCTGAGGACAGGTGCAGTACACAGAATGTGAAGAACAAATAAAGATTAAGATAGGCGCTCCACCTCATTCCTTTCTACCTCTCTCATCTGATGAACGTGGCTATGCAGCTTCGTCAGGTAAACTGTCTAAAAACCTTTCTCAGGAGTCACATGTTGGATGAACATAAGACTGAATATATAGTCTAGTATATTCCAAATTTAGTGGGAGCATTTTTTGCCATATTACTTGAGCTGCACTTCACATCCCCAGTGAGCCGTGGAGGATGGCTGCTTATACTGAGCCAGGATTCTCTGGAGGTTTCTTCCTGTTAAAAGGGAGTTTTCCTCTCCACTGTTGCTGCATGCTTGCTTAGTATGAGGATTGCTGTATAGTCACTGACACTAGTCAGTGACTTGATGCAATTTGCTGGGTTCCTTATATAGGAAACATTATTTCTGATTGGCTTAATGAACTGTGAATTGGAATGTTTATTATGTGAAGTGCCTTGAGACGACTCATGTCGTGATTTGGCGCTATATAAATAAACTTGAATTGAATTGAATTGAATCCTCGATGCCAACCAGTAAATTAAAGGTTTAGTCAAAATGTAAATAATTTTAATCACCTCTGAAATGTGCAATCTTAGAATAACCTCATCCAATCATTGTAAATGTCTCATTTTTAATGATTAGATCCTGATCCTTTCATCAAACTGGTCTCTATGTGCAAAAATCACACATTCCCTGCTCAGCTCGGAGCAGCTGAACAAAAGCAAAGTTAGTGCCGGGCCTGTTGGGTGGAGCACGGCTGCAGGGTAGAGGGAGGGAGGTGCAGTGGCCCAAGCAGCAGCAGGTGGGTGGAGGAAAGGTGCTGATCAGCCTTCTCTATATACAGTATATCAGCAGAGACCAGCAGAAGGGAGTAAGAGATATCCATGGGACTGGACACATGTGGAGAAAGACCCACTGCGACAATCAGTAATAGTGTGTGAATATCACTTGTGTTGCGTTATCAATCAATCAATCAATCAATCAATCAAAGCTTTATTTATAAAGCGCCTTCCGCAACCCTGTCAGGAAGCCCTCCAATGACCTGGAGGGTTATATGTGACCCCCACACTAGATGGATAGACTAGCACACTAAATTGTTGTATGGTTGTGTAGGTACATTATATTAGACGTTAGGTGCCTAAAACTGGTGGAAACTGTTTAGGAATCTAAGCTGTGTGCCGGACAGCGCGTGAATCCTTGGGAATGATCATTAAGCGTTCCTGTATTATGGAAACATGGCTTAGTGTGGGGAGCCTGAAAAAAGGGGGCTGGAACTTTGACCTTTGACCTGTGCGTTTTCAAAATGTAGCTTTCTGAATAACATTATCCAAAATCACCCACTCCACCTTTAACATTATTATACATCATTATAGTTATTATGGTCTTTAGTAAAAATGTTCTTGCAAAGTGTGCTAGCGCTTTGGTGTGGCTTCAGCTTTTGTCCTTAATGGTACTTTTTTACTTACATTACTTTTACTTTTGTACTTTAAGTACCAGTACTTTTTTTACTTTCACTGATTTAAATAGCTTGAATTGATACTTCAACAGAATTCTTTTTAAACCCTAGTATCTGCACTTCTGAGTAATGAATGTGAATACTTTTGGTGCCTCTGATTGGTCAGAAATGTTCTAGTTTTTGACCTTGCCTTTATTCTGAAACTGTAGATGTATTTAAAAAATCATATTTCAGCACAGCACTAATGACTCATTCTTGAAATAGATAGGCATCTAATGATACAATAAAGTGGACTTGAGCCTATTTAGACATTTATGCAGAACCTTTCTAACTAGAAGTCCTTGGAAGTTACCTTGGCATAGTTCCAGCGCTGGATGAAGTGTCGAGCCACATCCCTGGCAGCTCTGCCATGAACAGCTGCAGACAGGTCACGCCACGGGATGCGAGGAATCTTAGTACGGTCAATGTTATCTAAAAAAAAAAACAAGAAACACAAAAATCCTTCCATCCTAGTGTTCAGACTCAGTGTGTTTATGTGTGTTGCTTACAGTACCGAGTTAAGTACCTTCAAATGGCTTGTCCAGGTTGGTCCAGTCTTTGTAGATAAAGTTGCTGTAATCTTTGCCAAGCCACAGTTTAGTGTTACCATCCAGATGAGCTGGATCTTGTTTTGTTGGATTATCTGATTTTGGACCCTCAGTCACACCGTTACCCTGGTTAACAAAGCAAACCCACTAAAATCTGAGGCTAAAAGCACAAAGAGTTGTGAGCACCAAGACAAAAATCTCAAACGATATGCTTCCTTACTTTCTGACTCGTTTTTACATGGTTCGACTCTTCTGTTAAACCCAAGTCCGATAGGCGGTACTGACTGTCATCCCACCTCCCAAATGCCAGGTCGATGCCCCCTACAAAGGCTACAGTTTGATCAATGGCCACCATCTTTTCGTGGTGTGCCCAAAAAACCACAACTGATGACACGTGGTCAGGATGTCGCATCACCTGATGGAATCACAAGAAACAAAACAGTCAAGCACAAAAAAAAGAGATTCTTTTCCTTTTTGGACATTTTTACCATGCCCTCTACAAATTCTAGGGGTGTAAGAGAACGCCTGTAATCCCGGTTTGATACGCACCTTGGTTTAATGTCACAATTTGATTCATTTTTGGTACAATGAGGAAACAAAGTGGCAAAAACATTTTTTTCTTTTCATCAAGGTTGCTATGCGATAGTACATAGGTAAGACTATCCACCTTCACATCCGTTCACTGCCGGTGTTCCCGGGTAACAAAGGACCCAGTGTCTGGTACCTACACCAGCCTACGCTTGCTAGGTTGGTTGGGTCCTTCGAAAGACGCTGACTTCTGGACACAGCCAATTGTGTTGCTGGATAAAGTGCAACACATTTAAACGTCCATGTGGGAACTCGGCAGGCTTTTGTTCCAAACTGAACCTGAATGATCTGTACCAAAATATCTGAAACTGAATAAATATACCGCTACACTCCTAGTAAATAATGTCCAGCAGAGAGGTCGCAGACCTTGATGTTTGGATGCATATTCATGAGACTCCTCTTGCTGTAGTCGCTGTTGATACCAAGCGCCATCTCCACCTCTTTGTACAGCATGACACAGACTTTGACCCCTTGCTCCTGCAAAAAAAAAAGGTTAAAAAACTGTAAGCTTGTTTTAAAGAGAACTTCTATGATATTCCTAAATTGTGTCAAAACAGAGGGAATCCCTACTGCTTTTCGTTTCAGGATCTCATCCAGCCTCCAGTAGTTATTAGTTGCCGGCCTCTTAAGGAACACCTCTGGACTGAGCCTGATGGAAATGGTATAATCAATTAAATAACTTGTGGAAAACCACTTTTTAAGAAGCTAAAATAATTTACTGTTAAAATTACATCAAACTGGCTCCTGGCACTTACCACCAATCAGTGATGAAAATCTCCTCCTTGGCTTGTTCCAGAGCATCAGCCAGGTCACTGAAGTAGCCGCTTCCATTCACATACCTTAAACGATAAACCAAAGTCCAACAGGGCTAACACTGGAAGCTGTTTGGAATTCGTAGCAAGTGATTAAACTGACCATTTAGTCAGAGCGTTCTCCCGTGGTGGAGCAAACCCTTCAAAGCGCTGCTTTTTGAGAAAGTCGCATAGTTCTGCCAGCCGGTTGATTTCGTGGCTCCACCAGTGACTTTGTCTATAACTGCTGCACTTAATTATCAGATCACTAAACAAAACCACACAGGCCAGGAATTTACTAAAAGTTTAAAGTAGACATTGAAATGTGCACAAAACAGACTTACCGTGTTGAGTTCTTAATGCAAACTCCATACTCTGTGCCAGTGTATAAACGGCCCACTTGGACTTTGAACTCTGGGTCAAACAGCAGCACAAAGTTGATGATGTCATAGTCTTGGCTCATGTACAACAGGAAAGAGTCTTTCACCACTAGCCAGCGGTGTGACCAGCGGAAACAGAACTGGTGGTGGCCGAAGCAGTTCAGTCCTTGGATATGGTGACCTCCTGACCTCTTCATGATCGGCCCCTCCCTGAAACACATCCACAAAAACAGCACTATGAGCCTAAAAGTGATGACCCGGATCTATAGAGGTGAGCTTTCTACAACACAGAAGAGTTTGTTGTTGTCATGGTCTGCGTTCTGCGTCTCCCTCATGTGTCTCCTTGTGTTCTCCATCCCTCTCTAGATTCCCCTTATGCGTCTCCTTGTGTTCCTCGTGTGTCTCCTTGTCTGCATCCCCCCTCATTGCTCCTTATGTTCCCCAACCCCTCCAGGTGTCCCTCACTCCTCAGGTCATTAGTTATTTATCCTTTGATTCTCCTGTGCCCTTAGTCTTTTAGGTTTATTTATTTGGAGATTCATAGGTTAGGGTTTATCCCCTCTGCTTGGTTTTCCCTTCCCATTTAGTTAATTGATCTCACCAGTCTCCCCTCAGTTCTCTCTCCTCACACACCTGCTCCTCGTCTCCCAATCACCCAGTCCCTGTGTATATAACCCTGTCTGCGTCTCAATTTTTTGTCAGTTCATTGATGTTTGTCAGCGTGCTTTGTCCCCCCACTAGGTCTCTAGGTCTCTGCTCATGAGTGAGCTTTTGGTTTTTGTCTTGCAGTTAAGATATCAGGTTTGGCTTCCTGCCTTTTCGGATTTGTTTTGTTCCCCATCCTAATAAAAGGGATTTTACTTTTACAAATCGCTCCTGCCTCGTGTCGTCTGGTATTCTGCAGCTTGGGTCCTAACCATCGACCTATACATATATGTCCTAACCCCCCCCCCCCCCCGCCCCATCGTGACAGTTGTTTATTGAACCTATATATTTAATTTACAAATAGGCCACCCCTGGTGTTTGCTGGTTTAATTCACAAACATCCATCAAAGGTTTATAGCTTACAAGCCTTTAGGTCCCAGATCAGTGACAAAGGAGAGAGGACTGACAGAGAGGAATTCCAGCTGTAAACAACAACAAAAGAGAATTTATTTTTCATGCATAAATACTCAATAAAGAAGTTTTATTTGTATTTTCGGATTTTACCATGCTCTTGTCATTTCTGCAGAATGCATTCTCCAGCAGCCCGTTCAGGTACTCCTCGAGGTACTTCTACATTAAAAACAGTATTATGACAGATATTAGGTAAGATAGGCTGTGTGTATGGTGTTATCTCCTAAAAAATAAAGCAAAGAGGAAGGTTTGTTTTTATATCAATCTTCATATTTAAGTCCAATTTTTGAGAAAAAAATGAAGAAATCTTATGAAAATGTAATCATCCCTTATTTTATGAGTAATTTGAGGTGTGTATGTGTGTAATAACAACAACAATAGCAATACTAGTAGTAAAACTTCTTAGAAACTTCTAAAATCCTGATTACCCCTTTGCTGGAGGCAGTTCTGGTCCGTTCTGTGCCGTGTAGGCTCGGCATTTCCTCTGACATGTTCCTCAGCAGCTGCCTATCCTTTGCAAACCTTTAAAAGAAACAATTTGAATATTCAAAGTAATATTTTCTCGAACAATCTGACATCAAAAGCTCAAAGCAGATCTCATATGGACATCCCTGGAAGTGTGAAGCTGATTTGAATGACCAACTGACCTTCCAAGAGGCATCAAGTGAAGCATCATTTTGTGCTTGTAAAGGTCTCTGTGCAGCTCCTGGAAGTGTTTGTATTTCCTCTTCATGGTCCAGTGGAAGTGGCCATGTGTTAGATGGATTGAGTACAAGGTTCCTACGCGGACCTGGGAGGGGTTTTATTAAAACGTACATGTTAGTTGGCTACTAATGCCAAAAATTCTAAAACATAAATACTAAGAAGTCCAATGTGATGAACTCACATCACATCTTACTCACTTAAAGAGCAAATCACCCCCAAATCAACTTTTTTTTTGCCGATAAACTATAAAAATGAGTGTCTAATCATGCTGAAGACACATGCAGTCAATAATTTTGTACTTTGGTGCACCTTAGTTAAAATTAAAAAATTCTGCCTAAAACTTCCCTCTTCAGGTAAAAACTCTGCATTTGAAATTAAATCTACCATCGTTATTGGCTAAGATATGATATGACATCAGTTGGTACCATATGATGTCACAATGCAATTGTGAGCTTGTGTGTGTGTGTACTAATGGCTCCGCCCTCTCGGCCTGCCAGGCAGCAGCACTTGTTGCATTTTTCAAACAGCTTGTATGAGTGGATAAGGACTCGGGAAGGGGTTACTTACTCTTTAAAAACAAAATAACTCTTTTTTTTTTGGTGGTTTGTTTTTTCACCTGCACCGAGCCATTGATAAACCGATGATCACTAGCAGTCAGTTTTACGTAAAACATCCATCATAAACTTAACTTTGACTACCAGGTAGGCTGTTTTAAGGGGGAGGGATGATAATAAATCTGAGCATTCGGATACCAGGACATGCAAAGTTATGCAAAACTGTTAAAGCTGTTCATATACATGCATGTGCAGCAACTTTAGTTTCTCACTGAATAACATAAGAATACCTATTGTACGTAGCATTACCAAAGCTTATAGCTAGGAAATGATTTGTCACAGAGGTTTCAGGAATAGTGCACAGATGGAAGCTTGTATTTCTTGGTTCTTTTTAAACACAGAGAAGAAAAGTTTTCCTTTACCTTATTAGCTAACGTTTCGGCTACTTCCTGTAGCCATCATCAGAGCTGTGATGATGCTGATGGTGTCACTTCCTTTTTCCATCGTCACAGCTCTGATAATGGCTACAGGAAGTGGCCGAAACGTTAGCTAATTAGGTAAAGGAAAGCTTTTCTTCTCTGTTTAAAGGGACTATAAGGGAGTTTGACAGTTAAAAAATGTATATACTAATAATACATTTCTTCTTCATACATTCTCCTGCAATGCCCTGGTCCTGTAGAATGAGCCCTGGCATTTTTACTGTGATTGCCTGTTTTTCTGTAAAATCACAGAAAAAGAGAGCTGCTCGGGTCGAGCAGGCTGCTTCATGCGCGTTCACGCTCAGGCATAGCCCGTAGCATTTGCTATCCGTAGCTTTAGCAGCAGAGAGTGAGGTAGTGCCAACTCAGCGACTTTGTCGCTGTTCCTAACGCCTAGTGATGAACCTAGCTACATTTCTGAGGACCCTTAGCTACTTTCTGTAGAACTTTCTTCTAGATATTTCCTGCAAATTAGCAACAAAATAGCCATTTTCGCTCCGAACTGTTCTTTGGATTGACGTTGTTTCAGCTGTTATTAAGGATATAAATGTTACAGATACATTGAAGGTTACTGGCGCTTTAGCTCACCTAGTAAGATGTCTGACTCTCACACTGAAGACCTGGGTTCAATTCTGGGTGTGAAAATAATTTGTTATTTGGAGTTTCTTTTTTACATTAATGATATTTTTTTTTACAGTAATAAGACACCCACATTTTTATTTGAGACTCGCCAAAAGGCATTGAATTCACGGATAAAAACTATGTGGGTTCAACTTTCATTTTGGAACAATTTTTCATGCAAGGGACGGGAATGATCTGAGCATGCAGGAGGACTGACCCATCATAAACCTTTGTCGACTGTGCTGAAGAGAAAGGTACCGAACCAAATTATTTAATTAATTAGCTGCGTGTTCTCCTGTCCTCTGGGCCACACACACACACACACACACACACACACACACACACACACACACACACACACACACACACACACACACACACACACACACACACACACAGGACTGTCTCCGCTGTTATTTTTGTTAAGGAGTGTGCACGTACAGCATGCACACCTCATGCACGAGCTTACTTTTGAAGCTGCAGTTACGCATTAGGCCTGAGTGGTGATCGCGAGCATAAAAACTTCAAACTTCCTTACAGTCCCTTTAAAAAGAACCAAGAAATACGAGTTGAAAAAAGAGACACAGAATGAATGTACAGAAGATGTACAGATGGATGCTGCATTGTGACAGAACTCATTACAGCAGAGTCTGAGGATTTTTTTAGCTATAGTTGGAATCATGGGCATAGTTTTGACTTTAGATGTGGGGGAACACAACCAGCATAGGGGGGGGGGGGGGGATCTTTACAGTAAGTATATTAAATATATTTATGAAACTACAGCCTAGAAGCTCTTTTATGCAATGTCAGGAAAGCAGAACTGTAAAGTACATGGGTGGCAGGAACGGCCAATCACACACTAGCAGCAGAGCCAATAGATGAGCTTAAGGACATTCTAAAGGGAAACAGGCTTCAACACAAGCGGTTGTTTTCCGCTTGGTCCTAGTGCTCAACCAGTGTCTATTTGATATAGCGTAATATTGCCTTTGAACGGTAAAAAGTGCAAGGGACAAAAATCGACTTTGGGAAAAAGTGTGTGTGTGGGGGGGGGGGACATGTGCCCCCCCCCCCCCCCCCCCCCCCCAAAAAAAAAAAACTACGTCCATGGTTGGATTTAGTCCTAAGTGGGTTCATATGATAAACAGCAAAAAACAGCATTTTCACACACTTTTTTCATGTGATAATGCTGGTACTACTTGTGATACACTTAAAAATAACAACTCCACAAAAACACTTTATTTACATTCAAAAGCAGCTGTACCTTGGAGCTGGTGGTGTACTTCTCTGTGTTGTCCACTCTGCATGTAATAGGAACACCCGGCATCAGGTAAGGTACACCTTCATCTCTAATTTCAGGGAGGTAATGAACCATGAGGAACGAACGACCCTCTGCAACACAGTTTAAGGAAAATGTTGACTAAATTTCTCAATGAACCACTAAGCCTAATTTAAATGCGTGTTGCCTCACCACCAGCTGATATGAGGCCGTCTAACTCATCTGGACTCAGATTGTGGAGGTCTCGTGAGAAGCGCCTTCGGTCGAGGTTCTGTGCAGCTGAGCTCACGACCAAATGCTCAACCACATCCTCTGGACAGGCCATTGCACTGCTGTTAGAGGGACCAGATCACCTTAAATGTGACAAATAAAAGCTCACCAGAGACTGAAATATGACCAAAAAAAACAAAAATATAACTAAAATAAGACCAGTGAGATATGAAATGCTTATATGAATACATAAAACTCATCAACCCCATCACCTGGACATTAGCTCAGCTGCTAACTAAATCTAAGGAAGACGAGACATCCAGGCCCTCGGCTACAGCCAGAAGATCCAAAACACACACACACACACACACACACACACACACACACACACACACACCTAAAATACACAGTTGTAATATGAGGAGCAACGCAGCGGTCAAGGAAGGGCTATCTTTAGTCTACGATGACAACAAATTCCAGATGGATTCCTTTAAACAAATTACAGCAATAGATCAGACTTTTGAAGTGGGTTTCTGTGGAGTAGATATTTATCTTATCTGCAGTAACTAACTGCTATTCCTTATCTAAGAACAAATTTCAATGGTACATGGTTTGAAATTCCGTAAAGGTAGTGGGGGTTAATGACAGGAAACTACATTAGTAACAACTAAACCAAACAGTAAACCAACTAGAATAAACTAGACTAGTATTGTGCACAAGGTAGCAATTGTGCAAACACTCTCCAAAGGCTTGTGCAAGTAAAACAGGTGTGTGTAAGTCTGATGTGCATGAAGCAACAGAGCTATAATGCTTCATCAGATCTGGAAGAATCTGTTCCTCTGTCTGGTGGTACTGCAGCTAGTGCTCTGGAGCTGTATATATATATATATATATATATATATATATATATATATATATATATATATATAATGGTTGAAACCAACCTTTGCACCTGCAACCATCTGATACTAGAGCTCTTTTTTTAACGTCTAAATGACTTTTCCTCTGGGAGTTTTCCAAATTGACCCTGGCTTTCCACTGGATGTATGAGAGTCACGTAACGCCTGTGAAGGGTAATATGCAACTAATAGCTGCCGTTACAGTCAATGGGTTTAGTTCCTTGGGGCGATGGGCGATGGGGTACTGGACGCGTCCCAGAAGCGTTGCTAAATTTCCGCCTCAGGTCAATGTTTTACGAGCTACTGAGTACGAGCTACGAATACCGGAACACGGCAAGTTCAGCAGTTCAGATCAGACACTGAATACAAAAGATTGGTGTTGAATTTATTTGTTAAACTATGTTTTAGGACAAGATCGGTGGTTATAAAAGAAATATAACCTCTAAATAAACTAAGAAAAACTTAGAACAAGAAATGCTAGAGCTGCAAGCAACAATTCAACACCAGCAGGTATTGTATTTACACTCATACATGACCTGTGCTCGTCTCATTGCTGACATCATCACCCTTCACCTTTTGTACTCTTCATTTATAACAACACAGTTCAGTCCATCAGAACAGAAATCTACACCTCCACTATCAGTTTATTTGTGTTACTTGGCAAACATTAAAAATTATGCAACAAAAATAAAGAGTATTTCTTCCCCAAAGCAGCTGGTGAAATATTTTTTTGTTAAATGAGGATAATTTTTCACACTAAGGAAAATTACTGTGTCGATATTTTTTATAGAAAATAACTTGTGTTCATGTTATCGATGACATTTATTTACATACCTTCAGCACATGCACATCTTCTGTCCTCCTATGTTGCAATCGTTTCAGAGATTTTTGTGCCAAATGTATCTGAACTAGATTTTTTTAAGTTAGCGCAACACAAAGGATCCAAGTAAAAAATTACAGTGTATGTTTTTAAGTTATCATTTTTATGAAGTTCATCTTATAAACTCAATCCAATTATGTAGAAACTGCACGTTACAAATAAGGGACTTGAACAGAGGATTTTTTTTTCAGTGTAAACAAATTAAGCCTTAAAAGGAATTCCGACTATGAGGATGCGTATGCCCTAATAAGCCAGAAGTTTTCTGTTGTACCAAACTATGTTGTTAGAAACACACAAAATATTGCTGTTTATTTAGAAATCTATAATATTTAGTACATTTTTGGACATTCGTAGGATGCCATGTTTTCCGCACACAATGCACTCTGGGGCGATGACGTATACTGGTTGCTCTTGGAAGAATAGCTATTGATGCTAGTGTTTGTTTACGTGGCCACAATATTAATAATTAAGTAAAACTGTAATGATTCACGTTCCTGATATTCTGCCCGTCATGTTGGTTGCCGTTCCTGCACTAATCAGCATCATTTAGTTCACCTGAGTTCTGCCTGATTACTTCATGGAGCACACCTGTTCTTTCCTCTATTTAAACCCTCAGTGATCTCTGCCTCTCTGCCAGATTGTCTGTAGCCTTTTGTCTCAGGATTCCAGCAATTCATCGTTCTGACCTACCAAGCCCTGTACCACGTTCACGTTCCTGGATTGTCTCTGCCTAGCCCTTAAAGGATTTGTCTGCTTTTCTGACCTCTGGACTCCGACCCTGTTTTGAACCACGGCTTCTGATCCTAGTCTGCTCCTCCTGTTAAGTATGCCTGCTTCTGCCTCTCTGTTGATGACCTTTGCCTGTTTCCGAACCCTGCCTATGGACTGAGTATTTATGGACAATAACATTTGTCTGTGTCACAGAAGAGGAGACATATTCACAGACAGAAGGGGAGGGGGAGTTTTCTGTCTAAGGAACATCCTGGGAACTCTCCAGTCCAAACCAACGTTTTCCGTTGTCTCTGCCTCTGCCACATTTTCCCTCTACACTGACCCCTTCAACAGTACTTAGCTGCAGAGACCCAGCTCATGCCCAAACCCTTACTCCTTTAATAAAGTATCTTTTTATATATTTAACTCCTGTGTGTGGCTGAATTCAGGGTCTCCAGAAAACCCTTTACAGAACAATCTGGCCAGTATGGACCCGTCACCCCCTCAGGAATGGCAAACAAAGGTTGGCAAACAAAGGTTGAAGTGGCAATAACTAAACTCGAGCCCAGCATGCAGCAGATGTTAACCATGTTGGGCGATTATTCCTCTGTTACTACACCTAAGACTTCAACTTCTACTGCAGCCCCCCAACGCCACATCTCACCTCTCAGGGAGCCACGCCTGGCCCCTCCTGAAGTGTTTAAGGGTGAGCAAGGCCAGTGCAGATCATTTATCACCCAATGTGAAATACATTTTGAATTGCAACCCTCCTGTTTTCCCACTGAACGTGCCAAGGTGGTTGCCTTTGTTATTTCTTTACTGTCTGACAAAGCCAAGAAATGGGGGACGGCAGAGTGGCAGAGGAACTCACTGATCTGTTATTGTTTCAAGGATTTTGCTGCAGAACTCATCAGAGTTTTTGATCCTGTTCTACTCGGGAGGGAGGCGGCCCGAGGCCTGTTGTCTTTGAAGCAAGGCAAGAAACGTGTGGCAGAGTATATAACCGATTTTCACACCTTGTCTGTTGACTATAACTGGAATGATGAGGCTCTATGTGACGCCTTCTAGCAAGGATTGACTGAGGAAATCAAGGACGAACTCGCTACTCGTGACGCACCCAGGGGCCTGGCAGAACTGGAACTCCTAGCTACCAGGATTGATTTAAGGCTTTGCGACTGACAGCTGGAGAGAGGTCGTTCACATCAGACGCCTCGCATACGGCCCAGCTCTGAACTCCCATCTCGATCGTCGATGACCCCTCCTGTGAGTGCAAATGTTTCAGAACCCATGCAGATCGGCCAAGCCCGTCTGACCCCCCAAGAGAGGGAGAGGAGATTTAAGGAGGGATTGTGCTTCTATTGTGGAGGAAGGAACCGTCAAGTCCAAAAGTGTCCTTTAAAAGGCCAGACTCAGTAAGAGGTGAGAGGCTTTTACCGAGTCATAACAAGTCCAGCAAAACCCCTCCAATGGTCTCTATTCAGATCCATATTAATGGTCATGTAAAGCAGGGGTCAACCTTCGTTGACTCAGGGGCTGACACAGAGTTCATGGACATTGAATGTGCTAAAGCTTTGAATACTGTGATGTTACCCACTTCTAGGACTCTGGATGTGCTAGCTATAGATGGTCATGTCCTACACAAAGTGACCCAAAAAACAATTCCTGTCAAAGTCACCATTGGAGGTAATCATCATGAATACATTTCCTTCCTAATAATCCATTCCCCTAACATTCCCATCATACTGGTGGCTTCCTGATTAAGGATGCACAACCGTCATATTGACTGGAACAAAGGAGAGGTCCTCGGTTGGTCTACAGGCTGTCATTCCTCCTGCCTTTTTTCTGCTGAAACCATCGACATACATATATGGACAATGGGTTTCCATTGACTCCAATAACATGTTTTTGTGCTAAAATGGGAGGTGGCCACCACCACCATTTTGCCCGTGTCACAGGTTCCGTCAAGCCCAGACAATTCCATAAAAGGGAAGAGAAGAGGAGCTGAGGGTGGGGCTGTAAGGCTGGGATCAACTGATGACACCCGGTCGAACTAGCTACAAGCTAACCTGAAGCTAACCCAAAGCTAATGCGGAGCCTGGAGCTAAGCTAACGGAGGTAGCAACCTAGCTACAACCGGAGTTAACTGTGCACAACACCAGAGCTTCTGAGTCAGAGATACGCCGGGCTGACCGCTGGGTAAAACCGGGTGGAACACAGAGGACCCCGAGACCTCCACAAGCCGGCAGCCGCACAGCAGACAAGCGCCGCTGCGATCTGAGATGCGCAGAGCTGCCGCTGAGGAGAGCCGGGTGGAAAGGTTTCCATCCCAGAGCTCCACAAGCCGTCAGCCCGTGCAGCAAACAGAAGCCGCGATCAGACAGATGCGCCGAGCTGCGGGGAGACCCAGCCTGCAGCCCGCGCAGCACACAGAAGCTGCGATCAAACAGAGATGTGCCGAGCTGCGGGGAGGGGAGAACCGGGTGGAAAACAGAGGTCTCCCGAGAGCTCCACAAGCCGATAGTCGGAACCCAGCTCCACCAACATGTTATATTTCAACCCATTTTCTAAAATGCAGCATTATGTTAAACGCACTGGGTTTTACCCTATTACATTTAAATTTCATGGTTAAACAGTACATGTTAAAATCTAAGCTCAGCTCGGCAGTGACCTAAAATACATAAATATAATTTTACTTACCGAAAAAAATGAAGTGGAGACTCCTTGGATGCTCTATTAGTGCAATTAATGCCACAGCAAGTCATTTTGTCCAACAATTGCATAAAAAATATCCAAACAAGAATACACAAACACAGAGACTCAAAATCCCGGAACAGTTTCCAAGCCAGCCCGAGGCTCTACTGAGGCCTTTCCACGGAGCTGGCTCTGTGGTCACGTGTGTCGGATGCTCATTAATTATACAGAATTTTAGGCTTTTAATACACTTAAACAGAAGAGTGAGAAAAAAATCCACCCCCCTCAGAGTTGTCATGAGTGTAAACTAGATCATTTAAACAAAAAACATGTTCTGGTACCAGGCTGCAAACATGTTTATTTCTGCTGTGAAATTGGTATTTTTAACATGGGAGTCAATGAGGATTTGCTCGCTTCTAACACCAGCTCCCAGCGGATGAGGGTGGAACTGCAATTTTGGTACTTCCGGGTTGGGCCCAATTTTGGAGCCGCATTGTGGGGGCTTGGCTGAAACCCATGAAATCATTACAGCAGAGATTCAAGAAGCATTCCCTGACCTATCTAAGGTTCCCACAGAGTACCATGACCCTCAAGAAGGTATTTAATAAACATAGAGCCCCCCCCCTCCCCCCCCGACCCTATGACTAACACGGATGAAGCTGAACATTCACCTCTCCCGTCAGCAAAACAAGCAGTAAGTGTAGCAATACAGTGTTCTACAAATATGTAATATCTGCAAAAATGGTTAAAGTCATTTCACTGAATATCCTAATCATCTATAAAGCACACGACAGCTATGGATGCTAATATTCTACAAAATCATTCATAATTGAATAAGTTTGATCACACGATAGCTTACCGTTAACTTCTGCTGACAAAATTTTGAGCTCTTGTCAACAAACACTCTCCCTCTCGGTTACTATGGAAACACATTTGCCGGACACGCACCACTGGTTTTGTCCTGCTCTCGCTTCATCCCGCCCTTCTTGCTCTTCATTTTGACGCTTGTTTTGTGAAACATCGTCGTTTTAATTTAACTGATACTAACATTTATCTTTTAAGAGCCACAAGGTTTTGTAACCTGGGTTCCTTTTAAAACAATCAGGTGATGGAATCTGAAGATTAAATATATCTGACAGGATGAACAGCTAAATAAAACAGAAATCAGGATAAGATTTTATCAATTTTCCATCTAAAACACAAAACATAACACATCTTTGTCATTACTTAGAAGGCATTAAGAATGCAGCTAGAAAACAGGAGGTGTGTGAAGCTTTTTGTGGTGTGTGTGTGTGTGTGTGTGTGTGTGTGTGTGTGTGTGTGTGTGTGTGTGTGTGTGTGTGAGAGAGAGAGAGAGAGAGAGAATAGCTGAGTGTTTTCTGGGAGACGAGGACATGGGAAGGGAGGAGTGTGTGTGTGTGTGTGTGTGTGTGTGTGTGTGTGTGCGTGCGTGCGTCCGTGCGTGCGTGCGTGCGTGTGTGTGTGTGTGTGTGTGTTTGACGTGTGTGAAGAGCTAAAAGAGGAAGAGAAAACTAAATGAGAATAATATAAAGCAGAACCAACTCTTGTTAAACATGAAGGCTTTATGGGATTTTGTCTGATTTACAACTAGTTCAGATATTACACACTTACTAACACACAGGAGGCTGATTAGCAAACAGGAAGTGAGTGTGAATTCTGATTAGGAACATTATCTGTTATTGTGCGAAAGAATACAAAGACTGATGAAAACAAAGGTGCATTTTTGAAATATGCCACTTATCTTTGTATTGCAGAGATTCATCAAAATCCCTCATTTTTCCTCATCACCCTATGGCTGATAAAGCAATGTTTTCCAGCTGCATGGGACTGTGAAGATCGGCTATTTTTGTTTAAACTCTGGTCTTCGTAACAAAATGTAAAACTAAACTAGCTAAACTAAAACTAAATCCCTGAACCACGCATCTGTTATCACACTTGCACCCAGCTTTCAACACATATGTGAAATCTGAGACGTGCAAATGAATTAGTAAGAATTATCATGATATATTAAAATCCTGCTTCTTTTAGGATAAGAAATCACCTTGATAAAAAAATAATAATGATAACTAACATTTTACTTTTATAGAAACATTTGTAAAAGTTTCCCACACTTTTGTAGTATTCTAAAACAAAATCTTGTTCTGTTTTTCCATTCAGAAATTTAAGGTTCAGAATTATTTTGCTCTGCTGAATGTCAACACTAGCAGCACCTTTTCTCTTCATCACACAGTCTTGCTCGTACTTGTTTCCAAGTTTGCATAAAACCCTGGATTGGCTCATGCTGTGAGGTAAACACAGAATTTTCCAAACATGCATGTTTAAAGTCTAGAGTGGACTAAAGATTTCTCTCTTTAGTAAAGTGCCTTCCACTTACTCAAATTACATCCGGGACAAACTCTTGTTGTGTTGTTTACAACACAACAAGATGGGCTAAAATGGAATTTAAAAGAAAAGCCACGCCAATCATTCCCAGAATCATAAATGTGAATTTGCATCATACACACACTTCACGGGATCTGTTGGAAAAAGTGCAAAAAGCAGAAAGCAAAAGTGTTTAGAAAGTTAAAGCATTTTTTTTTGTGACTTTCAAGTTTTTATCAAAAGGAAAAGCTGATTACAGAAGCTGTTCTCCAATAGAAGTCAATTTCAATAAAAATATACATATTTCTGAAAAATGAGAAGAACTCTTCTCTCTTTGCTGCATGAAAATAAAGCAGACCGGCTCTAAGAACAATTTCCCACTAACTAAATCTCTGACTATGCTGACATCCTGCAGCCTGCATGACACCTGGGTGGGGCAACAAGTGAAAGAGCAGCTCTGACAGCACAAGACTGACCTTTAACTCTTCAAAGACAAGTGAGGTTGTTGTTTCTATTAAAAAAATGCAGGTGCGCAGAAAACAATATTTAAAGAGCAAGTCACCCCCAAATCAACATTTTTTTCTGATAAACTATATCAATGTGTGTCTAATCGTGCTGCAGACACGTGTAGTCAATAGTTTTGCACTTTAGTGCAGTTTTGTTCAAATTCAAATTTTTGGCCTAAAACTGTCAGTGTTGTGCCGTTGTCAGGTAAAAACTCTGCACTGCAGTTGAATTTAAATCTGCCATCGCTATTGGCTAAGAGGTACCCTAGAATGTTAGCTGGTACCATATGATGTCACTGTGTCTTTGTGAGCCTGTGTGTGTGTTAGAGCTGAGGAAAATAATCAAACAATTGATGCATTGGGATGCGGACATCAACGATTCTGCATCGTAGAAGAGTACGCCATAATCGATTATAGTGGAATGTAGTTTTGTTTTTTTAACGGCAGCACCAGCGCAGCATCCAAATCTGTCAGAGTGAGTGTCCTCCACATTTACCAAGTAGTTCTGCCTTAATGTGGTACTGCAGAGCTGAGCGCTAGAGTTGTAACCCGAGACCGAACCAGAACCGAATCAGCCCGACCGGTTCTGTTGGAAAAAATAAAAAAGCAATTGTCTGACATATTCTATTTATCGATGAAAACAAATCAATATGAAATAATCGTGATGCATCTGGATATCGAATCGAATTGAATGGTTGACCCAATAATCGTAATCGAATCGGGAGACAAGTGAAGATTCGCACCTCTAGTGTGAGTATTTGTTAGTGGCTTCGCTCTCGGTCTGCTAGGCAACAGCATTTGTTGCATTTTCCAAACAGGAAGTGGGAGCGAAGTAATTCTCTGGTAGGGGGTGACTTGCTCTTTAACAATCAGTTGTGCTACAAATGAAAGGAAGTCTTCACCTTGAGCAGAATAAAGTCACCAAGCATAAAAGGTAATAACAGGAAATGTAAATATACCATGAGTCATCTCATGGTACCACAAGGGTTGTTTTTTGAGTCTAATATACCTCTCACCATTCTGTTATAACTCTGTCTTTGGAAGATTAAACGTTTTACAAAGCACTTTATAATACATATCATGAGGAAAAGCTTTGAACGTGAGAGAAGTGATTGAAGATTTTTTATACACATAATTATAAAGTGCACAAGCTCTGTCACAAGTGTGTAAAACTCACACACAGATCTACAAAACGTTATTTATACAGCTGCTAAACTAATGATGTTATCCATCAAATGCAAGCTAAACATGGGAAGAGCGAATTTCTCGTCTCCACCCAGTTTCCTACGAGGCAAAAACGAGGAGAAAATGTCCACTTATACAATAATTATACTCACAGGAGTTCAGCTGCAGCTTCAGCTCGGGACAATCATTTATTCCGCACGCGGGACGGAGGAACTAATTACTTATCCGGGAGGAAATTTATCGTATTCCAGGTTAACGCCACCAGAATAGTTCATCGGTACTGTCGCCCGTGGGTGATGCATTCTTTAGTCCCTCCCATTGGCTAAAATGTAGCACAGTCGACAAAAAAAAAAAAAAAAAAAAAAAAAAAAAACTTCACATGGGAAGTTGGAGCGCCTGTCAGGTCTGACATGAACACAGGACGTGGCCCAGAACCGCAGACAGCGAGAGCAGACGTGTAGGAATCGTAGGAATGCAGTAGCACATAAAACAATTCATCGGCGCCGCTATCGCTCCAACTATAGAGTTTTTAGTTGCAACTATTAAAGTATTACGGCACTTCCTGTTAATACTTTCAAAATATAAGTCGAAATGGATTTTCAGGTGCAGTTTAAAACGTGTTATGGTATTACGGTTCCTGTGTTATTTTCTCAAAATAAAACTCATGAGCAGCATCATACGTTTTTGTAAAAAAAAATTAGGAGTGAACGTAATGATCCGGGTGCCAAGGGGGCAGAACAAGCATAATATTACATGTAATTTCCACTAAATATCACAATTAATATAATTTAAAAAGTCAGTGACTTCATGCAGTTTGCTGGGTTCCTTATATAGGAAACTTTTTATTGATTGGCTTAATGAACTGACTGACCTGTATTGGAATGTTTACTATGTGAAGTGCCTTGAGATGACTCTTGCTGTGATTTGGTGCTATATAAATAAACTTGAAATGAATTGAATTGAATTAAAAAGAGGGATATTTAAACTTTTAAATGGAAAAATGAGAAGGAGGACAAAAATGCATAGGATAAAAATAAAAGGTCATCCCAGGAAAGGCAAAATTGATAGAGATTGCATAAAAATAAGGTAGTGAGGAAGAATTAGCAGGGGTCACACAAAGGTTTCCAAGTTTTGGTCCTCTACCACCTTCCTCATCCATGGAGTCCCACAAGGATCTGTGCTGGAGCCTCTAATCTTCCCCCTCTATCTGCTTCCTCTTCAGCACATCCTGAGCTCCTTCAAAGGAATCTCCTACCATCTTTACGCAGATGACAGCCAACTGTACATCTACTTTAAGCCCCATGAGATGTCTAAGCTGCAGCTGTAACACTCCTGCTTATACTCTATTAAAACCTGGATGGCTGGGAGCTTTCTTCAGCTGAATGAAGGTAAGACTGAGATCCTCATCTGTGCCCCAGACAAGCTGGTTCCCAAAATCAGAGACTCTCTTGGTCAGCTTGCTTCTCACAACATACCTTCTGTCAGGAATCTTGGCATGACCTTTGACCCAGCTCTCACCCTGGATTCTCATGTCAGTTCTCTTGTTCGCTCTTCCTTCTTCCATCTCAGGAACATTGCTAAGCTGAGTCCCATTCTGTCCCGCTCTGAACTTGAGATTGTGATCCACACCTTCATCTCCTCATGCTCATGACTACTGCAACTCTCTTTTCATGTGTCTGAGCACAAACAGACCTTCATTCAGATGTAACGATTTGCTTTTAATTACATTTTTATTTTTTTACAGGATTGGACTGGAATGTATAAACTATTCAAATAATTAAAATTAAAACCAAATACAACAACTGTAACCAGAAACAGAATATAAATGCAGTTTTTACTCTTTGTTCTTTGTGGAAATGAACTTTGTTTGTTTACTTGTAATCTGTCATTTGATTTAAAATAATTTAATTTTTTAAAGACATTTTGTAATGCCACTAAAGTAACACAAGATGGCGACAAATGCACAGAACACGTGTTTTTTCCCCCCATCTAGACGGTTCAACTTAGCATTGCCATTTAACAAACAGCATTTCTAGACACCAAACATCGAGATTTTCAGATTCTTCTTCGTCGTCGTCTTCCTCCACTTATCCGGGTCCGGGTCGCGTGGGCAGCATCCCAACTAGGGAGCTCCAGACCGTCCTCTCCCAGGCTTTCTCCACCAGCTCCTCCAGCAGGACCCCAAGGCATTCCCGGACCAGATTGGAGATGTAACCTCTCCAACGTGTCCTAGGTTGACCCGGGGGCCTCCTGCCGGCAGGACATGCCCGAAACACCTCCCCGGGGAGGCGTCCAGGAGGCATCCTGACCAGATGCCCAAACCACCTCAACTGGCTCCTTTCAATCCGGATGAGCAGCGGTTCTACTCCGAGTCTCTCCCGAATGTCCGAGCTCCTCACCTGATCTCTAAGGCTGAGCCCAGCCACCCTACGGAGGAAACTCATTTTGGCCGCTTGTATCCACAATCTTATTCTTTTGGTCATTACCCAAAGCTCATGACAACAGGTGAGGATTGGGACGTAGATCGACCGGTAAATCAAGAGCCTGGCTTTCTGGCTCAGGTCCCTTTTCGCCACGACAGATCGGCTTAGCATCCGCATCACTGCAGATGCTGAACCAATCCGCTTGTCGATCTCCCGATCCCTCCTACCCTCACTCGTGATCAAGACCACGAGATACTTACACTCCTCCACTTGCGGTAGGACCTCTCCCCCGACCCGGAGTTGGCAAGCCACCCTTTTCCGGTCGAGAACCATGGTCTCAGATGTAGAGGTGCTGATCCTCATCCCAGCCGCTTGTCAGTCAGCCGCGAACCTACCCAGCAAGAGCTGAAGGTCAGAACTGGATGAAGCTAGGAGGACCACATCATCCACAAAAAGCAAAGACGAGATTCTCCTGCCACCAAACTTGACACACTCCACACCACGGCTGCACCTAGAAATTCTGTCTATAAAGGTAATGAACAGAACCGGTGACAAAGGGCAGCCTTGGCGGAGTCCAACCCTCACTGGGAACAGGTCCCACTTACTACCGGCTATTCGGACCAAACTCACGCTCCTCTGGTAAAGGGACTGAATGGCCCTTAACAGAAAGCCACCCACCCCATACTACTGGAGCGAACCCCCACAGGGTGCCCCTGGGGACACGGTCATAAGCCTTCTCCAAATCCACAAAACACATGTGGATTGGTTGGGCAAATTCCCACCTTTGCAAGGGTATAGAGCTGGTCCACAGTTCCACGGCCAGGACGAAACCACATTGCTCCTCCTCAACCTGAGATTCAACTATCGATCGGACCCTCCTCTCCAGTACCTTGGAGTAGACCTTTCCAGGGAGGCTGAGGAGTGTGATCCCCCTATAGTCGGAACACAACCTCAGGTCACCCTTCTTAAAGATGGGGACCACCACCCCGGTCTGCCACTCCACAGGAACTGCCCCCGATGACCACGCAATGTTGCAGAGACGTGTCAACCATGACAGCCCTACAACATCCATTGCCTTGAGATACTCAGGACGAACCTCATCAGCCCCCGGGGCTCCGCCGCTGTGTAGTTGTTTGACTACCTCAACAACTTCTGCCCCCGAGATTAGACAGTCCATCCCCAGGTCTCCCGGCTCTGGTTCCTCCTCGGAATGCACATAGGTGGGATTGAGGAGCTCCTCAAAGTATTCCTTCCACCGTCCAACTATAGCTCCAGTTGACGTCAGCAGCTCCCCATCCCCACTGTAAACAGTGAGAGCGAGTTGCTGCCTTCGTCTCTTGAGGCGCCGGACAGTTTGCCAGAACCTCTTTGGAGCCGATCGATAGTCTTTCTCCATGGCCTCACCAAACTCCTCCCACGCCCGAGATTTTGCCTCGGCAACTGCCACTGCTGCACCCCGCTTGGCTATCCGGTACCTGTCTGCTGCCTCTGGAGACCCACAGACCAGCCACGCCCTGTAGGCCTCCTTCTTCAGCCTGATGGCTCCCCAAACCTCTGGTGTCCACCAGCGGGTACGGGGGTTGCCACCACGACTGGCACCGACCACCTTGCGACCACAGCTAGCAACAGCCGCCTCAACAATCGCAGAGTGGAACAAGGCCCACTCGGAGTCAATGTCCCCCACTGCTCTCGGGAAGCTGTCAAAGCTCTGCCGGAGGTGGGAGTTGAAGACGGTCTTAACAGATTCTTCTGCCAGGCGTTTCCAGCAGACCCTCACTATGCGTTTGGGTCTGCCAGGTCTACGCGACATCTTCCTCTGCCATCTGATCGCACTCACCACCAGGTGGTGATCAGTTGACAGCTCCGCTCCTCTCTTCACTCGGGTGTCCAAAACATACGGCCGCAGGTCAGATGATACGACTACAAAGTCTATCATTGACCTGCGACCTAGGCTGCCCTAGTACCAAGTGTACCGATGGGCATCCTTATGTTCGAACATGGTGTTCGTTATGGCCAAACTGCGGCTTGCACAGAAGTCCAATAACGAAACACCACTCGAGTTCAGATCAGGTGGGCCGTTCCTCCCAATCACACCCCTTCAGGTCAAGCTGTCATTGCCCACGTGAGCATTGAAGTCCCCCAGCAGGACAATGGAGTCCCCTGATGGAGCACTATCTAGCACTCATCCCAGGGACTCCAAAAAGGGTGGGTACTCTGAACTGATACTTGGCCCATAAGCACAAACAACAGTCAGTACCCGTTCCCCGACCCGAAGGCGCAGGGAAGCTACCCTCTCGTCCCCTGGGGTAAACCCCAACACACAGGCAGAGAGTCTTGGGGCTAACAAAAAGCTAACCCCAGCCCTCCGCCTCTCACCCGGAGCAACTCCAGCAAAGGAGAGTGTCCAACCCCTCTCAAGGACTTGGGTTCCAGAGCCAATGCTATATGTCGAGGTGAGTCCGACTATATCTAGCCGGTACCACTCAATCTCTGCCACAAGCTCCTGCTCATTCCCCGCCAGCAAGGTGACGTTCCATATCCCAAAAACCAGTTTTCTTGTCCGGGGATCGGACCGCCATGGCTCCCGCCTTGGTCTGCCACCCGATCCACATTGCATCGGACCCTTCATGTTCCTCCTGCAGGTGGTGGGTCCACAGTTGGATGAGCCCATGTATCCGGTTCGGGCTGGGCCCGGCCGGGCCCCATGGGCGAAAACCCGGCCACCAGGCGCTGGCTCACGGGCCCCAACCCCAGGCCTGGCTCCAGGGTGGGACCCCGGTAACCCTCCGGGCCGGGTACTCCGATTCTTTGAATTTACCTCCATGAAAGATCCTGTGATTTTCAGATTCTTATGTTCTAGAATCCATGCTGCTATAGGCTTGGACTGCTGTAGGACATACTGATCACTTTCCACACTCGACTACTTTCTTCTACAATTTCTCTCTTAATTGTGTTATTTCCTGCTATTTCAGCTGTTAACTTTCTGTAAGTGTTTTTATCCTCAGAATGTGTTTATCCCCAATGGTGTTCTGCTGAGCTGTGGTGGCATCATGGAGGGGGACCATTAGCGGGCACACTGCTGCTATCCACTAGACACTCTCCCTCTCCTGATAATAACATTTTATTTTCTTTGACATGAAATGTGCTACTACTAGTTTACCTGTCAAATTAATTATAGATTCTCTAGGATAAAGACTATAAAGTTTATCTCTTACTAAATAGAATATTTACTAAGAGATCTCAATGTAGCCATAGAAACACTACTTGGCAAAGGTGTGACGAAGTCACTGCTTTGCACATCACAAGTAAGTCACAAGTCTTTCCAGTCAAGTCTCGAGTCAAGTCCAAGTCAAGTTCGAAGTCAATGATGTGGAAGTCCAAGTCAAGTCTAAGTCCTTAACTTTGAATTTTCAAGTTATAATCAAGTCATCTGTCCAACTTCAATTTAATGAAAATGATAACTAGAAAAATTGCATTTATTGCACAAATGCTGTTTGAATGCTGGATAGCTGAAACTGTAAGCTGAAGCTGCTGAACAGCTGAACTGAAGCTGAAATTAAGCAAAACTGTCAAAATGAGCTGAATGTCTTGAAAGATGTAGAAGCAAAAAGCACCAACAAGCAAATAAAGCACAATAAGTAAGTGAAGAATAGAGAAAAATAATGCTAAATAGCAAAAAAAAACTTACATCTGTGAACATTGTATAAAAATCTGGACAGCTTAAATGTCTAAACACCTGTTATTTCAGTTTGCCAAGTTTAACAGTTTAATCTTTACATTTAGCTGAACTGTGAAATTAGCAGTTTATGCTAAATTTGGTAACTGATTACTGAAGTTGTTGAATAGCTGAAGTAAGCTGAAACTAAGCTAAACTGTCAAATGAGCTGAATGTAGTGAAAGATGTGAAAGCAAAAAGCACTAAGAAGCAAAAAAAGCACAAAAAGTAAGTGAAGAATCAAGAAAACTAATCCTAAATAGCAGAAAACTCAAATCTGTGAACACTGTTTTAAAAAATTGGACAGCTAAAATGTCTAAACACCTGTTATTTCAGTAGGACTAGTTTAACAGTTTAATTTTTACATTTAGCTGAACTGTGAAATTAGCATCATATGCTGAATTCAGAAACTAATTGCTGAAGCTGAAACTAAGCAAAACTGTTAAAATGAGCTGAATGTTTTGAAAGATTTAGAAGCAAAAAGCACCAAAATGTAAATAAAGCACAAAAAGTGAAGAACGGAGAAAACAATCCTAAACAGCAGAAAACTGAAATCTGAACATTATTTAAAAATCTGGACAGCAAAAATGTCTAAACACTTGTTGTTTGAGTAGGACTAGTTTAACAGTTTAATTTTTATATTTAGTTGAACTGTGAAATGAGTAGCATAAGCCGAATTCAGAAACGGATTGCTGAAGCTGCTGAATAGCTGAAGTGAAGCTGAAACTAAGCTAAACTGTCAAAATGAGCTGAATGAATTTAAAGATTTAGGAGCAAAAATCACCAACAAGTGTAATAAAGCTCAGAATATAGGTGAAGAATGGATAAAAATGCTAAACAGCAGAAAACTTTAATTTTTGAACATTTATTAAAAACTCAAAATTTGAAATGTTAAACAGCTGGCATTTGAATGAGAAAAGTTTAACGGGTACATTTTTACAATTGGATGAACTGTGAATTTAGAAATATTTGCTGATATCTGAAACTGATAGATTAGCATATGTTTAGATTTGATATGGGATGGATGAATGGTTGGATGAATGAAATAATGGATGGATTGTTGGATGGATGTTAGATGGTTTATTGGATGGATGGATGATTGGATAGAAGCATGTATGGATTTATATGTAGATGGATGGATTCCATAGGCCAAGCCGATCGATTTGATGTCTCACATGCATGAGTGTGTAATTCCATTTAGCCAGAAGATGATTGACCTCTCTCAACCAATCAGGGAGCTGGGAGGGAGCGGGGCACTTTCCCACCTTCTGACGGTCAATCAAATTGAACGTGTTTCTAGTTTTAAGTACAGATAGTTCAACACGATCAAAAACAGGAGTTTGATATTGGCTCAATATTCAGCTTTTTAATATTCATTCCTATGAGACTTGGTTAAAGTGATATGTAGTTCCTTGTGTTGCCATGGTAACAGATAACGCATTTAAAATTGAATACAAGATTACTGAGACCAAGGCAACAGCTCTAACCACTGTGCCCCTGCGAAACCTAAACACATTCAATTTTAGCCATTTAGAATAGAACATTTTAGCCTCCTAGTCTTAAGGAAGCCTAAAAAAATCTTAATGTTTTTAAAAAACATTGTGGGAATTATAATATTATGAAGGACAAGGAGGAGGATTTGAAGGAGATGAACCTGTATTGGTAAAGATAAAAGACTTCCTTAGTAGAAACACTAATTTCTTCCAAACACTGTTTTTTTCCTTAAAAGAATGGGAAATTTGCGCCCTCTGGCGGCCACAAACAGCGGTGAGGAATAAAGAGAAGGTGGGAAAGTGCTGCCCTCCGGTGGCTGTAGGCTGTAAATGCACCTATTTCATTTTAGCCATTTAGAATAGATCGTTTAGAATAGGGCCTCCTTGTCTTAATGAAGCTTTAAAAAAGTCTCAAGAAAATTGAAACTCCACACAGGAATATTCCCAGCCGGGAGGCGAACCCGGGATCTTCTTGATGAGAGGCAACAGCTCAAACTATTGCGCCACCGCATATCTATGCAAGTCGGTTTGACATATTCAGATTAGGAGATGTCACCCCCCCATGTCTAAATGAAGCTTTGAAAAATCTTAATGTTTTTAATAAACATTGTGGGAATTATAATATTATGAAGGACAAGGAGGAGGATTTGAAGGAGATGAACCTGTATTGGTAAAGATAAAAGACTTCCTTAGTAGAAACACTAATTTCTTCCAAACACTGTTTTTTTCCTTAAAAGAATGGGAAATTTGCGCCCTCTGGCGGCCACAAACAGTAGTAAGGAATAAAGAGAAGGTGGGAAAATGCTGCCCTCCGGTGGCTATTTGCTGTAACTGCACCTATTTCAATTTAGTAAGTAAGTAAGTAAAAGTGTCTTTACATAGGGCATTTCACAGATATAAATCACAGAGCACTATACGACTTATAAAACACACAGAAAGATCCCAAGTCAGGAAGCGAACCCAGGACCTTCTTGATGCAAGGCAACAGTTCTAACCACTGCACTGGTTTCATGTGTTTCTGACTGAGACAAATGTTCTTGAAATCTACAGGAGTAAAGACGGACCATGATTTGGAGGAAGGTAGTTGGATGGTGGGGTAGGAAGTAGATGGGGGTGAAAAACTAGGAAACTTTTCACTGATTGGCTTAATGAACTGACCTGTATTGGAATGTTTACTGTGTGAAGTGCTTTAAGACGACCCTTATTGTGATTTGGCGCTATATAAAGAAACTGAGTTGAATTGAGTTGAACTAAAACAACAAAAACAAAACATCTTCAGCATCTTCATTTCTCACTCTTCCTTTGCTTTATTGGCTTAACTTTCTAATGGCATCAAGCCACTTTTACAAACCATCATGGACACAACAAAATAAATGATTTCATACACTTGCTCATCAATGTCAAGACAAATTTTACAACATACGCATTCTTAAGAAATGTGAGGCTCTTAATCGGACTTGTTTGGCTCATTTTACAAAGGCACTTCTCTTAAGACAAAACACATGCAGATAAGTGAACAGACTATGCCGGTTACTTTCCTCCATTTATCTGCCTTTTTCTTGTTGTTGAAAGAAATATTTTAGCAGTTTTGTGACCAATTTTAAATCCTATGCAACAGTAACGTAAAGTGCCAACACCGCTTACATAGCAACGCAGTGAAAGTCTTAATACCATCATCATCATCATCATCATCATCATCATCATCATCATCATCATCATCATCATCATAATAATAATTATTATTATGTTGTTGTTGTTATTGTAGAATTACATTAATTTTGCAATGACCCAAATAATTATTTCTTTCTAAAACATTATTGTTACTGAAGCTAATCAGCTGAATTGAAATTATCAAAGATTGCTCTACGTTTCAACAAAAAGCGCTTTGAAAGACAAGTTCATCAAGTGATCATAAATATTCCACCAGACCTGACAGAACCCTGAATTTAAGCATGGGAGTCCACGTGCTGCACTGTGGCTCCACAAAGAGCACAAGTTATTAAAACCAGTTTCAGCAGCTGAGTGTTTTAGCTTGGGACATATTTTCTGCTGTCTCCTTGAAATGGAAATTCCGGCGCTCGATTGAAATGTCCTGTCAGGAAGATCCCCACCGAGCCAACAATGAAGAGAAGGATTGCAGCCCAGAAACACACCTTGTCGATCATTTTTCCAATCAATACCCAGCTTTCTATTTCCTGTAGGAGAAAAGGAATTTGGAGGGTTTAAGATCTCAAATAAGCACCTCAGTTGGAGAATGACAAAGTCAATCACAGATGATACTTGTTAAAGGAATCACTCACAGATCCTGTGTCGTTTTGTTGTCTTGTGCTCTCAGCAATAAAGTTGCAGGCGTCCACACACTGTTTGATTTCAGGTGCAGCCTGAGCCAGACTTTTATAAAGGTTAGCTGTGCTGCTGACATCTATGTTGTTTACTGCAGGAGTAGGAAGCACAACCAGTACAGACGGTCAGACAGTAAGAAGCATTAATCAAAAGGGCCAGTGCAGGTGTGTTGAGTCAACATGATAAAAGACAGAAAACGTGCCTTTGAATTCGATATAAACAAGATGTATTTGTAATGTTGTAGCTGAATTTGTATGAAGTAAGAATTCTACAGTGAAATAATAACAAAACTGCCTAATGTCTCAGTCATGTTGGGAGGAAGCTTACGGTACTGTACACATACATGCTGCTGTAATACTGGAGCATCCCACTAGGGGGCACAGTACACAACTCAGAGCAGATAGAGTGCTGGATTTGTAGCATAAAAACAATCTTGGTGACAATATTTTTCTAATCTCGTTTGTTATGTGCCATGGATTTCACATATGATGTCCATGCATTTTAAAGACACATTTTGATGTCAAGAAAATGCTTATTTTCAAAGGGGGCAAAAGTTATTTTAGGTTTTGTGTGAAAACACTTTACTAGAAATGTTTGTCTTACTAAATTGATGTCATTAAACCAAACATGGAGAAGAGAAGTTTAGTTTAGTGAGCTCTTGTAGCCTCATTCACTTGCAACCCTTTTTTCGTACTTCCAGGGGCCTACAGTCCATAAGTAGGTATCTGGACCAGTATCAATAATGTAGATGACACAAAAGACCTCGTGAATGGTCTTTCTCTCATTTTGTCAATGAGACACACTCCCCCTACTGCTGACTTGCATATTGCAGCTTGAGAACACATTGTGTGAATTTCAGAGCATGTGCACACGCTAAATATGCTAACTGTGAATTAGAAATAAATGGTCGGCTCTAAAAATATCTCAAGCTACTTTTTAAATTACTGTCTTCACTCATCATCTAAAATCTTCTGGTGCCGATCCTGTCATGTTCTGAGCCCCCTCCTGTTCTTCCTCAGGTTCTCCTCTTGTGCATTCTTGTGTTCCCCAGCTCTCTTTAGGCTTCCCTCTTGTCTCCTCCTAGCCACTCCCTTATAGTTCGGGGTTTGTATTAGTCCTCCTCACCCCGCTAGTTATTAGTTGCTTATCTTTTTGCCCTTAGTCTTCAAGTTCAGTTATTTAGCGCTTTTGAGATTATGGTTCATCTTCCCCCTGCTTTAGTTCTTCCCCCCATTTTGTTATACTAATGGCACCTGTCTTCCCTCCAGACCTCACTCCTCACACCTGTCACATGTTCCCCTGATTGCCTCTCTCTTTGTTAAAAGCCCTGTCTTGTCCCTCAGTGTCGGTTGGTTCATTGTTGTATGTGTCTGCATTGCCCGTTCCCCTCTCGAGTTTTCCAGAGTGTGTGCTCATGTGTGGGCTTTTGTTTGTTTTTGAGTTTTGAGTGAGGTTTTGAGAGTTAGTCTTATTTGTGCTGTGGATTTTGGCACATCCTCCTTTAATAAAGGAATTATTTTCTTTAAACCTCTCCTGCCTTGAGTCATTCTGGGAATTTCTGCATCTTGGGTCCAAAAGTCCAACCTCCTACACTCAACGTGACAGATCCATCACTGGCAAATCAGATCAGAGTTTTTTGTTTTGAAACATGGACTCAGGGGCACAGCTACCTAATTTTGGAGGGGTGTGCAGACACATAATCCCCCCCCCCCCCCCCCAAAGAAAACCCCGCCTGTCTAAAGTGTATTTGAAATATCCAGTTTTTATACCCAACCACAAGGTGTGGTATAAGACATGAATGGGCAGACATGAAAGAGATCAGAGGTGAAAAGGACGATAAATCTTGAACTACTCTAGGAGGGTTCGGGGGCATGCCCCCTCAGAAGAAAAGTATGGATTATTTATATTTAAAAGGATCAGTCTCGGTTATTAATTAAATAATTTGCAGATACACAAACAGACAAAAACACAACTGTTATTAAACACAGGAAATGCAGACTAAAATATGTTTGCATTAATGCTATGGCGCCCCCTCCAGCCTGGCACCCCTATGAGTTGCATACAGTGCATTCCCACTTTTTGCGCCACTGCATGGACTGCAGTACCCAAAATGACCACAGGATGTAATTCTTACTTCATGTACCTTTAACCCTCCCACTGTCCTAATGGGTGTGGCCCCGTGAGGAAAGTTGACCATTGAGCAGGATTGATGGTTTATCCCTTAGGTCCACGTGGCAGGGGTGAGGAGTGAGCACCACCTCACCCCTGCCCATGGACGTAATTTGAGGGGGGGGACAGGGGGGACATGTCCCCCCCACTTTTTCCAAAGTCAAGTTTTGACGCCATCTAAAAACAATATTACGCTATATTAAATTGACACTGGTTGAGCTCTAGCACCAAGCAGAAAACAACCATTTGTCTTGAAGCCTGTTTCCCATTAGAACATACTGTAAAGATCCCCCCCCCCCCCCATGTCCCCCCCACTTCTAAAGTGAAAATTACGTCCATGCCCCTGCCACATGGACTTCAAGGGATAAACCATCAATCCTGCTCAATGGTCAACTTTCTTCGCGGGGTCACCCACAAAGACCGTGGGAGGGTTGAGAATTTTCCTTACTGGAGTTTATGGTAGATTCTGATATCAGCCTCACCGAATGATTGTGTGAGTCCGTGTCTCTCTCTTTGTTTATCGAACAGCATTTCACTGCGAGGTTGTTTTAGCACGTACTCCTCTGCCCTCTGCATGAGGCCAAACGAGCTGCGTCGCCTCTCCCTCACTCCGTTCACCTCTGCGGTCACCTCGCTGTCATCCACCAGCGGGGACATGCCCAAGAAGCGAGGCACCAGTTCTAAGAACAGCTGCAGGCGATAGATGGGAAGACCCTGATTGGTTCACAGTAAAGTAACCACAGAGCTTTGTGTTTAGTCTGAACTTCATTATGCTTACATGCTTAATGCTGTGGGACATAATGTGAGTGCTGGGGCTGCGCAACGAGAAGTTCAACACCACAATTTGATTGGTAGCAATGAGAGTAGTGACACACATGACAAAGATCAGGTACCTGAGGAGGACATCAGAGAAGATCTGGGTCAGACACTTCAGATTAATGACACAGCAAGCGAGGACAGAATGCATGACTCACTTGCCAATGAGAGGGACAGAGAGAGAAGTCTCTGGGACTTTCTGAGCAATAAGAAAGAGGAAGACGGTCTGAGCCAGCAGGACAGAGATGGACACAGTCAACTTTTGTCCTCCAGCTGTAAGGGGACAGTAAAGACGTAGCAGACACTGAACCTCATCAAATTAAACTACATATTGTGTGCTTATGCACAAGAATGCAATTGCACAGAAAGGCTTAAGCAGTTTCTGATTAAATATCATCCTAACACTTTACGTAAGGGTTCCTTTATTAATGCCACTTAGTGAGTTATTAAACATTAATAAACTATTAAAATTATCAACAACTGCTTAACCATATTATGTAATGCATTACTGAGTTGGCCCAATGTGCTAACTTTAAGGACACTTAATAGTAAACGATAATGATAACGTTAAATAAAGGTACCCTTTGTTTATTAAGGCTTAACAATTCACTGAGTAACATTAATAAAGGGAGCCATATCGTAAAGTGTTACCTAAATCCGTTTATTTAGCAAATTTCTCATTATTTAGCTGATTTTAATAATTATTTATTCATTTATTTGCTTCTTTTTAAAGAAACTAAAAACATGTTTGTTTTTGGGAGAAAGTTTTGTAAGACCCTAATACTTTTTTGAAAACTTGACAAACACCTAAAACGCTAAATATGCATTCATTTGGTTCTGGTTTTAGCTCTGCTGCTAACTGTTTCTACTGACCCTGTGCTGGCAGGAAGTAGGCCAGTACGACTAGCGAGGAGATGAGCGAGCAGGGCAGGATTACGTTGATAATGTAAAACAGTGGCTTCCTTTGGATGACCAGATTGAACACAATCTCCTGATACTCCAGGTCATCGGGGGTGTACCGTTTGTTGATCATCTTCCTGGCTGGGCGATGGACGATGGCCCACTCACCGTTCTCTGTCAAAGGCAAACATACCTAAATCATGAGCATTGAACATTTGAGTTTTGACTGTGTGTGTTGTGTGTACCTGTGAAAGCAGCGGGGTCAATGTGCACCCACTCTATAGGTACCTCATCTTCAACACCCAGGATCAGGTCCAGTTCATTGGCACTGTAGGTCTGCGACCTGAGAGTTTGGTACCATCGATTAAACAAAGAAACAGAAACAAGCTAATGGCTGTGTGTTTAGGGTACAGAAAGCACACCGCACCTGAACACTAATGTACAGTTTTGATAATCAAAGGGGAAATAGGTGATCTCTATGGCACAGGTGCTTCGATAGATAGCAGGAGGTAGCCAGTACATCCAGCCATCACTGCTGATCAGCACGTTGGCATAGTAAGCCACATCAAACTTCCCATCAATACTGCAGAAAACACAGAAATTTCAAAAGTTAACACCAAACGATAAGTTAGCGCTCCACGTATCTTTGTAAAGATCTTACTTGTTCTCCAGGACGATGTCAGGAAGCCAAACAGTGTTATACGGGACACGGATCACTTTAATGCCATAATATTTACTAGAGTTCCAGGTAAGTCGATGGTCACTCCATTGCTGTGGGTGGCATTTGAAATCTGACTTTAAACTCTAGATTTGGTCAAGGCCAAGCTCCAACACTTAAAACCTCTGCCTGAAAGCTGTTCATCAATTAAAACCACCCACGAGTCGAGAGAAAACTCACAATCTCAATCCACACGTTGGTCGTGAGGGTCTCCTCCTTTTCATTCTGCAATGTAGAAAGGGGTGTGTCTGAAATGTAGGCCAGGGGGATCTTAAACTTAAGGAATCATTTCTGTTTTCAGCATGAACTGTTGCACACACTTTTTACAACTCATTGCTTTTATTCGAAGTGAAAAGATCATAAGCTGCAGCTCTCACCAGTGAGATCAGGTTTGTGAGAGTCAGCTTGATCTGAACCTGCACTTTTTCATCAGGATGAGCCACTGGACGAATGTTCTTGTTGTAGCCTCTGAACAAGTCTCTGATCAGCTCTGATTCCTCGTTACAGACCACTACAGAGAAGAAAATCCCAAGCAGGAGAAGTGTTTGTGAAATCACATCTCCTGAGATTATGAAGTCAATAGATTGAAGGCATTATCAATAACGTACATGTGTGTCACTGGGTAGGACATATGTCTCTCTCTCTCTCTCTCTCTCTCTCTCTCTCTCTCTCTCTCTCTCTCTCTCTCTCACACACACACACACACACACACACACACACACACACACACACACACACACACACACACACAACAAAGCTTAGCTCACGTTACAAAGCAGCTCAGGAACTCTAAACAATAATCAGCGATGTTAGTGTTGGGCAAAAATGGTGACAGCAGCACACTCCACATGTCATCCAGCAGGAGCTGTCCATTCCTGGCTTTAGCTGCTTCAGTCATGAACAATATGCAGCTCACCCGCGGGACACTTTTGCATAGCTGTAGCAGAGCAATGATAAGAGTGACACACAGCTGAGGTGTTTGTCAAATTTTAATTGCGAAGCATCATGCAGGACATAACCAAATCAAACTATCTTTAAGATAAATAATTTAAAAACAATCTTATCTGTACATTTTTATAGATTTAAAGGCACATTTATATCTTTTGAAGTGGGATTCTGTGGAATGGTCATTAAGAGTGATCATTTTACCTGTTGAAGATCAGATCATTTTACCTGTTGAAGATCACTCTGAATGAAGAAACTGAGGTTAGCTCTGATAGGACAGACAAGCTAGCAGCTAACCACAATGGCACTACATATACAATCTGTTAAACAAATCAAAGCCATGCAGGTTTTGCAAATGTTTTTATAAAACATTTCAAACAAAATTTGCTTGTGCTGCAACTGATATTACCAAAGTTTTAAGATGGCTTTCCACTGGACGTGTAAGCGGTGCATAACATAATAGACGTATTTTACCTGCAAGCTTCCTTCCAACCAGAAGTGTTTCAGATACAAAATGACAGATTGAGCTGGTTCTGCGAGGTCACAAAATGACCAGATAATTGCAGGACCACGTGTGATTTCACCAGTTCCCGTGATAACAAGCAAGAAAAAAGATGTATCCAAAAAGGTCTGTGGTTTATATTCTGTTCTTTTTACCTCAGTTATGGAGATTTCACAGATAATTACATCCTTTTTCTCACTAGTTAAGCAACTGGAAGTTTGCATGTGACTTTATTTTGAAAGTTCCAGATTTTTTTTACACTGCTTCCATGTTTGGCTGCCTGTCTGGCCTGTTTAGACTGTATTAAAACCTGGATGGCTGAGAACTTTCTACAGCTGAATGAAGATAAGACTGAGATCCTCATCTGTGCCCCAGACAAGCTGGTTCCCAAAGTCAGAGACTCTCTTGGTCAGCTTGCTTCTCACACCAAACCTTCTGTCAGGAATCTTGGCGTGACCTGTGACCCAGCCCTGGATTCCCATGGCAGTTTTCTTGATCACTCTTCCTTCTTCCAACTCAGGAACGTTGTTAAGCTGAGTCCCATTCTGTCCCGCTCTGAACTTGAGATTGTTATCCACACCTTCATCTCCTCACAACACATTCTCACACCCGAAGCGGCTGAAGCTGACGAAGGGTAACCAAGCGTTTGTTTGTTGGGAGCCCCAATGTGTCGGGAGGAAACGCGCTGTGCCAGAGTGCCGCCTTCCGACGCCCGCGGTAAAACGGAGATTTTAACGAATTGTGACCTTTACCCTTTTGCAATTTAATATTCCCCTCACCCCCATCCTAACCTTAACCCACTTGCGCATGAAAACTTTGTTCCTCGTTGTATCGTTCCTCTCAAACACGGTTAACGGGAAATTTAGAAAGAGAAACTGTGTTAAGGTTAGGTTATCAGTTTTAATTTTTTTGTCATTTTAAACATATTTTTAATGATTTTTTACAATCTTTTTTATATTTTAAATTTGTTTGTTTTTGTGAAGCACCTCGTGATTTTTATCTTGAGAGGCGCTATAAAAAAGATCTTTTTCTTTCTTTCTCTTTATCTAAACTGCTGAGCTTGACGTGTTTAGGACCTCGGCATGTAAAAAACGTGCTGTAGTTAAAAATAGATTTGAAGTTTAGCTGTTTAGTGGAGCGACCGTCCCTAGGCTCCTGGGACGCTTCGCGGCTGGCGGTAACATAGACAATAACATCATGCAACGCTTATGCATGTGAGGGTAAGGTCCGGAAATTGTCAGCTTATCTATATAGTAAGAACTAATCTCTGTTTTTCAGTACTGAGGTAGTTCTACGGGAAATTCATCATGCATAACTTTGTTTTCAGGATCTAACTGAAAAAAACATGACTCCATCATTAAAATAAGATGATTTCAGAATAAAATTCTGGCATGAAAACACGCTATTGAAACAAATTTACTGATATTTATTTAGACTGACTTTCTTTCATTGTACTTTCTTGACCTCTAATTACAGTTCAGTCAGATAGAGGCTGCAGGTGATCACTGATGATAAATGGCCCGCATGTGTATAGCTTCTTGGGGTTCTACGACACCCCCCCCCCCTCCCCCCAGGCTCTTCATAGCACAATCAGTCATTCAGCCATTAACACACACATTCACACAATGGTGATGATGAGCTGCGATGTAGCCACAGCCACTCTGGGGCGCACTGACAGAGGCAAGGCCTGCTGAATACTGGCGCCACCGGTCCCTCCGACCACCACCTCTCTGGTCAGAGTCGGGATTGGACCTGCAACCTTCCAATTACTGGACAACCCGCTCTACCTCCTGAGCTACTGCTGTCCTGATAGGTAAAATGGCTCTATGTAAATCAGACCCATGACAGATTAAGTCTACTTTCTGGTGGTCTGGTATCTGTGACCCTTTGATGACATGAAGGCAGGGAGCACAATGTGTCAGAGCAACACGACCCTGCAGCTGGACGTTATCAACATAGTGTAAAGGTCACTCTGCTGTGTGTCACTGTCCCAGACACGTCACGGCAAAACCTTTTTTTTTTTTGGTTTAAAGGAATCGGATGTGACTTCACAATGGGAAGCAAGAAGAGAGGACAGAATATCTGCTTTACCTGTTTTTTACTGATCATAGAATCTCAAAGCAGACAACGGTGTTAAAGTAGTCTTGTTCTGAGTTTGAATATCTCTTATTAATGCAAGGTTATTAAACATTAAAAGTGAAATCCAGACTTTGCATGAGCTGTTTTGTGCACACTGGTCTCCTGCTAAAAGCAATATCCACCTATTAGGTAAACTCTCACGAAGCATTTTCACCCTCTGAAATATCTTTCTAATTCACATCCTGTCTAGGGTTTCAGTTTGGCCTCCACAGCAGATTTCTGCAGCAATCAGAGCACGTATGAAATTGATTTACAAAGTCCAGCGCAGCTGATCACATGACATGACGCATAGCTATGCAAACTAACCGCAACCCTCCCACTGTCCTATGGGTGACCCCGTGAGGAAAGTTGGCCATTGAGCAGGATTGATGGTTTGTCCCTTGGGTCCATGTGGCAGGGGTGAGGAGTGAGCACCACCCTGGGTAAAGGGCTATCTATGTGTAACGCATTTAACTTAACTTTACTTTGTTCTTGTGTGAGTGCAAATGGTGATGACCTTGTCATATCAACACGCTGTAACATATTTCAATCACTGTAATCATAACATAACATTCATTTCAAACTTCAAACACTCAAGCACAGATTAATGAAAGCATTTCATTATATTATAATTATTATAAGTAGCAATAAACAAACGTTTATTTAATGATTATTTAACTTATAAGTTTTAAAAGTTCATATTTAATTTAAGAAATCATTCTTTGATTTAGCAACTAATCCGAGCTGCAAATGTTCACTTATTCAGTGGCATGAAGAATCCTGTAGGACGATACGGGAAGCTTGGACCTTGGGGAGAGAACATCATTGTTGACAATACGTTATCATGTGTTCAGAGCTGCAGAGAGGCTCTGAGCTCCAGCTGATGGGATGAAGGCAGGCAGACAAAAGGGAACACATGCAGTCTCGTGTCTCCTTTTTGACCAGATGTTGAATGGTCAAACAGTACCTAAAAACTGACCATTGCTGGACATCACAATGCAAACCAATTTATTTTCACACCCAGAACCCAGTTCTTCTAGATACGAGGTTCTGATAAACACAAACCATTCAATCACCATACATCACATCCCATCCACTTAGATTCATCCACCACAGTCGTCTTAGTCAACTTGTCATGTTTTTAATTGTTTAAAAAATAAATTCTTACTTTTTATAAACCTGACTCTGTCTGAATTGATACGTGGGTTTCATCCCTGAAAAAGCAAAGAATCCTAGAATCTTCTGATTAAACATTCAAAGACCAATAAGGTTGATATTCTATATTTATATAGAATATTACAGCTTGTTGGTTATAAGTAAAGGTAATATATTAAGTTTAAAAGCAACAATATTTAACCCTACAACTGAAATCCTAGCTGTTGCCTGTACATGTCCTGTATTTTAGTTGATGGGTCTAAGAAGCAAATACATATTTAAAAATACAAAAACTGTTTCCTACAACAAAATGTAATAAAGAAAGCATGAAAATTCAAGGAGGTTATCTTAAATCTGCCTTTCTGTCTTATGAGGAAAATTCTCTACATAAAGTGAAGAATATTAAATCACATTTCTAACATGTAGGTTGTTCATTTTCGGCCATCATGGTGTCAGATTTAGAGTTTTTCATCTTTGGTTTGATCTTCTGTCTTCACACAACAGCAGAAAGCCATCAAGAATGTTAGTTTGCCACCAACACGGCAACGACCACACCACTCACCTGGCATGCTTAAGGTCCCGAGAATAATCCCAACTCCAAGAAAAAAACCCAAACTGTGCACAGCCATGGTGCTGTGAGACGGCTCTAATCCATTCCACTGCAGTGTGTTTAAATATAAAGTGTGAGGGAGAGAAAGACGGTGAGAGTAAAGACCGAGGGGAAGAGCCTTAAATCCCCCCTATCAAACACCCTGACTGTTGTCCAGCCCTGCTGTCGCTGTCCCTGGCTCAGATTACACAGCAGCTGGAGGCCCTAAACCAGGACCTCAAGTCACGCTCCAGCCATCGGCAAAAATCATCATAAAGACCATTAGACCACGGCGACAAGGCTGGACGCAAGCGCCAGTTCAGACTGGGGGACTGGGAGAGTCGAATTGTTTAACTTCGGTGATTGTGGAACTTTTGCAGTTTAGAATCTGTGTGTTCGTACCTGTGTGTGTGTGTGTGTGGGGGGGGGGGGGGGGGGGGGGGGGGGGGTTTACTAAGTAAATTTTAAAAAATTCCCTTAAACCTCCTGGGAGCAGAGAGGAGAACAGGTGTCTTTGTGTGTGGGCCTGCTTCCCCCTCTGCCATGTGTTTGGGGTATTAGTGGGCGTACTACAGACTAAGTGATTGCTCATAAATCTACTAAAACATCAATATTCTGATCTGCATCAAGAGAAGTCAGCTTACTGGCTGAGATTGCTTTTATTGTTGGCGCTCTGAGCAGCGTGAGTCGTGTCGTTCTGCAGAGGGAAGGGCAACAGTCCGGATTCTGGAATGTGCCATGTGAGTTGCTCAGTATGTGATGCACTTCTAAATATACAGTTAGGAAAACAGAGATGAGCTCCTTTAAGGTAACTGGAGCTGGAAGATTGCAGATTGTGTGTCTCCCTCGCAGCTCATGGACACATGAAGGGACAGAAGGTGAGTTCTGTCCAGACGACTCAAAAACAGAAAAACTAAGAAGGCACACCGGGAGAGTTCTGAACCTAAAGTTCATCATTCTGTCCTTCAATCCCCTTTTTAAAAGTTGTTATTTTTCTCCAGGAGTCTGACGAACGTGCAGACTGGTCAAACAAAATGTCAGATGGATGTAAGAGACTTTTGATAGAAACGTTTTTATAACACACTTCACAAACAACAAAGGTGACCAAAATGCTGCAATGTCAAACTTAAATAATAAATGTGAATAAAAGCAGAATAAAGTTTAAAAAAAGCACATTTAAATATGTTAAAAATAGAAAAATAAAATAAGACAAGACATATCAAAATTTCAACAAACCTTGTCTCATTTCAAGTCATTGTGGAGTGAAAACATGTCGATGATGAACTGTTTTGCTTTTATTCCTGTTCCCTTTCCTCGTTTACATATTTTGCTTTTTTTTCTCAACTGACTGAGCTGATTTTCACCCAAATAAGATTGTTTTTTTTAAACTTTTTAAATTCTTAATCAGCTTGAAAATGCAGGCCTATGCTCTGAAGACGGTTCTTGAATTTTGTTTTGTTCATTTATCAGAATATTTTTCAGTTTCTTTCTCAAACCCTTCTTGTACTTCCTTGTTCAGTCCCAGATTCTGATGTTTTTACTAAACCATTTAAACAAACCTGTAGTCTGCGAACCAACTCCATTCTCACTCTTGTTTAATCATCTGAATGACTTTTCCCTTCACCTTCGCTCACTAACCGCTGCCGACGAGACGATCCGATGCTTGCACAGGACAAAAGCACCCCCACCCCCGCCCACCCAATCCTTTAATGAATGACCCCGCTTTCCCTTTTTTCCGCTCTGTTTGCAAGAAGATCCCATTTTCAATCCCTCTTTATGAGCACACCTGGTTTAGGCTGAGTGTGGAGTTCAATGTCTGCCTGCCTCGCCCCCTTTAGCACAAACATAGGAGGTGAAGATCAGTGAACGCCTCTTATGAAGCACATTAATCAGTTTTTTTTACATGCTTCAGGCTTGAAGTTAATAAAATAGTTACAGATATAAAATATCTGCATCAGTTTCACAAAGACAAATCAACCTGACATGAACTTCTTATTTCCCTTTCTTTTAGCAGTAACAAACAGATCTGAGGCCATCAGAAGAAGATTTTGTTGGCTGATAAATCAGTGACTTCATAAACCAGCCTTTGTGCTGCTTTGTATGCTTTATGTGAATGAGAGGAGGGGAGAAAAGGGAGGAGGGAGGGTGGTAGTGGGAGGAACAAGTGGCCGTTCAAGCTGACCAGGAGTATCGTGCATTTAGAGAAAACGAATCTGGAAGAGGAAGGTTACTGAGGGGCATGCTGAGTTGGCTCTGCTTTATCAGCCACGGGCCCTCGGCTGATCTCTGGACCCACAGGTTAAACAGGCAGCAAAGAGACGAGCAGCTTCACAATCAGAGGCTAAAGGCAGGAGCGTAAGAATGTGTAAACAGCTGCCTACAACTTAGAAACAACTGGGCTTAAGATTCAGACATCCAATGGCAGTCAGGACTTTTAATTTGAGGTTTCGGGGTGGAGTATGACCGATTTAAAGGGACGGGGAGGGTCAGAGCTAGGAGTCTGCTAGAAAGGAGCTGTGGTGACAGTCGGTGCAAGGGGACAAGCACTCATGTGAAGCTCAGAGGACTTCACGAAGAAAGAAACAGAGAAACAAGATAGGGTGAGTGGCAGGCCCCAGACTGGACGTCATTATGGGTGTAAAGAAGAAGGCAGCTGCTGCTATCTTGGTCCTGCTGCTGTTCCTCGGCTCGCTGTGGGTCTGTGAGTACATTTGTCCATCTGGGCTTCCAGGATTCAACCATTAACCTGTTTAATCACATGTTGGATCTGGTCTGTTCATTATTTCTGTTTTAATAATACAAACTGTTCATGCTGGACACTCGGATTTAATTAGATGGACATATTCTAGTGTAAAATCTACAGGAAATGCATTTTTCTGTTCAAAAGATGGATGCATTAAAAATGAATGGAAAAATAAAACTGAAAGGATCTTAAAATAGGTTATGTGTGGAAAAACAAAGGTCCAAAGTAATACCCCAGAAATGTTGAAACTGAGACCATGTGATCTTTTTTTTTGTTTGGATTAAGCTCTGATCCTGTTTTCAGATGGAAGCTCTGCATTCCACCTCTGCACCAAGCTTAAACTTTAGAATCAAATCAAATAAAAATATTTAAATATAAAAGTAAATATACACACACCTTCACTTCTAAACTTATTTTATAGTAATCAAATAGTTTGTTTTTTACCTGGAACGTCTCGAGGTCAAGTATTGACTCCGGCTACACGCTGAGCTTGTGTGTTCTGGTTGTGCCATTTTAAGATCACAGAGTTTGTTTTTGCACGAGCTTAAAACTCTAAAAGCTACGAGAGTGTATTTTAAAGTATCGTCAGAGAAGGTTCCTTTTTATAAAAACTACTATTAAGCTGAACTTATTGGGGGGGTTAAGCAGGAATTCAAAGGAAAAACCCAAAAGCAGAGCTGCTGTGGTGTCCCAATGACCACAGCTGTGCAGAAGCCAAAATCACCAAAACGTGGAAATCAATCTGCTGTTCGGACATATTATTCAGACTACTGACCGCTCATCGTAGAATGATATTTCTAACAATTCAAATATTTCTTAACATTTTCTCAAGTTGTGACTGAGATGGATCCTCCTGTGATGCAGGGTTCTGATACATTCACAGAGCTGGAGGAATTATGGGATTTTTGTGAAAACCATCCTTACTGATCTGTACAGACATATTTGTCCTCATAGACTACAAATCCAATCTATAATAACTTGTTTTCATCCAAGAATGTTGTTAGATGCGTCCAATAATGACCTTTTTGACACCACTGAACGCAAACTATGGTTTTTTTCTGTTTTTCAGTCAATTCACAGCAAAATTAGCTAAATTCAAACCTCCTATTATTTTATAAGTAGTTGGTTTCATTCATTTATACAACTTTGTGTAACTCTTAGTCCATCAAAGTTATTTATTTTTGTTTCTTATTATTTATGATGCTCTGACCCAGCTGATGTGGCTTCTCATTCATATTAAAGAAGAATGTTTTGGCTTAAACAAAGTAGAGTAAAAGTTAAACCATTTCATTGGATGTTGGTTTGCCTGAGCCCGCCTCCTGATCGTGACGTCCAATCCACAGAGGGGTGGAGTCCTTTTTCATCAGCTTGATGTAGAACCAGAGATCAGGAGAGCTGCGCTGTAATTCCTCTGATGATCAATAAAAAAATGAAGCGATCAAATCCAGATGAAAATTCCTGAACTTAAATATAGAATAAATGTTTATTTGTTGTTTTTCATTTGAGTCACTATCAGTTACCATTACTACAACATGCCTTTCTCTGTCTTTACAAACATAATTCCAGTTTATTTATTAGATTTTGTTGTTTGTTTTAGAAATATTCTACATGTTTTCTGAATATTCGTTTTTTCTTTCATTTGTCCTTAAAAAGTATAGGATGCTCTTCCACAAGTAACCTAACCCTGAGCCCTGTCAGGTTAGATGGAATTACACTGCAAAAATAACATTTAATTTGCTTTGAAACTGAAGTTACGCTTTGTCTCCACACGGTGGATCTTAACTTAAAGAGTAAAACAAAACAGGTCTTTAAACAGAAGTATTGAGATGCAGTCCAGGTCCTGATTTTCCTGTTTCCTGTCTGACTGCAGATGGAGGTCTAGATTCCCACTGGGATTCCTGTTTGAAAGGTTACAATCAGGTTAATAGGGTAAGAGCACAAACAGAAATTAGTCCAGAGTTTGCATCAGGTTTCGTCTTTCCTTTTGTTCTGTTGATTCTCCATGTGATCACCTATGTCCCACCCTGTCTTTTAGATCCCCCAGCTGTCCAACAGCAGCAGGTCAGATGTGTCGAAGCGCCCCCACGTCCTCTCAATTTGTCCTGGTCAGAACTTCCAGGTGTCGGTGCTGATCTCCCACCTGCTGGCTGCTCCAGCGTACACGTCCGATGTGCTGGTGCAGCCGTATCTGTCCAGCTGGGATGAACTTGTGAAGTAAGATCCTGAGCTGAGGAGCACAGAGGAGCTCTTGTTCACAACCATCAGACCCCTCTAGGGTGCTGATGACTTTTCTGTATGTTCCAGGTTCATGGATTCTCTGGGTCCAATGGTGAGTCTGATATCAAAAGAGATAGAAACCAAGACCTCAGTTATTCGTCAGCTGGCCCTGCTGTCAGAGAAGAGCCCTGAGGATGAGCTCGGACAAGACATGAGCTCATTAAACACACAAAATGATGACTTAAAGGCGCACCAGCACACAGATGCCTACCACTCTGTGCGCTCCATGATTTCATCAGAATTGGATCGAGGCCTGGTTGATTTCCACCAGCAGACGGACTCCGGATGCCGAACACTTCTGCGGCTGCATCGGGCTCTACTGTGGCTGAAGCTTTTCCTGCAGAACCTAGCCAAGGTCCCGGCGACCGGCCGCCCCCGGAGCCCATCGGAGCTGTGCCGAGAGGCCTACCAGAGCACCCTGGCACAACACCACACCTGGTTTGTCCGCAGGGCTGCCGAGCTAGCCTTCATCGCCATGCCAGAGCGGGGATTCTTCTTCAGGTTGCTGTGTGTGCAGAACCAGGAGGGGATGAGTGTGGTGCTGAACAAAGCAGTGGATGCCATTGGGGAGGTTTATGATCGGACACAGAAAGCTCTGGAGGAAAAAGGCATGCTGGACTTGCCTTAGAAATCCTGCATTTATCCATCTGCTGCTGCTAGTGTAACTTATTCTGTTTTATGATCTTGTAATCAGATCATCAAGGTTCAAACACAAAGTCTGAATCTCGCTCTCAAAAAAAAAAAAAAAAGATGTGAAATATAAATATTCCAAACGTCGACCAACCGGGTTCCTTTTCTCCTTAACGGAGATGTGATTTAAGGCTGCTGGCCAAAAAATAAGCTGTGAATACTGAAACACGGGAACAAAAACATAAAATTACCCACTTCTAAACACGTCACGCGATTTTTTTTGTCGTTGAATCTCCACCAAAAAATTGTTTCTTTTTGTGATTCTGCTTTTATATTTTTCTAAAATGAAAATGATTGCTTGATTAGAGTAGATTCTTGATTCTACCTCAGTTCTGATACTTTAGCCTCTAAAAGGCAGCAGGACCAATCACAGGACATTACACAAATGAGGTGGGGTCTCATTTATCAAACATTGCGTAGAATCCTTACTAAAACCATACTTAAGCTCAGTAAAAAAAACAGTACTTATGCCAAGCAGGTTTGTGATCTATCAAACATGGAGTACGCACAGCTGCACGCAATCTCTGCTTTATAAATCAGAGACTAACGAGAATATTTCTCAGCTGCATTTTAGTCACACCCCGCCTTCACCACGCCCACTTACTGCCATAAATAGTCAAGGCAAAGTGCCTTGTGGATCGCATGCATATACATAAGCCAGCTGTTGCAGCGCTCCACCAATAACATGGCGACCGTAGATCAAGGCAGATCAAGGAAACGCTATTTCACAGAAGCAGAAACTGAGGTACTTGTGGGTGAGGTGGAGAAATGAAAGGAAGTGCTTTTGCAAAACAAATAAGAGAAAATCCACGGAGTGCCACAGCGTTGCTGAAGCCGTCAATGTTGTGAATTCTTCAGAGAGATCTGTGGCGGATATAAAAAATGGTCCAATCAGGATTCGGATGCCAGACTCCCGGGTGAAAGCCACGCGCGCTAACCAGTCAGCCAAACAGAGATCTCCCTTGTTCAAGTGGCCAGGGTGGATGATTAATCAGGTCACAGTGGCAGGACACACACACACACACACTGTCACAGACGCATGACATTCTGTCTCAATCTTTCCCCCTGCTGATATTCTGCATTCCGTATTCTGAGCTTCAGGGTGTGTGTGTGTGTGTGTGTGTGTGTGCTCCCGCGCGCGTGTGTGTGTGAGTGTGCGTGCATGTGTGTGTACGCGCGCATGTCTGTGCATGTGGGGGGACTTGTTCTGTGTGAAAACGAAGCAGTGCAAGTGATAATGCTGCAGGATTTCATAATTTTATCCTTCTCAGCAGCAGCACTGCAGGTGCTCTCCATGTCCAAAATGTGCATGAGCCAGGTCCTTAGTCAACTTAAAGTTGTGCACATTTTTCCACTAAGTTTTCTTTCATAAATTCCAAAGTTTGCGTGGAAAGTTGCTTACGCAGTTTTCCGACCCCGTTTTGTGCGTAAGCAAGCTTGATAAATGAGTCCCCTGAACAACAAGGAAACGCATGAATATTCACACCTTCACTTGAGCAGACAAACATTTTAAACATTTGTACTGATTAATTAAATATTTCTTTAGATATAAAAGTGTGACTTCTTGTATTTTTTCAGTTATGCATTAGTAAAACCCAGCAGCATTATTGCAATGTAATCAAGCATGCAGCAAGGTGCTGACCAATCTCTACTCTCCTGCAACATGGCGAGTTTAATCAGCTCTGTGTGGCACTTATCTGGATCGATTCATTTAGCAGAAGTGGTTGTTCTAAAGACTCGAGGGAGAAAATAACTGAATAAGTTTCAGAATTTTTTTGTCGTAATAAACATTAAAAATCTATAAACAAGAGATAAGGATTGGCTGTAAGACAGAAAGCTTCATTAAACTATTTTAAATCCACAAACTCCTCTAATGCTACATAATCCGTCCTTTCCCTGCACAGCTCTGCCTGTCTGAGGAGGAGGCAGAGGAAGAGCTAGATGAGGACAGAGGTTGAACCTGTGTAGGAGGAAGGAGGTGAAGGTCAGTGAGCGAGGAGGTACACTTCACCTTTAATCTCGTCAAGCAGTTGGTGAAAGACTGCTGCAACATCTCCTAAAATAAGCCAAGCAGTAAACCACAAATGACTGAGAGGCAACATCGACTTTGAGTTCCCTTATATGACTTTTTATTTATTTCTCTATCTTGGATTGCATTAAATATGAGCAAAAATATACAAGTGATAAGAGCAAGAAATAAACAATCCAGGGTTTTATTTTTCAGCCATTTGGGCAACAATTAGAACGAGTTTCATCATTTTTATTTCTTGAAGAATTCTTTCATAGCAACAGTGCAATGGAACTAGAAGAGGAAATGTGCAGGTTGTGTTTTATTTGTAACATATACAGTCGCCCCTCTCCAGCTCTGTGCACCTTTGCAGTTTTGAAAGTGCATTTGAGGTTTAAATCCTCATTGAACTTTGATTGCAAGCTTTAGAAGCCCATTTTAAAAATAAACAAATAAAAACCAGCAGAAATAGCTCAGTTGATGGCAAAAAAACGAACAAAAGGTCTGAGCTAACACATCCTCTCTCCCTGACAGCAAAAATCTGTTTTCTTTTATAAACAAAGCAACTGATTTGTTATTGCCTGCCTGAATCGAGCACGTTGCTTTCTCTTTCTCTTTCACCCTTGCTTTTGATGATACTAGTTGCATCAATTTTTTGCAACCTTTCCACTAATTATTCACACACATGAAATAAAAATATTGCTCTTTGACAATATCTCCAAATATAGTAAATAAACAAAAAAAAAGTAAAAATGGAGATAAAGAGGATATAAGATTCAGACACTGGGAACAACTGTGTCTGTCCACCAGGAGGCACTGTTCCTTTTGTGCGTGATGTTATATAACAGGAGACCTTTTATAGGGTCTCAGGGTTTTTCCCTCCTGCTGGATCTCTGACCTTCTGCTGAGATCTTCTCAGAAAAAAGGGAAAAACAGACAAGCACAAGTCCAATTATCACTAATATCTTTGGTTGAAGAGTATTTGACTGAAACTTGAGCGTCCAGTGAGAGGATTCAACCAGTTTTGGTTTGTGGTTCAAAGCTAATTATTATAATAATGATGATGATGACGATAAATTATTTTTATTCTGAAGAGGTGAATCAGGCGTTTGACGTGAAGAGGAGGAGGACCCACAAAAGTAGGGTAAAGAAGTTCAGCGTGCCTGCTCTGGATTATCTGGCCAGATTAAGAGATTACAGTGAAATTAAATAAGTGTTCCAGAGAAAGAAGGCATGTGAACCGGCCAGAGAGGACTCACAAAAGCTGAGAACTAAACGTTCTCCAGGGCAGATCCTTCTGAATGAGCCCCTTCAGGTACTAATGGTCTCTTTAGATTGACTGTTGAAACAGGAGCTGGCAACAAGGTTCTGTTTTAACACGAGAACTCTAACCATCGAGGACAGTGTTGCTCAGACTTCAGCAGCCTGTTGTCCTCTTGCTGTGCTGACACGAATCGGTCAGTCAAAGAGCATTTAAAAATCTGACTCCAGTGATGTTTTAGAGACTCAGACTTGTTTTTAATCTTCATCTTGGTGGTTTTTCCCCTCAAACTGATGCAAGAGCAGAAAAATAAAACAAAAACATACATTAAAGAAATGTGTTTCTATATTCATTATCAGCAGCTGATGATTTCTGTCATTTCCCAATAAAACCGAGTAAAATATAGACAGTCTACTATTGACCGAAGGTGGGAATGAGTATGACTGAAACAAAGCAACAGACCGCCTACCTCCTCCACCAAAGACTGCAAATGCATTCACAAAGAGGAGGGAAACAGTTTTCGTTTAAAACAATAGAAAACAATAAGAAAACTGGATCATTTTCTGACAAAAAGGAAATTGATGCAAAACACAGAACATAAAATTAAGCTAAATATTAATAAATATTTTAAATGAATACAATTTTGTACACAAGAAAATATGAGCAAAATCCTTTACCATCTTCATAATGCATTCAGATGGGCAACTGGGCTTAGAAATAAATAAATAAATAAATAAATAACACTCTGAGACCCAAATAGCTCATTCAAGTAGAAGTTTAGATATTTTCCTAAATTCTGAAGGATGACGGATGTATGGCTTTTTTATCTTTATTAATCTGGAGTTAATGTGAGCAAACTAAAGGTGAATCTTGTCTGTTTAACCCGCTGCTCTCAGTGCAAACACCACGTGATCATACACAAGTACTCTCAATAGGAGTCATCTGATGAATGGACCCAAGCATTCATATTGTATGATGCTTAATGAGTATTGCACATTGCATGCAACTTCCCGACCTACTGTAAGAAATGGGACCTGTACATGACACACACACACACACACGCACACACACGCACACACACACACACACACACACACACACACACACTCCTTTATTCCTCGTGAACTTTTCTGACGCATTATCCTGTTCACACATATTTGCAGCGTGGTCCCTCCTGGCGGTCAGTCGTTCAGTTACCGAGACACACTAAAGACACATGCAAATGGCTTTGTCCGTCCCTCGAGATAAATGCTGGATTATTCTTTTTACGTAAGTGCAACAAAACTGACTTGCCGCTATAAGGTTATGATGCCGTATAAATACTGTAGATATACACGCTCTGAGTTTTTGTTTTAGGGTGTATAGAGAGGGATTCTCTGTGAGGAGGCAGCAGGAGGGGAGCAGCGGTTCTCCTGTGATGTCACTGACCCTCGGACGTTTTTCATCCCTTAGTTCATCATGCAGTATAAATAAATGTCACTAATTTACAGAAAATAACTTGTCTGAACGCTCACCGACAGAAACAATGACAGAATTAGCACCCTTTTAATCTCGCCCAACAATTTCCTCCCAAGCAGAACAAACAACTAAATAAATTCATGAGGGCATAAAACAATTCATACCAAGGGTGTGAATACTGCGATTTTCTTTTCTGTGTGTGCAGTGCTGCAGAGAAGGAAGAAAGTTGTTGGGTTTTTTTCAGGAAGGAGGGGGTGGGGGTGGGGGGTGGGGGGTTCAACCTAGAAGACGGTGTTGATCCTCAGCTTGAAAGACACTCTCCCAGCAAACTTGTCTCTTTCACTTCCAGTGGGAATGTTGTTGGCGTGGATCTTGCACTCGATGTTCACATCTTCATTGAGGGTGATGTTTAGGAACTTGATGGCGACCAGAGGCTGAGAGTAGTTCACCTGCAAAAAACACGACGAAGAATCACGTTTGAATTTAGGTGAATTGTTAAGACTCTTTAAATGCAAATGAACCAATTTAACAAGGACCAATATCAGATATTATAAAAGCTGTTAGTGGCACCATTAAACACAGGCCTACCTGCGCTTTCTTTCCATAGTACGGGTAGTACATGAGGTTAAAGGTGCCATTCTCAGGGAAGTAGGCTAACTCTCCAATTTTGTCAGCGTCATCTTTCTGAGGGAGTGAAACCGTTTCTTTAGTTATACAGATAATTCATTCATCTCCTACATAATCCACCATCTACTTCAGCAGCCTGCTCAATGCAAAACCAGCAGCTTCACCTACAAGCGTATGCAGTACGGTTACGCTCTAAGCCAGGTTCAAGCAGAAACACAAACTAAACTCCAAATTCTAGATCTGTCCTGCTCTTACCCATTCATCTTTGCCAACTTTGTATTTCTGAGGCACAAAAATTAATGGCACACAGTGGAAAAAAAAAAGTTTGTGCAAATGATAAAGTAGCATGGAATACAGATGTTAATGACTGAAGCAAAAAGGGGACAATAGGAGGCATGCTGCAGATGGGAGGTAGGTACATTACCTATGAATGGGCTGGAAACCAAATTGTCATGTTCTAAACTTTTCATTGTGAAGGACACAAAGAGATTACCTTAGGACCACATGTGACAAATGGAGCCTGTCCATCTTTTCCTGGCAGCAGCCCAATCACCTGGAAAGCGAGAGAGGGAGAGAAAGAGGGAGAGAAAGAGAAAGAGAAACGGGGGAGGGGGGGGGAGACAGAGAAACAGAGAGAGAGAAAGAGAGAGAAAAAACACAGAGAGAGAGGGAGGGAGAGAGAGAGAGAAAAAACGAAGAGGGAGAGAGAGAGGGGGAGTGCATTTTCATTTTTATTATCAAAGAGAGACAAAAACAGTTGTTTAAATCCAGATGTGAGCAGGATAATCCAGATCTGTAAGCTTGACACAGATTTTTTCACAGCCATACTTTCCCTGTTTCTATCCAGTTTTGGTGTCTTAGTCCCTCCATGTCTCCTAGCAACAGCATCCTTTTTTTTTCTTCCCCTCTTTTCCTTTCATACCCGATTCAGCTTGATGATGATACACGGCCGGCCATCCTGGTATCCATAGTAACGGTCTTGGAGTCCAGAGCATATTTCGAGCATGGTGCGGTTGAACTGACAGGAGCGCTTCGGGTTGTTCTTCACATCGCCGCTGTCCTCCTGCTGGAAGTACTGGTCGGGTGTGCACTGGTGGTTTTTCTGGGCCTGGACGGTGTTGTTGTAGGCTGCAAGGGAGAGGAGAGTGGTGATGGGGGTTGCTCTGTTTGTGAAGGCTTATGACTCAACTAAAACCCTGCTGCATGGCAGCCTTCTACTCACTGGCAGCAACAAAATGATGTGTAACAAAGGAAAAACTATTTATTCTGTGTTGTTGGGGCAGCTGCAGCGTAGAAAAGGATGAGTCACCTGACAGGAACTTGTCCAGCGTTTGAGCATACATGTCCCAGCTCTCCGTTTCCTGGATGGTGTAGACAATCTCGAAGGTTTCATCTGCATGAGGTCTAATCACAAGACCTGTGAGAGTCACCAGGAAGGTCAGAACATGTTGACACGAACAGCATATGTGTGCTTGAATCTGTAGGATATGAACCTGGTGTGGAGAGCCGGTCCTGCCAGGTGGGTTTGTGGTCATCCAGAGTCTGCAGCATGACGTACATGGTGAGAGCAAACAAGCCAGCCAGGAAGATGTAGAAGACTAAATAGAAGAGAAAAATGAGACCTGCAGGAAAAACAACAAAGAAAACAAAGTTATTTCTCTTAGTTGCCACTTTGATGCTCAGATTCTGACATGTGATGGGTTTGATTTATAGCATAATAAAGTGAAATGTGAGAAAACACAATGAGAACATGAATGTGACAAAACCGAGTTTTCCTGAGAAGTCTTCTCTAATAACTTACTTTCAACTGTGCTTTGAACCTGGTAGACTTCTTCATGAACATGTGAGATTTATAACATCTACGACTCATTCTTTATCTTCTAATGATGAACAATGGAAATACACAGACAGCTAAAGTCCTTCATTTGCAGCGATTAATGCATTCAGATTTAGAAATATGCATTTTCCCTCTAAATCTTATGAGTATGCACCGAACTTAGTACAAAAAAACAACCAAGTCTAAATTCAAGTATCTAATTCAAATATTGAGAATAAAATCTAAATTTATATTTTAAACAATACAAATATGTTTATGTAGTGTTGGGTTTCCTTAAAGAACTTTTAACTAACTGAAAAAATTAACTGAGCTCAATGCACTGATAAGTAGACTCAGCTGATTTGTTTACTTTGTAAAGTGCCTGGAGATGACTCTTGTTGTGGTTTGGCATTATAAATTAACTGTATTGAATTACAAACAATTTATTTCAAGTAAATCCAACAATTTATAGTCAAATCTAAATATTCCAAGTTGAATGTGATTATTTGGAATGAAATCTCAAATATTCTTGTTTGGGTTTACCCTGCACCTTCACAAATAACTCAGAGGTAAATTAACTCACAAATTCGTCTCAACAAAGGTTCGCCATGCTTTTATTTTGCCAGGCAACTTCTGTTTTCAAACAGCTGAAATCGCATATTTTTTGAATAAAATTATCATGTTGATGTTTAGACTTCAGATTAGCAGGGGGAATGGATGGGTGGACATTTAGTTTAAATGTGAATTATTTAGGTTACATTTGTAATATTTAGATTTGAAACCAAATATTTAACTTGAGATTGGTATTTAAATTTAATTGTACATTTTAACGTTTGGCACTAGATATTTGGGTTTGATTCCATACATTTAGCTTTGATTCTAAATATTGAGGTTTAACTTTAAATGCTAAATACTTATGTGCAACTTTCCAAATTTGGATTAGATTTTACATATATTTAGGTTTAACATCATACATTTAGGCTTGATTTTGATTTTTAATAGTTTTACCTATATGTTAATTTAGATTTGATTCAAAATATATTTTCAACCTGTGTAGATGATGTTAAATATGGTAAAATATTGCAACTAATTTTTGAGTGTGTTACTTTACAATGGTACCCCATACTCAGAGAGGAGGAAATGATGGAAACTGGGCTCTAAAAGAGGAAACCTGATTGAATACCCTGGGGTAACTACCCAGAGATGGGAGATCTTAAGCCCATTATAATAAAGTTATTTCTGAGAGGAAACGTAATATAATTTTCCAAATGCTGAAGGTTGCGGATCAATAAAGGATCCAGTAACAAGAAGTTGGAACCATCCCCTCATTCTGAGGAGCTCTTTTAAAGAGAACAGGAGAACAGAAATAACCTTTTCTGTGACGCACCAACACCTGAGGCCCACATTGGGGAGCAGCTGAATGCTCTGACCCTGCTTCTCTGCTGGAAGCCCCCCAGCAGTCATTCCATCAGCAGTGGTGCGGCATCTACCTCCCTGCACATCAACACTATAATAAAATGTTGAGGGGAAGCTGATCCAAGAGGGGTGATTACAGCTGGGGGTGTCTTAATGATTTATAGCTTGTATGTGTTTCATCCAATTGTTCTGGAGGTTTTCTCGGTCTAAGTTAATCCCAGGCTGGAGGAACGGCTTGTTTGTGACAAAAGAGTCAGATCGAGTTATCAAATATCAATGGCATCAGGCTCCAGGACAGAGCAGCAAGAGAGACATCTGTGACAAACTAAGTCCTAAAACGTTTCACTCATGGGAGAGGTTGTGTTAACCAGGAACATGACACCACCTGAGGGAGAATGGATGTGTATGAGTGCACACAGGGGTGGATGTGCCCCCTCCTTCTGGAAAAACTGTGTTGAGTTCACAGTTTACCCTCTCAGCTCACACTGATGGACAGTGAAGCATCTCTCTTTCAGCCCAGCTTTATCTGAGAACAAACAAGCAGCTCAGGGTGGCTCTGCAGCCAGGTCCTTGCTAGGGAATATTAACAAAAGGCATGCTGGGTAATTGCTTTATAATGTGGTGAAGAAGCAGACGTCTGGACTGAACCTAAAATGGAAATAGAATAAAAGGCTCTGAGCTGCAGGTCTTTCATGAAGATCTTTTACAATGTCAAATTTGACTGCATGAACAGTTTGATTATCTCCACTCTAGAGACAATTACAGTGTGTTTGTTCCAGATTTTGCTTTTTTGTTTTGTTTCTGGAAGAAAACAAAGTGGGTAACTTAATTAGTTTTGAGTCCAGGCTCAGCCGACTGGTGGCAACATCAAACCTTCATCAGGATTTCCATCTAATTGTTATCCTTTACACAAAGCAGGACAGCCAAAGATGTGAGCTGTGTTTGATCCTCAAAGACACCTTTGATCCAATGTTCTGTACGACAATTACACGGTTCATTAAGAACCGACAACCTCAAAAGACGATGTACCAGAACAAAACCATTTTTGTCAGGTTTTTGATTGGAGATGTTCTCACACTAGAACATGTTTTCAACATCCCAGAAGGAAAGGCCTGGTCTAGCAGACCTAAGAGTGGTCCAACAGAAATAGCCTCATTACAGAGCCTCTCAGAGCACAGATTAAAAAGGCCACCAAACCTCTGAGCACCTGGGACGCACTGAGCTGGATTAAGTTTCAACCATGGGAGGATACAAACACAATCAATGAATCTAGACTCTTCTCTTATGGTACTACAGTTCCAGCTGATGAAATAAATCATTTCACATGAAACCACGTTTGGCTTTAGTCCAACCATGTGTTGAATTGGGACCATGTCTCTTGTTAAATCATTAAAACATCTTAGTTCCTGAAAGTTTTTGTACTTTGTCAGAACATCCCGAATTGAAACCTTCCTCAGCCAATGAAGTCATTAGATTAGGATTAAATCCCTTACTGATTTGTAGCTGCTGGGAGGGGCCGGTTGGAGGGTGATACAAATAGCATTTGGCCTTGAGCTTTACCCAGATTAAAATGCTTCAATGTCGTTAGAACAGAGCCATATGTGCCCTGCTGGTACATGAATCTTTCAAATAGTTGCAGGGTTTTTTCCTTTGTGACCAAATGATGGTAGCTAAAACTAAATGTGCTGGTCTGGAAAAAGAAGTAATGTGAATTCTGCTGCACGCACGCACACACACACACACACACACACACACACACACACACACACACACACACACACACACACACACACACACAGCCGGCTTCTTTGCAGCAGAATTCACATTACTTCTAGGTGATGACGCCGCTGACAGAGTAAGCTGCTTCAGCAAAGCTTCTGCATTCTGGATTAATAAAAAGTAAAATAGGAACACAGACTGAGAGGTTCTGACCAGCACACAGGGAAAGCACTGCCTGTTCCCGACTGGGCTTGGGCGAATAAAATGTGCCGGTTCCTGGAGGAGCAGTGCCGCAGTCAGATTTCAGCACCAGGCTGAGATGGACAGCGACAGCATCCTCATCCCTTTCAGCTCAGATGAGTCAACTTCATATTCCTGCCCCACCGCCTCATCCTGACAAAGTCTCTGGGTAAATCACCAGAACCCCTTCAGGGGAGATGTTGGACACTTACTGACAGCGACCTGTTACAGAGCTGATGGGGGGGGGAGCATGTTTGCTGCATTGCTGCTGGACGGTACTCACCCCAGCTGCTCGCCGTTCTACCCAGAAACTCCCTGGTCCTTGGGTTCCATACAAACTCCTTCCACTCGCTTTTGTCTCCATCTTTTGCCATCTTGTCTCCAAAAGCCTTGATGTAAAACGCGCTGGTAGGATGCAACAACTGCTCAGACCCTGTGGTATCACTGTGGCTTTGCGCAGGAAGTCAGGACACACAAATAAATGGAAGAAAAATGAAAGTAAAAAAAAACACAAGGCCTGTTTTGTAAGAGGAATTGATAAGAGGTCCAACACCCGGTACAGACCTAACAAGTGCCCTCCCCCCCGGCTCTAGTCTGCATGCCGCAGAGTTTTGATGAGTGGTGCAGAAATGTAGTTACACTGCAGTAAAGCACTCCCTCCGCCTCTCTCTACAAGAACCCGGCCACCCCCCGTGCGCGCGCGTGCGCGCCCTGTGTCTCATCCACCATTACCGACCGGTAGAGAGCTATTCCCTCCCCCTGACCAATCACCTGTCCCCACGCATGACTGGCAACCCTAACATCAAACTGCACTTTAGTTCCTAGGCCGTCATGTTTCTACACAACGAGCAATAAAATATGCATCTGATATTTTCAGCAGGTTGGACCTGGTCACTCAGTGATCAAGTCCCGTTTTGCAGAAGTAATTCAAAACAAAGCTCTTTTCCCATCTAGCCTGTGACGTAGCATGAGGGGAACGAGAGAGGATATGGTGAGCAGCAGAGAAATGGGACACCAGATGATAAACAGCTGCTGAGGACTGAGTGATTAGTTTCTCCCGTTTGAACATCAAGCTGCATCAAGCAGGACTAGAAGACATTTTATTTTGCAAAGATCACGAGAACTCGAAAGTGTGTGTGTGCGCGCGCGCGTGTGAGTGTATGTGTGTGTGTGTGTGTGTGTGTGTGTGTGTGTGTGTGTGTATCCTACCGTGGTGTGAAATCTCTTATTTCTGGGCTTGACCCACATAATCCCTCTGAATGGAATAATGATGTGTCTGTTTTGGACGGCTAAATAAAGTTTTTTGCCTTCTCACCATGCAAAAAAAAAATCCTTAAATCTTCTAAAGAAAACATATTTAAATGAATCACAATAAATGAAACTACGGAAATATCAATTTACACACCAGCTTTATAAGCTTCAACCATCGATATACATATATATGTATCTCAACATATGAGATTTTCCATCAAATCAGCAACATCTTTGCAAAGTTGCGTAAAAGATGAAGACATCATCTAAATCATGTTCGTTAGGCAGATATTTTCACCCTTTCTTGTGAAAATGTGTGTTTAAATAACTCATTGTACTTTAAAATGACAATCTGAGTTAATCAGCTGTTCATGGAGAAGTGAAGAGTGAAGATAGCGCCTCCGTTTGGCCACAGGCGGTGTTGCAGCGGTGCAGCAGGAACATGGTGTCCACTTTCCTGCTGCAGTGTAAAACATGTGGCATGTAAAAAGCAAGGATCCGCTCGGTTTGTTGTGTAAAGTTCATTCTATAAAATTTATTTTCAATGACAATATCAATGCAAATATAGCACTACAGTGATTTCCAAGGTACACCGTATCTTACCATATCAATAGAGTATATGGCACTGGTATAACGGCCACTGTTTCAGAAGACACACAAAACCAACAGCCTCTGTAAACTATTTTGGAACATGATAGCCTACCTTGGGTTTCATTTCAGTCTGTGAAACGGAGCCGTAGTAAAGTGATCACTTTTGGAATCAAACTGGGCACGATAATAAGTTTCACTGGAACATTTCAGTGTAAGGAATCTCTGCATGCATTGCACTTCCCCCATTTCCTTCACCCTGGCTTGTGTTTGTTTGAAAATGGACTCGGTGAGCTCAACAAAACCTTCAAACACAAGCAGGAGGGACTTAAAAAAAAAGGCCAAGCAGTGACTCGGGAACACTTGGGAATCTTCTTTTTTTTTTTCTTTCGCTGGATCCTGTATAGTTTTGGTAGAAACTATTGTAAAACACCAACCAAGAGACATTCAAGCGCCTTAAATCGATTACAGGAGAGCCGACTCTTCAAGGTACAAACTTCATTTCATGTAGCTTTTAGAAAAGAAAAAGAACAGTCATGTAACAATAAGCGCTGTATAAATAAAGTTTGTCGTGGTAACACTGTGTAGTTGAATGTACAACACCGGTATTCAAGATAGCAGCAAAGTCTTAAAAAATATCAGGACTAAAAGCTGTTGAAATCTGTACAGAAATAAAAGTGAATGTAAAAAAGAATCAAGAACAAAGCTTAAAGGGAATCTTGCATAAATTTATATAAACAACTGTTGGCCTGTACCTTTTTTATTAAGAGGGCTCATCGTTTACTCGTAGATCTGTGATGCATGGACTGGCTGCAGCAGATAAACTACATAATCCTTTATAAAAAAGAAGGGGAAAAAAACTAGTGAACAAAATTCTGTTTGTACAGTCTATGCTACATAATATGTATTGAATACAAGTATGAAAATGGAAATAATTGCTACATTTTCAAATACAGTTGTACATGTCTATTTACAGTACACCAGGGCTGGATTTCTCCAAAGCGTTGATTTGTGCAGATTGTTCCAGCATTCTGTTTGAGGTGATCGATACTCACAGTCTCATCAGTTGCACCGTATTGCACAGTCTGTGTTGATGGGTGTCAGTGTTCAGGCTTTTCCTGTGTGGAGGAACAAATAGTAATGTGCAGCAGGTGTAGAAGCATGAGCAATGATGTTTTTACTTTTCTACCGCTGATCTGTATCTATTTGGCCGAACTGCAGCAGGATGTACCGCCCTTTCTTACGTTTACACGCTTGGCAACGTATTGTTCAACTCTTACAACAAATCACTCGTTATCCTAGTAAAGATCTGCTGTATGTAAAAGTCTGACAGGATCATCTCTACCCACGTTTCTCCTTTTTTTCTTGTTTTTTTACAGCACTGTATGTCTATTGTGACATGCAGAGAATGACACAGTAAATATGACTTGTTCAAGTCTTAAGATATGTATGTTAGGCTAGCTGACACAAGTTTTAAATACGTTGCCCGAGTTTCCGGAGCATATTGCTGTAAAATTGCAGAAACGTTGAGAAAGTAAATAGATTTACATTACAAATATGCAAATGGATACAGTAGGTAGCTTTAACTTCTCAGTGATGATTATTTGCATCCACAATGACAATCTATTGATACCAAGACATCTCGTATACATTCACGATTTCAAGAAACACTTCGAAGAACTTGTCTATGAGTCTTGCCGTTTCTTCAGCACAGAGCGGACCCTGTGCTTGTCGGATTTCTTACGCTGGAGAAAACCCACGATTCCTTTGCGTCTCAAGTAGTCAGGAGGATATTTGGCAACACCAATCTCAGAAAACGACACACTCGTTATTACTATTGTTGTTATTATTAATCATTTGTGGCTGTCGCTCTCTTTTTTTCCCCTTAGCAATATTACTGGTGTTTTGTGGCAAAATAATCATTGGCAATTAGAACATATCAGTATAATACAGAGAAAATACAAATCAGCTGAGTATGAAAGTGGTGTAGTCTGATTGTATTAACTATTTTTGCACACCTCTTAATCGACGTTTTGCTGCTTCTTTGTTTTCACGAACAAGTTCAAGGTCTCCAGAATCCACTGATCTAGTTTTCAGAACATTTTCAAACAAAACAACAGTAGTGTCTTCGTCTTCTCTCAAAGTCTTTCAAATAATCTGACAGTTTGTCAATCTGTTGTTATTTATTCTAATAAATTCTGGTAAATAGTTTGTTTAGGGGACTGCTCAGTCTTTATATCCTCAGATCGCTGTGTCCCACACGACAGCCTGAGGCCTCTGACAAGGTGGCGTGCCGGAATTCCGAGGCTCGGGTGTCCGTCTCCAGCTAGGGAGGATCGGCATGCTGTCCTGCTTGCACAGGCTTTTGTCAGGCCTTCTGTGGGCCTTGATCTCCTTGCACAGGCAGCGCTTTCGCTCAATGACCTCCAGCAGCTTGCCGTCTCTCTGGGACTGAGTCGTGGATGGGGTGTTACCCCCGCTGGCTGGGGGGTGTCCCTGTGCCAGCTGGGCAAGCTGTTGGAACTGCAGCTGTAGGTGGTGCTGTTGCTGAAGCTGCTGGAGCTGCTGCTTTAACTGCAGCTGCTGCTGATGGAGCTGAAGATGCTGCTGCTGCTGCCGAGACACACCGGGAGTGCCGGGGCTGCAGTGCACTTGAGTTGAGGCCAGACCTTGCAGCTGTGGGAAAAAGAAAAATGATGGGATTTTTGTAGTGACGCATGACATTTTAAACCTGCATCATCAATCCCAGTCAGTTGTAGATGTATTTGCACATCCTGAGCAAAACATCAGTACCTAAGATCCCCCACCAGAATGCAGTGTTGCTGCATTAGTTGCAGGTTGAAGGAGGGTCAATCAGACGCATGCAGACAGTCTCTGCAGAACACTCAAACTGCGTCAGCGCTTAATGCTACAGAGCCAGAAACTGGACAGAAATTTGTGCTAGAAGAGTGCAATTCATCCTCTAAACAACTATTCAGCAAGCTCTCATACCAACAAATTTATATTATTTACTGTCTGCATGTAAACCAGAGGTAGACATGTTTTTTTTTTCCTCTTTCAGACAGGCCAGACCCTTATTCTGCTCAGTGGGCATAACAACCAGCTATAAATAGCTCTGGAGGAGCAGCGTCTCCAGCAGAAGGGGGAAGTCGTGGCAAGAACAATATTGATGTTCACTTCAATTTATCCAGTGTTAGAAATTAATAGTCTTTGCCGTTGTAAAGCCAGATGTTATATATTCACCTGATTCAGAGCTTCTCGCGCCGGTAGACTGCTCTGTCTCTGGACGTCTCCTCCACCCACCTGTCTCACTCCAGCAGCAGAGGAGGAGCGGCCCAGCCGCCCCACTTCTGTGAGGAAACAAACATTACAATGTGTGCCTGCAGATCAGAGCGGTGGAATATAAAACAGGGCAGTAAATGTCTGACTACAGCCATGAATTCAGAGGGTTCCTATTTGCTTTGAGTCCTCGTTATATTTTATGGTGCTTTCACCACTTCTGTATGATTTATATTTCATCTTAAACCAATGATCCACTATTCACTAATTGCTAATTAACCCCACTTGACCACAATACCATATAAACACAATTATAATTTCAGCTGAGGGATTTGCTGGGCCAAAAATAAACTCAAGAGTGAGCAGACAAAGAGATGAGAAGAGACAGCTCTTCACAACTTCTCAAACAAAACAGTAGCACGTGTGGTAACATCCTCATTCTTTTAAGGAATCCTTAAAACGAACAGGCAAAAGAAAAACTGACTGTCTAATAAGGAAGCGTTACAGGACATCTGAGCCCGGAGAGGAAGCCCATTGCAAACCCGCAACTGAAGATCTTTTTAAACAGTGAGCTGAGAAATGCTCACCTCCATTGCGACAGGCAGGAAATGTTTGGCAGGGAAGAGGTAGCCCTGCTCTGGGCAGAGCTCTGAATCCTGTGCTGCTGTCCACACCCGCCAAAGACTCGCTGTGGCCGAGAGGCCTGCTGGCGGCGCCACTGTAGTGAACTGGGATGCCTGAGTGGCCTCCTCGGGAGCCCACCACCAGGTCCTCTTTATCCATCTTGAGCAGAGCATCAGCACTGCCGTTCCAGGCCCGGCCGTCTTCTTCTGAGTCAAGAAAAAACCCACAAGTCATATTATTTACAAAAGCAGCTTCAGAAACATGATTTTACTCTATTTTTTAATACAGTATCTTAAAGCTGTCTTTCACCCGTTATTTTAATAAACCCGCTGTGGACTTTAGCATAAATGAAAGCCTTGTGAGTCGATCTCTGTGAAGAAAAAAAATAACCTCTGGTTCTTCTGTTTCAGGAAGTAGAAGTCAGCCAGAGGAGAGGGGAGCAGAAACGGCAGAATGTGAAGTCTAACTCATTAATATTCATGGTATGCAAACATCTGGCCTCTGACTGGCTAACAGCAGTGCAACAATACCACTGACTCTGTTTGCTCTGCAATGTCGATGTTTTATCTCCACAAATAATACCCAAAAAAAAGGGGCGTGGGGGGGGGGGGGGTCACACTGCTGAGCCTCCCTGGTAAGGTCAGGGGTTCTGGAGATGAGGGTCCATTGAATTGTCGAAAGTCGAATTCAAAAGGAGCAACGTGGTTTTCGTCCTGGCCGTGGAACAGGAGGGCCTCAAGTGAAGGTGTTTAAGTATCTTGGGGTCTTGGATCTTGGGGGAAGAATGGAGCGTGAGATCAAGAGGCAGATTGGTGCTGCGTCTGCAGTGATGCGGGCGTTGTACCGGTCTGTCGTGGTAAAGAGAGAGCTGAGTTGAAAGGCGAACCTCTCAATTTACTGGTTGATCTACGTTCCTACCTCATCTATGGTCATGAGCTTTGGGTAGTGACCAAAATAATGAGATCGCAGATACAAGCTGCTGATGAGTTTTCGCCACAGGGTGTCTGGGCTCTCCCTGAGAGACAGTGTGAGAATCTCAGTAATCCGAGAGGGGCTCGGCGTTGAGGGGAGCCAGTTGAGGTGGCTCAAGCATCTGGTCAGGATGCCTCCTGGACACCTCCCTGGTGAGGTTTTACAGGTATGTACAACTGGGAGTAGACCCAAGGGAAGACCCAGGACACACTGGAGGGACTACGTCTCTTGGCTGGCCAGGAAACGCTTTAGGATCCCCCCGTAAAAACTGGCCCAAGTAGCTGGGGAGTGGCAAGTCTGGGCCTCCCTGCTTAAACTGCTGCACCCGCGACCTGACTCCGGAAGAGAGGTTGAAAATGGATGGATGGATGGAAATAACACAAGACTGGAGGAGTTCTGCTGGTGGTGGAGTTGCTAATGCTAACTGTTTGCTTCTACCAGTCGAAACGTGCTCGGCTCTCTCCCTTACACTAAACCAACAACAGCCTTCCCCGTCATAACCCAAGATAATCTTGCCCCCCTGTATCTAACCGACCTTCTTCACCGTCATTTTCCAGCTCGCAACCTCCATTCTGCCGACTCCAATCTTCTTTCCCGCTTGAATCCTCAATTCCCCACCCTGGGAGATCGAGCATTTGTCGTCGCCGCCAACTCACCATCCAACTATCTGGAACTCCCTCCCTCAAAACATCAGGAACTCTGACTCACTCCACACCTTTAAAGCACTGCTCAAAACTCATCTTATCAAACTGGCCTTCCCCTAACCATCCTCTCCAGCAGGCTGCTTTGTGTGTCACTTTTTCCCTGTTTGCAAAGCGTCTTTGAGTGTCCTAAAAAGCGCTAAATCTCATGAATTATTATTATTATTAAGATGGGTGAGTCCATGAATGCTAATTTACAGTGTGACATAGATCTGAGTGGATTTTCTGATCCAAGCATTTCTCCCTCTATTTGTAAGAAAATGGTGTTTCAGTGAACTTGCTCTTTAACTCTGCATGCAGATGAGTTCTGACTTACTCTCTGCTTCCCTGCTCCCATGGCTGAAGGACAGCTTCCTCTGCATCGGCCAGTAAGAACCTTCATCTCCACCGAAACTGCTGCTGCTGCTTTCCCAGGGCATGAAGCCAGCTTTTGTCTGTGATGAAGACCCTCCGTTGCTCCTGGACAACCCCTCGCCTGCACCAGTGAGGCTCAAAGGCTGTGGCAGAGACGGTGTTTGAGAGCTGCCTCTCAAACTCTCATATGCTGGCGGCCTCCTGAAGCCGCCGGATGGGTAGGTCCACAGCAGCGGGCTGTCGGATGAGGGGGGCTTGTACGTCGGAAGGCAATGGGGGGTGTGAGATCGGAGATGTGGACGGGAATGAGGACGCTGGGATGAAGACAATGGCGTAGGGGTAGAGCTGGTGCTGCTGTGAGGAGTTTGGCCGCTTGTGCTATCTAACGGTAAGGAATGTGGTCCACTGTCCCGATCCCGATCCCTTTCCCTGTCTCGCTCCTTGTCCCGATCTCTGTCCCTGTCTCTTTCTCTGTCCTTATCCTTGTCTCTGTCTCGCTCCTTGTCCTTGTCCCTTGCCCTGTCCCTTTCTCTGTCTTTCTCCCTCTCTCCTTTGTTGGACTTCAGCATGAAGCTGACGGACTTGCTCTCCTTGCCCGAGCTCGACGTCTGAGTCTGGACTGTGGCCTGGCTGGAGGTCTGAGAGCTGCTCTTGGTTGGAGCGGGGGAGTCTCCTCTGTCCGGCTTGCGATAGTGATGGTAGTGTGAGGGGCGATGATGAGGGTGGTGATGATGATGGGAGAAGGGGGACGTGGATTTGGAGGACGGGGGTAGAGGAGTGGAGTGACTTCTGGCTCTCAGTCCGGGAGCTGGACCCAACTGGGAATCTCTGTTGTGTTTGTCCTGTTGGGAAGAGCTTCCTCCGGATAGCTCCTTGGCCAGCGATGAGAGAACATTAGAAGAGGCCGATGAAGAGGTGGTGGCCTGGGTTGTTGTACTGGATGTTTGCATTTTAGAGGAAGAGGATGACTTGTTTTGCACTCCTACTCCACTGGAGGCGGCTGCAGGCTGCGGGAAGGCGAGCAGCGGAGGCCGGTGCTGAAGGAGATTTGGGAAGGGGGCTGGGATCTTTGTGTTGGACTCTGCTTCAGATTTATTCCCTTGCAGCAGGTAGGGAGTAGGAGCTCGGGGTGTGTGAGGGCTGGTGGAGAGGACCTGGGGTACAGGAGTGGAGGATGCAGATGAAGGCAGAGGAGATGAGTGGGAGATGGACACTGTAGCCTTAGGTTTGGAGTAAGAAGGAGAAGAGGAGGAGGGGCGTGGGAGAGAGGAAGATGAACTGCTGGAGGAGGAAGCGGTGACGTGGTAGTGTTTGGAGGATTTTAGTTTCTCGTGTTTAGAAGGCAGATGCCTGTGGGACTCTCTGTCCTCCTGATGCGGGTATTTCATCTCCTCATAGATTGCCTCACTCTGGTCTGAGTCAGAGTCTGGCGTGGTGGCCACTGGCGTGACGGGGTGTGGCGTGGCCGTCTGGCTCTCTCTGGTGAACACCTGGCCCACCATCTCTATGTAGACTGGTTCATCCTCCCCATCTCCTGCCTGAATCTGAGACTCTGCCGTCTGGAAAGGCATGGACGAGGCAGGAGGAGGCACACGAGGAGGAAGAGGGTCGAAGGTGAGCTGGGTGCTGGGACTCCTCTTGGGTTTCAAAGGAGGCAACTTCTTTGATCCGACGTCCCCAGAGTCAGATTTCTTCATGGCTTTAGGAGGCATAAAACAGAGGTCAAGACAAGAGAGAGAAAAAAGCAATTTAAAATACACTCATGATTTTTTTCTTTACCATTCTTCTTATCTGAGTGTTTGGCCTGTGAGTGACTGGTTGTAGAGGGTGGTGGGGTCTCAGCAGGTGCTCTGCTGTCGGCGGACGAGGAGCTGAGCCGAGTACTTGGATGGCGTTTGGGTTTGGCTGGGGGGCAGCGGCCGCCGTGCTGCGACTGAGTGTCAGAGTAATCTCCGTTCTCCAGGTGGGTATCCTCTGCTCCGACAGCGTGGCAGGACTGTGAGCGTGGTGCCATGGCAGACACACACGTGTGAGGAGACAGGTCCTGGGAGGCGGGCATCGTCATGAAACCCATCCGGAAGTGCCGTCGGAAAGAAGCCAAGTCTCTGACTTTACCAACAGTGGCTGAGGGGTCGTTCTGCGTGGAGCTGGGGTTGGGGGGTCAAGGTAAAAACCACAGTTAGGTCAACAACACTCATGTACCACTCTCTAAATCACTGTTTAATCTTAAAAAATTCCTTTTGCATCAAAGAAATGCCTGCAGGGCGTTCGCTGCAACCATCTCGCTTACGCCCTCAAACACATCGAATTAGAGGATCAATTCGCTCGTCTAAAGCAGAGCAGAAGTTTACACTGCTGGATTCTCCCGCTTTTCTTTACATATTTACATCAACAAATATCAGCAGGCTGTGCTCGGGATTGCCTGAAGGATTTGTTACCATGGGAACAGTTGTGAGTTTCTGCTATTTGATACCGAGCCTTTGAAATAATCAATGACACAGACTCAAACAACAGTAAATAAAACTGACAAAGAGAATAAATCTGATAAGACGTTGCGGTTTTTGTATCAGACGGAGCAGCAGCTGCTTTCCTTCTTTTAGAAAAGAGGATTTTTTTAACAGGTCTTGTAAAAAATCAAAGAAAAAGTGAAAGAAAACGCTAATCTTAAGAGTGTAGTGCAGCTGCTGAACCGTTATCTGTCCGGAACAGGAGATATATTTCTGTGTGTGGTGAAAAACAGCCCACAAACCCACACGTTTAGCTAAATTCTCATAAATGTAATAATAAACAAACTCTAATTAATAATCACACTGTTTAATGACGACGGACGCCTTGATCCCCTTCCCTTGAGGAGAAAACACCGGCAGAACATTTGGGATTTCCTGTCTGCGTCAACACCTTTAAAAGTGCAAGAAACAGCGATCACATGGCCCGTTTTGTCTAAGAATAAGTCACTTCTCACACCACAACATACAGCGCCTCACCCACCCAGCACGCTCTTTAGGATTCGTTTTGATCCTTGCAAGAGACACAGAAGAAGACAACTGGAGCTTATAATTTGTATTCAGCTTCACTCGCAGCAGCAGCAGGAGCACGGAGGACACAGAGGCTCTCGTTTTCTCCTCGTGTGCACGTTGCTGTGTTCTAATCTGTGTTCTTTAGCAACAGCGTTCATTTGTTTCTCTACAAGTATGTTTGCGCCCTTGAATGCCTGTGGAGATGTTAGTGACTCCTCACAATCGACATAGATAGCAGAGGACCAAATTTAGCTCAGGACAAAGGCTGAGCATCTCCCTCCTCACAGCTTGAGCAGCTTTTATGTTCTCCACCCCTTTCATTTCTTCTGAGGGCAGAGTCTCTTAACAGCTTCAAAATAAGACAGCTTTTCAGAGATTATCAGGACTCTCACCTTTTTATTTCCCCTCTCTTTCTTAAGCCAATAATCTGCAGCCGTTAAAGTAGAGATCAATGGGAAGATCAATAGTTGTCTCGTATGAGTTACCTTAATTTAAACAGCTAGTTAGATTAGATTAATATAAAGACTGAGAATGGAAGAAAATGCTTTGATCTGTCTAATGAATGGGAGGAATTTGCCCCTTGGCACTCAGAATGATCTCACTAAGTAAAAGCTGTTTAAACTATTAAAAGTTATACTAATTACAGTGAGAGGTTAATAATAGGATGGCTTTCTGTTTTTAAGAATACATTTTGACTATCAGCACATGAAGTTTACATGTTTGTTACAACAAGTTCTGGAAAAGCTGCAAAAAAAAAAAACACTTTCCAAAGTGACAAGAATTCCCAAAAGCTTCTGTGACACAGAAGTGGAAAAAAATGATTAAAAATCCAGTTGAGATGATTTTTCCCTGTAGCAGCTAATGTCCTATTTCTGATTTACCTTTTTGGGGCAAAGTTTAAGCTGCTGAATGCGATCTAGAACATCTAGTCTGGTCTCAGGACAGATCAGAGGCTACAGGTCAGGCTTTGCTGTAACATTAAGAGGCAGCCAGTCGCCATCCGGACATGTTTGACATGAGACGAGGCTTTCTCCTCACTCCATCTCGCGGTTTAACCCACGGCCATTAAACAGATTCCTTTAAAAGTCTGATAGCATTGTTTGCTAGCGTGTGACTCACAGTTGTGGAAGTGCTTAAAGCATCCAGCAGCTGAAATAAGTTCCTGTTTAACGATCGGCGTGTGACCACACGGACGGAGAGGGATTTCTCCAAGCTGCTCCAGATAAGACGCGTCTTTGTCACGTTGGATGTCGACCTTATCTCAGAGAGTTTATTTATGTGGCCGTTACTTATTTCCTCTGATCATGAGGGTGAGCTGACAGCTGACATAAAGTGTATTTACTGAGCCATAAATATGTGGAAACTCAAACACCTCTCATTTGTGGATTGGATGCTCACGTAAAAGAAGGATTCTTGTGTTGCCTTTCATTCATGTTTCTCTTAAAGCAAATAAATTCTCATAATCGTTGCGGCTCAGTTGGTAGCGAGGTCTTTCTCCCAGCAGCTGCCACTAGTGGGAATATCCTGTCTGCCTGTCTTAGTAACAGCAGTAGCTCAGGAGGTAGAGCAGGTTGTCCAGTAATTGGAAGGTTGCAGGTTCAATCCTGGCTCTACAGGCTGCCCAAGTGATGATACAAAATGATGTAATATGATATTATTCAGTTGATATTTTTATAGTGCACAGAGTCATAAAAGATCAAATTCTAATATTAACATTTTTTTAAACCAGTGCCTAATCTGTGTCGTTCAACGTTCAGGATTATCTTTTGTTACAGCTGACAGATTCTCAACTATGATAGCACAGAATATGATAGGATGTTGTGGCGAAGCACACCTGAGGCTGATTGGTGATCAGGAGGTGCTTCGTTAGCTGGAGACGGAGGTTGAAGACTGAACGGAGAGAAGAGTCTGATGGCTCTGAGACCTGGGACGAGGTGTGCGCAGGTCAGACAAGGAGAGCCTGCAAACTGGGTGGTCTGAGTGGTGTAAAAAATGGTAAATGGCCTGTATTTGATATAGGGCCTTCTAGAGTCCTGGAACCCCCAAGGCACTTTACAACACTCACCCATTCACACACACATTCACACGCTGATGGGGATGAGCTACGATGTAGCCACAGCTGCCCTGAGGCGCACTGACAGAGGCGAGGCCACCGAGCACAGGCGCCACCGGTCCCTCCAAACACCACCAGCAGGCAAGGGGAGTTAAATGTCTTGCCCAAGGACACAACGTCAGCGACAGACTGAACGAGGCTCGAACCTGTAACCTTCTGATTACAGGGCGATGTGGTGTGGGTGATCCCGGTAGCTGGTGTAGTGCTACAGATATATACGTATCTGATGTGACTTGATAAGTATAATACAATACAACTCGTTACCAAGCAACACACTATTACACACTGTAGTACAATGTGTGATATGCTAAATATGATATGATACAGAATCTACTTCATAGTCCTCATGTTTGGTTTTGAACTCCCAGTGGCTGTCCTCACACCAGGTCCTGCACAAACACTGCAGTAGGTTTAAAAACAGGATCGAATAAACACTGGCAGGCTGGGATTAAATAAAAATGTATGTTATAACTTAATCCTGGTTCTTCACCTGCTGCATGTTTTAGTTGTTTCCCTGCTTCAGAATCCCTGATTTTAACCAGCAGGTGATTAACAGGCTTCTGCACAGCCTGATGAGTTGGTGAACAGGTGATTCAACCACAGAATCAGGAGTGTTGGAGCAGGGAAACAACAAAAACGTGCTGGATACTGGCCCTCGAGGTCCAAGGTTCCTCCATTTCTGTATTGTCTCTTATTCTTGTTCTCGTGATTAGCTTGTCTCTTTAGCGTGTCGTATTGTGCTCATTTCATTTGATCTTACCTGTACAATGTTTTTCTACCTCTGTGAATTGGACTAAGAGTCCGGAATAAAGAATACTTGACTATTGAATGTGCCTGAAATGGTAGAATAGTAATGTGTACTCATTATTTCACTACATTTGCAGTGGTCTCTAGCATAAATGAAGACCTTGTGAGTCGTCCCCTGTGGAATAAAAGCTCTATCGCTCCTTTTTCAGAAAGTAGAAGTTAGCCAGAAGAGTGGGGGGAGCAGGAAAACAGCAGGCTTTGGAGTCTTACTCATTATTATCATTGATATTCAGACATCTCACCTCTGATTGGTTAACAGCTATGTAACTCCACCACTGACTGTTTGTCCTGCAACGCTGTTTTATCTCCACAAGCCTGAAGGTGTTCTGCTGTGTGGTGGAGCTGCTAATGCTAACGGTTAGCTTCAACTAGTCGAGACGTTCTCTGCTGTTTCCCGGACGCTAAACCAACATCCTTCCTCGTCACGAGAGTTAAGTTCGTTGAGTCCGTGAAAGTTAATTTTCGGTGTGACGTAGATCTGTCAGCATTTTCTAATTTGAGTGTTTCCTCGTCTATTTTCCATCAGTAGCTAATGCAGGAAATGGGGTAGAAGATATGCTTGTGAAACTCGGAGTGACCAATCGTATTTCAAACAAAAAAGTAGTTCTCGTGAACTTGGTCGTTAAATGAGCACAAATGGCTTCATTAAGTCTTACACGTGTAACTGGGTAGTGATCAGTGCTCAGATAATTTTAGCGGTTTTCTGTCATGCTGGATAGTTCATCTCCTCAGCTGAACGTATTAACCTCAGCGTGAACTGCTGCTGCTCACATGAAGCTTTTTAGGCAAACCCATGTTTGACTTTATGAACTGTGCATGGAATTAAGATTCTGAAATTAAACTCTTTCACACTGACTAAGAGGTTTATTCTGCCGCCAAACCGAACCGCTCCATAATCCCATATGTGCCCAGCTGATTCACTCACCTCTTTTTGCTTCCCTCTTGGTCTCTCTGCCTCCAGTCCAAACGGCTCTTACGATACAGCAGGTTCATGTCGCTGCGGGATCGCTCCTCCTCGCAGCCTATCACAGCGCAGTGCAGCCGCTTGCTTCGCCACTCTATGTCACGCAGGAAATGCTCGACAGCCACATCCTGGGCAGAGCCAGAGCTCATGGTATAGGAGAAGACTCTGGAGAAGCCGAAGTTTGCCACCGGCTGTTCTCCGCTAAACAAGAAGAAACAAGAGCAGCACATTAATCATTCAGGAAAACACGCTTTGCAGCTTCCCAGACAAACAGTTACTGTGCGGTGTGAAAACACCTCGAAACAAAACTTGAAGGAAGTCAAAATTTCCGCCACTCTTACAGCCATCCTGCCAATTACTCTAAACAGTAGCCATCACATCAAAGACACAGTGATGCATGGCGATGGAAGTTGTTGTTTTGTTCACCCTGACTGTATTTAGACTTTCATTATCCAGTTATGAATATTAGAGTAAGCATGGTAACTCAGCTGCAGAGCATGTTTGGCTGCAGGCCCCGGGATGGCCTATCTAAGCCTGTCCCGCCAAGCAGACAGTAATGTGGTTTGTCACATGTAGCGCATGCACAGCTTCCCGTTCACGCTCGCCTCACGAGAAGTTAGGCTTGTTGCGGGGCAGATATCAGAGTCAAACCATGCTTTCATATCGAAGAATGTGCAGCTGTCAGCTGATCCGTGATGTCAGTGATTTTCCATCATGGATCGGACCTGCTGAGATGTGTTCTGGAGGATGACACTGGCGTCTGGTTCTGATGGTACTGGTTTTTGACTTGTGCCGTTTTTCGTTGATCAAACCAGAATCTTTCTCTTGATGTGGCAGCTTGTATGTGACAGTCACAACTGCATGTGCAACAGAATCTGAATCAAGTTTAATGAGTTTAAATGAGGATGATTTGGAAAACAAGCATTATGAAAGAATTCGTGTTTTTCTTTCAAACAAAGCTAATTTATTAGCTGATTCTGCTAATCTTTAGCACCGTTTAAGTTCATTTACTATCAACACCACAAACGATCTCGATAATGACAGCAGAAACGAAGCAGTGGGCGCAGCAGGCTGGGCCAGGCAGCACTCTGATTTTTGTAGCCATGTGCGATTCTTTGTCGTGGCCCAGTGTCTTCCAGTGCGTCAGCGTGGCTTCTGCTCTACTTGTATCCCACAGCCCTGACCACAACCTCGACCGCTGCTGCTGCCACACTTGCTGACTCAATGTTAATGAGGTTATGGTGCTGCATCTGTAGGGTGGGCTTTGGTTAAGTGCTGCTTTGATTTTGGGCTTCCAGGATCTGCCAGCGGAGGAGCAACTGTTGCAGCACGTGCTGTGGGTCGCTCTATCATTAACAAGTCGCTCCTCTGCAGACAGGTTTGTCTCGTCCAAACCAAATTTTTACACCCATATGTTCTAGTTGAGATTAGTCCCTTGAGTCACTTCATGAATAGATTCAGAGCATCTGCAGGGTCAGAAGTCACTTTAATTTCTCATTAGGACCAAAAGGAAGATGGAGCCGTGCTTCATGAAACCCAATCTGCATGCAACACTGCAGAATTCATTCATGAACACACACACACTCACACACATCTCACGCACCTACATAAAGCATGCTAAATGCACACAAGCACATGGGGTGCAAAAAATGTGCAATTGCACAACAGCTGATCTCCATGTGAATGAATAAAAAATATGAATAAAATCCCATTTCTGAATAACAGTTGTGTTTGGGAAGCATGGTGCAACCAAAAATTTCGTTTTGGATGGTGTGTTTACCACGCCAGCTATTATGGTTGCTGTTTTCAACACTTTGAGGGGGCTGGAGCAAAACCCTGCCCTCCAGCTGCCAACACAGCTGTTGGTCCAGCACCTCGCTGTGAGTGGAGGGACACATCCCATTACCGTTCTGGCTTTCAACAACAGGACAAAACCTTCAGAAAAAAACACATTTCATCATTAGTTTTGCATTTTGCAGACGTCGACAAAGATAATGTTAAATTGAAACCTGTGTGTTGGGTGCTGTTCTTTTCTTTTTTACAAGTGCTGTTGGGTTTAAAGAGCAGAACATCTTGTACTAAGGTCACCATCCTCCTACTTGCATACAGATGGTTTTCTCTCTAGAATGTTGCATCTATTCATGTTGGAATTATTTAATGATTAAAGCAGTTAAGCTCTGGAGCAATGAATTAAATTAGAGAAAAATCTTTATATTTATTTTAATCTATTTATTTGGGGTTTTTTTTGGGGGGGGGGGGCAGTAAGTAACTATATTAATGCAGAAATTGTTTGGTCCATAACAAACACCACAGTGATTTCTGCTCAGTGCCAAACAGCATCTCAACCTGTCTGTCACCGAGCTGCAGTTCATCCAGAGGAACAACCAAGGAGAGACCAAGAGAGAGAGAAGCCGAGTGCAGGGACGAGAGAAGAATTAGCAGCTTGAAGATGCACACCGCCAGAGAGCAAGAGAGACGGAAGATGTGAAAAAGCAGAGATGGGCGGGGGGCAGACGGAGAAAAATGGGGAGAGCCGACAAATAGAGAGTGAAAGATCAACCCGGTAAGAAGACAAATATAATCAGGTGGAACATGCACTGCAGACAGGCTGATGGAGGCAAATATCTGGATGGAGAATACGGGATGGAAAGAAATAAGCAAATGGAGGGAAGCAGGAAGAGAGGAGGGAGAGAAACACAGAGAGGCACGCAGACTAGAAGAAAAGGGGGGAGGGAGGTACTAGTCGCTGTGTGTGGTCTCCTAGCAACACTTTCAGCTTGCATCTCTTCCGTAGTCAGAATGTATGCACAAAGCAGGACGTCAGCCTCATCATCCAGGATGATCAAGTCTGCTTCATCCTCAGCTTCACTTTAACTGATGGAGGCACGTTTCCATCATTAACCAGCTTCACATCAACACACATGATCTTAACGCTGCCTCAGGGACCTGCTGAAGAAAGATTTGACTAATGATGAATATGACACCTCCTATAAATGCTTTTTAATGTTTTGATGTTGTATTTAAATGTAAATTAAATCTCTGATCTCACCTCAGCTGCACATAAGGCTGCAGGAGTGAAACACGACAATCATTTTGCAGGTGTATGTGTTGTTATAGTGACGACTAATCACACACAGAAAGGGACTGAAACTTCAAATAATCCACAGCTGATGCTAAGAATGAAACAAGGTTAGCATGACATCACAGCTGCCCCAATCACAGAGACCGCCCCCCTGCTTACAGATTAAACTTTCTCACATCTGGATGGTGACATTATTTTTACTTTGTCTCATGCTTTTTGTTGCTGTATGAGATGTTAGTCTAATCTAGTCTTTTTTCTAGTCTGATTATCAAAAATTATTCAGAATAAAACTTATTTATATGTCTACAAGCTTCTTCATTTCTATGGTAATAAAAAATCTCTTTTCTATGTCATCGACAAAACAGACGATGATGTCATCCAGAGTTCCTGACCTGCTTTTGTCTTCCTACCCTCTCACCCCCCTGCTGGCCAGAGTGACCAGGTCTCTCTCTCTCTCTCTCTCTCTCTCTCTCTCTCTCTCTCTCTCTCTCTCTCTCTCTCTCTCTCTCTCTCTCTCTCTCTCTCTCTCTCTCCTCTCTCTCTCTCTCTCTCTCTCTCTCTCTCTCTCTCTCTCTCTCTCTCTCTCTCTCTCTCTCTCTCTCTCTCTCTCTCTCTCTCTCGCTGTCTTTGTCTCTGTCTCTGTCTCTGTCTCTCTCCAATATGTATTTTGTTTACTGTTCTATGCTGCAGAAACCTGGAAGATGTTCTACATTTTGGTGCAGCCTCTTGTTCTAAAGTCAACACTGGGATGGATAGTGGTAACAGTAGATTATTCATCAACATGTGTAATTTACCTTTATGTCTGACGTGTTTTTATTGATTTTATTCCCGTATATTCCATAGTTTTTTTAGGTTGCAAGGACTGCAGTTAGTTTCATTTAACTTGTCACAGTGACAATGGAGACATTCTATTCTTTTCTTTTTTTCTATTTTTCTACGGTTTGACTCCAAGCAGCGAAGGCTTCCGTCACATGAAATGTGTTTGCAGTCAATAAAAGTGGGAACTCACGCGTCAAACGCAGGTTATGTTTTAACTTTGAGTGGAGAAATTTAGAGAGGATAAAAGAATTTGGCACAGCTGTGTAAATTTCAGAGTAACATTTAATAACATGTTTAAATACAGATCATGCACATCCACATGAAACAGAAATATGATTTCCCAAAAGTTAACGATATCTTTTGCAGATGCTAAAATAAAAAGCTTTTAAGATGCAAATGGGCAGATTTGTTACACTTTTTGTTTACAGCAGCTCAGCTCGCCAGGGGAAAGGCTGCTCTAAACATTTGGTCAGTGGGATAATTTATGCTGCTTCGAATGCAGTCAGTTAGACCAAAACTGTTCCGATGTGGCCTGTTTGTCCACTTTAAAGCATCTGATCAACAGAACCACGACAAATTCAGATCAATTAAGTCTTCTACTGAAATAAAAAGTATTCATCTCATAGAAAATATTATAAATGGTTGCATTTATGCATTCTGTGTTAGTTGACATTTGCTCTTTTCGATTCAGAGATAAGTCTGCATATATATGCTAGAAAGTCTGTTTTACCTGTGAGTGTGTGTTTGAAATTACTGGTCAAATATCTGAAAACCTTTGATTAATTCCAAGAAAACTCAACAACTTGTGGGGTCGATCCAATTAAATTAGGCCTCCCCAGCTAATCAACCTTAGCAAACAATAAACTCGGTGTTTATTTCAGATACTGAGGTGATGTATTAGTGGGACATCCAGGAAGCACACCCTGACTGCTAACGGATCACACAGGATCATGTGATATTGCCTCACATCCACACGCGACTTTATTTTTAAGATCTCACCAAAACAGCTAAAGGTCCAATTGTTTAAAACTCAAGATATTAATCCAGCAAGTCGCCTGACTCTTTCAATCAATGCTGGGTCTTTGTTGTGATCAGAACATAATATTCAAATGTAATGTATTGCCTCAGGGTGTGCAGCTTTTTTCTGCAAGAACATTTGTCAATTTCTTGAAGCTGAATTCCTCATGATCATGCAGTAAGATGCACATGGCTGATGAAAATGAATGAGGAGGAAGCTCCATCCCTCTGGGTCCGGGGAGACACATGTGTCCTTTCTGAAGAACTGTTTTGCTTCCTTTTA